AATATTAGTGCTCTCACTGTGAACACTAATGGAATTAAACAGAACGGACATCTCTTTATCGAGAAGTTGATCTCTAAGTACTCAGTATCGTGTGTCCAAGAGACCAAGCTCGGCGACAGTACGCACCTGGCCACTTTCAAGTTTCACCTCGACTCGTGTTTCGAGCACAAGATCTTTGTGGACGACCCCAACTCCCAGCTACATCGGCCGACGCGAGGGCGGCGCAATGGAGTTCTCACAATACTCCGCTCTGACTTCCCAGGCTTCGATTCGGCTGTCGCTGTCCCAAGTGTGTCCATCCCCGGCCGCTATCTCGTCGTGAAAGTGATGGTCGAGGGGCTCCCATTTACGTGCACAATGTCTATGCACCTGTGGACAGACAGGAAAAACAACAATTTTTCTCCAGCTTGGTCACCGAGGAGTTCGACGACCATGCTACTCACTTCGTGTTGGGCGACCTGAACACTCCCCTAGACCCACGACTCGACTCTTCCAGTCCTGACTTGCGCTACGATCCGGGCCGTTCCAGCTGTCTTGAGTGGCTGGCACGGCTAGGTGTTGTTGATGCATGGCGGATCCACTACGATAATAAGCGGGTGTTCACTGGGCCTCTTCCCCGGAAAAATCGGCTGGACTACATCATGCTGTCGAAGTCTTTCTGCGATCGCTTCTACCGTAACTCCGTGTATTTCACGCCACAGCATGCTGGCGATCACCTTGCTCACAGTGTAACTTTTCGGTCCGGCACTCAGCTGCATGGTCGTGGATATTGGAAGTTTCCTCTCTACTTACTGGAATATCCGATGGTGGTGTCAGCTATCGAGAGAGAAGCAGAATCTGTCCGGGCTGTACTGCGCACCGCGTCTAACCCGGGAAAGGTCTGGGAGAAGTGGAAAGCGAGCATCAAGTCCCAGCTTCAAGCCGTTCAGAATAGGCTCCGGCAGCAAGACACTCAAGCTATCGATGAGGCTAGGATCCAACTTGATCACGCTGCTGCTTGTTATCGTGTCGCTTCCAGTGATTCGACCCACGAACACTTTGACGAAGCAATGCGTAATTACCGCGAGACAGTCACTCGGACTAGCCAGTACAACCAAGACACTGCCTTCGACTTCCAAGCAGCAAATTCTGAGAAATCGTCCAAGCACTTCTTCCGTCCGCTGGATACGAGCTTGAGACGGGTCTCGATCGAGGAGGTGGTGACACCGACTGGTACTGTCTCATCGAATCCTCACGAGATCTCTCTCCGTTTCCTGGAACACTGGGGTTCAGAGATGGGAGACCCCGCCAGTCCAGCAGGACGCGCTTCTCCACCTGGTGCTGTCATTCAACGCAAGATTCTCGACTCAGTTACCCGCACTGTCTCGGAGGTAGACCACAATATCCTTAACGCACCAGTCTCAGCTGATGAGTTGGCGAGTGCGATCCGGCACATGAAAGCGACTTCATCTCCTGGCATGGACGGATTGACGGCTGGTTTCTACCAGGTGGCTTCCTGACATATTTGGTGAATGCTTGTCCATTGTTTTCAGCGCGTTGCTTCATTGCGGCGCACTGCTACCTTCGCAGCGTAAGTCGGCGGTAGTTCTTCTCCACAAGAAAGGGTCGCGGGCTGAACCTGGTAACTATAGACCTATTGCTCTCGTGCAGGTCGACGTGAAAGTCCTGTTGAAGGCACTGACCTACCGACTGCAACACGTTATCCCCGACTTGGTCCATCCGGACCAGAAAGGGTTTGTCAAAGGCAGGTCCATCCACCACCACATACGCTTTCTAGCTGACTTGCAAGACCTTGTGACAAGCCAGGACGAAGAAGCGTATGCGCTGTTTCTGGATTTCGAGAAGGCTTTTGATCGCGTCAACTGGGACTATATGTTCCGCCTGCTCGAGAAAATGGGTTTCGATAAGCAGTTTACGCAATGGATCCGGCTTCTCTACACGAACCCTCAAGCTCATCTCGTCATCAACCAGAACATTCAACCCGCGCTGTGTCCGACTCGTGGAGTAAAACAGGGAGATCCGCTGTCAGCTCTTCTATTCATCTTGACCATTGAACCTCTTGGCAATATGCTGCGGTCCCACGAGGAATATGGCGTGTGTATAAACGCAGACCACACCGCCACGAGCACGTTCTTTGCCGACGACTCGACGCTTCTAAGTAACTCGATTGCGCACCTGCAAGCCCAGCTTGTCGTTGTGGCGGAGTACTGCGACGGTTCAGGTGCCAAGCTCAACCTATCCAAGTCTACGCTGCTAGCGCTGAACAGGAACCACGACTGTCCTTTACTCCCTGGTGTTTACGTATTGGGCCGTGTGGAGACGGTGAAATACCTAGGTATTCCGTTCGGGCAGTCATCGGTTGATCACGTTCTCGTGGATTCGCTCGAGCAACGCTTCTACGATGGCTTTAAACTGTGGTATCGACGGGCAAGGACGCTTCGGGGTCGCTTATTAGTCGCTCAAACCATGATACTCTCTCTTCTGTGGCATTACACCCAGCACGTCTCCATTCCACGGACTATTGTGAAGCGGTGGCAGTCCATGCTGAACAAGTTTGTGCTCTGTCGAAAGCACGATCGTCATGAGTCGCACGTTCAGTTGATCCCAACCGATTTCCTGTACCAGCGCCGTGGCGATGGTGGGCTGGGTGTACCAAGCCTGGCAGCCCATCTCAAGCGCCAGCGTCTCCAATTCCTTCTTCAGTTTATCAGCGCCGCGACAACGACACATATTCGGAACTGGACGAGAGCGAGTTCCGAACTGCTGAAGCTACTTCTTCCTTGCACGGATCGGTCAAGTGCCTTGGACTTCCTCTCCATCTCTTCGTTGCGCCATGGGAAACTAATCCGATGGTGGCTGGCTTCTGCATGGTGGAAAGCGACGTGGACATCATGGTACAAGATCCGGTGGACATTCACATGGCATGACCTTCCTCTTTGTGAGCGCGCATTGTATGGTCTTCACCAGCCAATATGGTTCCACTCGGACGCCATGTTGCACTATGAGAGATCTTCGCGAACAACCACGGGCACAGCGCATCGTCGATGCATTGGTATGGTAGTCGAACCGCAACGGAGCTTCCGGCTACATGTGTCCAGAGTCTTCCGAGTGCGGTCGCTTGCTGACTTTATGCGCGATGGGGGTGTTTGGCCGTCGCGGCAAGACTTTGTGCAACGCCACATCGACTTCACACTTGGTTCAGTGCTGCCTGGACGACAGGCACATTGGCTACGCGTGCTATACGTGGAGGCAACTCAGATCGTTGCGAGACTCGGAGCGACGCATATGGTTTTACAGCCAGAGAGCAGTCGACGCCACCCTCTTCCATATCTTGGTTGCAGCAGTGGCGATAAGGTGTGCTTCATGCCATCAATCCCGAAGTCTGCGCTGCTTCGCATCGTGTGGTCACCACAGCCACCGACAAAGCAGCATCCGATGACAATCCACTCCCAGCGTTTTGATGTGGGGATGATCCGGACTTACGTGAAGTACAGCAAGCACCTGCAGAAGATCTTGCTCCCCGTGTTTGCAGATCTTCAATTTCGCCTAGCGTTCCGTCTTCTGCCAGTCCGCTCGCGCTTCTGGTTCCTGGAGGCGGCCAACCCGAGCATTCGTCTTTGCGTTCGTGTTGGGTGCGGCGCCATCGAGACCGAGCAGCATTTGGTTTTCGATTGCACACTCGCAGTCCAGCTCTGGGAGCATGCTCACCGACTGATGTCGCCTTTCTTCCGGCTACGCGCGACATGGTTAGACATTGTGCTATCAAGAAAGCTACACGTCCATGACGAGTGGATGACCAGCGCGGAGGTGGTCTACGACGTCTGGCACACGCTTCGCGCGGTGACGCTCCACTTCCTCTGGAACGACCGCAACAGATGCCTCTTCGATGGGAGGCAACCCACGCCTACGCTTCCAGCCATGCAGGTCATCTTGACAACTGCTAGCGCACATTTTCGACAGCCATGCAGGTCATCTTGACAACTGCTAGCGCACATTTTCGACACCGTCGTTGTTACGATGCTGACCAACGGGCAAGGTAGCAAGCTCTTCTTGCTCGGATGTCACGAAATCAACTCTTCCACGACTTTCTCAGTCAGAATTCAACGGCACTGCAAGTCCGCCAGCGTGAGCTGCTCCCCCACGACTAGCTGACGAATTCTTCGGCGTGAGAAAACTTCCGATTCCTGAATAATTTGAAAATTTTCTTTTCAATTTTTTTTTGAAAATATGTCAATTTTCAATTTTCAAAAAAAAAAAAAAAAAAAAACCGTACAATAGAGTATTATAGCATAAATTAGCCAGGCAGGTTGATTAGTCCCCTGTCTATACCAAAAATATAGACAACCTTTCAACTGAGCTATAGGGGCAGACGTTCTCTTGCATCAACGAAATCAATTATACCACATACAATCATAATACAAAAGCAAGACAAGCAGCTAAAACAAGATAAATCGGGTCCGTGCAATCGGACAACAGTGCCTCAAAATCCGCTGTTGTCCGATTGCACGGACCCGATTTATCTTCTGCCAGCTCTAGGAATCTATACTTATCGATACAAAGCTTCGAAAGTCGATACAAATAGCTGTACCACCATCATCATGTACCGACCAATTACTTGTCCGACTGACTGGGTTTTCGAACCTGCAGTGAGATCTCCATCCCACACCCTTTTGCTCTGGCGGAATAGAAGCAAAAGCATCGTGTTGTGGTCTGGCGGGCGGGAAGTAGGCGTGGTGGTGCTTTGCGTGGGATGGTATTGATGTATGTTTTGGTAAGAATTGGTGTTGGGGGAATAGCTCAGTTGAAAGGTTGTCTATATTTTATGGTATAGACAGGGGACTAATCAACCTACCTGGCTAATATATGCTATACTACTCTATTGTACATTTTTATTGAAAATTGAAAATTGACATATTTTCAAAAAAAATTGAAAATAAAATTTTAAAATATTCAGGAATCGGAAGTTTTCTCACGCCGAAGAATTCGTCAGCTAGTCTTGGATGGACCCGATAACGCATACACCAGACGCTAGTGCGTCAGCGACACTCGTAGACCCCTCGCCTCGCGATGGTACACCGGAAAGACCGTGCGCGTGTCCCACACAGCCGAGAAACAAGCGCCCCGAACCTAGGCCCCCCGGTGTCTGCCACGTGTACGTGGCATAGAAATCTTATAAAAATTTAGAAAATTTCTAATTTGTTTCTAACGTGGTGCCGATTCTTGTTTTCTTGTTTGTTGCTTTTTCTCGTCTCCTTTTTTGTTGTTGATTGTATAGTAGTTCCTCCACCAGTCGTACCGGATACCACAACCGGTGTAGAAGTCATTGTGGCTACTACCTCCTCTGACGTTGCGACTCAAGCTGGGGCTGTAATGTCACCGCATGCGTCTGCAAAGGTGGCTGGGGGCATGAGACCAGTGAGAGTTGCATCGAAGGGGGAGGCGGGAGTCATGATGGTTGCTGCCGGGTTGGGTGTGTCGTTCGCGGAGGAGGAGGAGAAGGGTGAGCTCCGTCCAGAAATCATGACGGTCCCCGTCGTTCTTGTGAGAGCATCTCACGCTGGCGGACTTGCAGTGCCGTTGAATTCCGACTGAGAAAGTCGTGAAAAAGTTGATTGCGTGACATCCGAGCAAGAAGAGCTTGCTGCCGTGCCCGTTGGTCAGGATCGTAACAACGACGAAGTCGCTGTCGGAAATGTGCGCTAGCAATTGTCAAAATGACCTGCATGGCTGGAAGCGTAGGCGTGGGGTGCCTCCCATCGAAGAGGCATCTGTTGCGGTCGGTCTAGAGGAAGTGGAGCGTCACCACGCGAAGCGTGTGCCAGACGTCGTAGACCACCTCCGCGCTGGCCATCTATGGTGAAGTGGTTTCCTAAATTGTGAAGAACCTAGGGCCAGTTAAATTGAAGGTACAAGGGGCCGTTGACTAGGGAGAAGGAACCACGGACCAGAGAGAAGGGACCGGAGATGAAGGGAACCTCGGAGTGAAGCGACCGTTGGCTGAGAACGAGAAAGACAAACAAAGGAGAGTTCATTACCAGGGTACTGTTTAACCGGTAGCGAAGGGAGTCGACCATGGCCCTCATTGGTCGACTCGGTCCCTCATTGGTCGAACAGGTCCCTCATCGGTAGACCTGGGTCCCTCATCGGTCGACCTCGACTCCTCGTCGGTAGACCCGGTCCATCAGCGGTCGACCCGGTCCCTCATCGGAAGACCTGGGTCCCTCGTCGGTCGAACCGGTCCTTCATCGGTCGAACCGGTCCCTCATCGGTCGACCCGGTCCCTGATTGGTCGAACCGGTCCTTCATCGGTCGACCCGGTCCCTCATTGGTCGACCTGGGTCCCTCGTCGGTCGACCCGGCCCCTCGTTGGTAGACCCGTGTCCCTCATAGGTCGACCTGGGTCCCTCATTGGTCGACCCGGTCCCTCATTGGTCGACCTCGGCCCCTCGGGGTTCAGCTACTCCTGACCAGTTAATACAAGGATCAGACCAGTCGACGCAAGGAATCAGAGCTCAGGAAAGGATAGAGTAAAGGAGTTAAAAGGATAGGACTATATTAAATACTACTCAATTTGCGATCTACTTGGCAAGTCTTCGTCGCGCTGTAAAGGAACTCTAGTCTGGCCACACGCCTGTTCCGGGGAAGGGATATATTTGGCCCCCACGTTGAAGACAGGCGTGTGGTCCGACACAAGTGCGAGCTGAACCCCACGTGGCACGACTCCGTCACCCAAGAAGAACTTGCTCTAAGCTACTCACTGTTCCGGGAAGGGATGAATTTTGGCCCCCCGTCGAAGACAGTTGTGTAGCGAAGTTCAAGTGCGAATAGAGCTCCAGGATATATTTGGCTGTGAGCTCGATCGAGTAGCAACACCCGCCAAGACCCGCTATCGGAAGCGGTCTCCCTCACCTCAAGGTCCGGGAGCAACGTAAAGGTCAGGTGGTTAATACCCCTGAAACAGAAGGAAAAGGCCAGGGACGACAAGCGCCCCTGAAGAATTTGGCTCTAAGTCCACTCTCGACAAGGTCGATCGAGTGGCCACCTACCGGCCCACCGAGTGAAGCATATCCACTCGAGGCCCCCCAGGTCTCCCTCCCTCAATGCAGACATCTACATCGTCACCAAGTCCTCCGAAGAGTGCAACCCGCCAGCCGACGGGTACACAAGGTGAGAGAAGGTTCATACGCGGCATCGGGGTACCCCCTCCGACAGTCGGCAGTCCGGCACAGTGAGTGGTTTGGGTTCTCATCATACAATTTTGAGAACCCACTCCACCACAATGTTGCGCGTGCCCGGTTTTTCGGAAGACGCGGGATTTCACCGCGAGTCCCAAGACGGTAAAGATGTTCATGTCAAGAAGGAGCACAAGACCGAAGAGTCACTGGAAGACCGATCGCCAGTGACTCAAGAAGAAAAAAACAAAAGATTGAAGGGCCGACCGGACCTTGGGAAGGGCCCGGTCAACATGGTCGAGGTTAAATTCATCGAAGATGAACCTAAATACCCTCCCTATGTCCTCGTAGAGGATACCTTGGGTCATGACGCCTATCATGATCCAGAGGACCATCAGCCGACGGTGAAAACCGAGAGGCTAAGGTCCCCAAACAAACAAAAATCAAAGATTGCGCAATCCAAGCCGACAATTTTCAGACCCCGCCAGTCCAGCAGGACGCGCTTCTCCACCTGGTGCTGTCATTTAACGCAATCTTCTCGACTCAGTTACCCGAACTGTCTCGGAGGTAGACCACAATATCCTGAACGCACCAGTCTCAGCTGCTGAGTTGGCGAGTGCGATCCGACACATGAAAGCGACTTCATCTCCTGGCATGGACGGATTGACGGCTGGTTTCTACCAGGTGGCTTCCTGACATATTTGGTGAATGCTTGTCCATTGTTTTCAGCGCGTTGCTTCATTGCAGCGCACTGCTACCTTCGCAGCGTAAGTCGGCGGTAGTTCTTCTCCACAAGAAAGAGTCGCGGGCTGAACCTGGTAACTATAGACCTATTGCTCTCGTGCAGGTCGACGTGAAAGTCCTGTCGAAGGCACTGACCTACCGACTGCAACACGTTATCCCCGACTTGGTCCATCCGGACCAGAAAGGGTTTGTCAAAGGCAGGTCCATCCACCACCACATACGCTTTCTAGCTGACTTGCAAGACCTTGTGACAAGCCAGGAAGAAGAAGCGTATGCGCTGTTTCTAGATTTCGAGAAGGCTTTTGATCGCGTCAACTGGGACTATATGTTCCGCCTGCTCGAGAAAATGGGTTTCGATAAGCAGTTTACGCAATGGATCCGGCTTCTCTACACGAATCCTCAAGCTCGTCTCGTCATAAACCAGAACATTCAACCCGCGCTGTGTCCGACTCGTGGAGTAAAACAGGGAGATCCGCTGTCAGCTCTTCTATTCATCTTTACCATTGAACCTCTTGGCAATATGCTGCGGTCCCACGAGGAATATGGCGTGTGTATAAACGCAGACCACACCGCCACGAGCACGTTCTTTGCCGACGACTCGACGCTTCTAAGTAACTCGATTGCGCACCTGCAAGCCCAGCTTGTCGTTGTGGCGAAGTACTGCGACGGTTCAGGTGCCAAGCTCAACCTATCCAAGTCTAAGCTGCTAGCGCTGAACAGGAACCACGACTGTCCTTTACTCCCTGGTGTTTACGTATTGGGCCGTGTGGAGACGGTGAAATACCTAGGTATTCCGTTCGGGCAGTCATCGGTTGATCACGCTCTCGTGGATTCGCTCGAGAAACGCTTCTACGATGGCTTTAAACTGTGGCATCGACGGGCACGGACGCTTCGTGGTCGCCTATTAGTCGCTCAAACCATGATACTCTCTCGTCTGTGGCATTACACTCAGCACGTCTCCATTCCGGGGACTATTGTGAAGCGGTGGCAGTCCATGCTGAACAAGTTTGTGCTCTGTCGAAAGCACGATCGTCATGAGTCGCACGTTCAGTTGATCCCAACCGATTTCCTGTACCAGCGCCGTGGCGATGGTGGGCTGGGTGTACCAAGCCTGGCAGCCCATCTCAAGCGCCAGCGTCTCCAATTCCTTCTTCAGTTTATCAGCGCCGCGACAACGACACATATTCGGAACTGGACGACAGCGAGTTCCGAACTGCTGAAGCTACTTCTTCCTTGCAAGTGCCTTGGACTTCCTCTCCATCTCTCCGTTGCGCCATGGGAAACTAATCCGATGGTGGCTGGCTTCTGCATGGTGGAAAGCGACGTGGACATCATGGTACAAGATCCGGTGGACATTCACATGGCATGACCTTCCTCCTTGTGAGCGCGCATTGTATGGTCTTCACCAGCCAATATGGTTCCACTCGGACGCCATGTTGCACTATGAGAGATCTTCGCGAACAACCACGGGCACAGCGCATCGTCGATGCATTGGTATGGTAGTCGAACCGCAACGGAGCTTCCGGCTACATGTGTCCAGAGTCTTCCGAGTGCGGTCGCTTGCTGACTTTATGCGCGATGGGGGTGTTTGGCCGTCGCGGCAAGACTTTGTGCAACGTCACATCGACTTCACACTTGGTTCAGTGCTGCCTGGACGACAGGCACAATGGCTGCGCATGCTATACGTGGAGGCAACCCAGATCGTTGCGAGACTTGGAGCGAAGCATATGGTTGTACAGCCAGAGAGCAGTCGACGCCACCCACTTCCATATCTCGGTTCCAGCAGTGGCGATAAGGTGTGCTAATGCCATCAATCCCGAAGTCTGCGCTGCTTCGCATCGTGTGGTCACCACAGCCGCCGACAAAGCAGCATCCGATGACGATCCACTCCCAGCGTTTTGATATGGGGATAATCCGGACTTACGTGAAGTACAGCAAGCACCTGCAGAAGATCTTGCTCCCCGTGTTTGCAGATCTTCATTTTCGCCTAGCATTCCGTCTTCTACCAGTCCGCTCGCGCTTCTGGTTCCTGGAGGCGGCCAACCCAAGCATTGGTATTTGCGTTCGTGTTGGGTGCGGCGCAATCGAGACCGAGCAGCATTTGGTTTTCGATTGCACACTCGCAGTCCAGCTCTGGGAGCACGCTCACCGACTGATGTCGCCTTTCTTCCGGCTACGCGCGACATGGTAAGACATTGTGCTATCAAGAAAGCTACACGTCCGTGACGAGTGGATGGCCAGCGCGGAGGTGGTCTACGACGTCTGACACACGCTTCGCGCGGTGACGCTCCACTTCCTCTAGACCGACCGCAACAGATGCCTCTTCGATGGGAGGCACCCCACGCCTACGCTTCCAGCCATGCAGGTCATTTTGACAATTGCTAGCGCACATTTCCGACAGCGACTTCGTCGTTGTTACGATCCTGACCAACGGGCACGGCAACAAGCTCTTCTTGCTCGGATGTCACGCAATCAACTTTTCCACGACTTTTTCAGTCGGAATTTAACGGCACTGCAAGTCCGCCAGCGTGAGATGCTCTCACAAGAACGACGGGGACCGTCATGATTTCTGGACGGAGCTCACCCTTCTCCTCCTCCTCCGTGGACGACTCACCCAACCCGGCAGCAACCATCATGACTCCCGCCTCCCCCTTCGATGCAACTCTCTGGTCTCATGCCCCCAGCCACCTTTGCAGACGCATGCGGTGACATTACAGCCCCAGCTTGAGTCGCAACGTCAGAGGAGGTAGTAGCCACAATGACTTCTACACCGGTTGTGGTATCCGGTACGACTGGTGGAGGAACTACTATACAATCAACAACAAAAAAGGAGACGAGAAAAAGCAACAAACAAGAAAACAAGAATCGGCACCACGTTAGAAACAAATTAGAAATTTTCTAAATTTTTATAAGATTTCTATGCCACGTACACGTGGCAGACACCGGGGGGCCTAGGTTCGGGGCGCTTGTTTCTCGGCTGTGTGGGACACGCGCACGGTCTTTCCGGTGTACCATCGCGAGGCGAGGGGTCTACGAGTGTCGCTGACGCACTAGCGTCTGGTGTATGCGTTATCGGGTCCATCCAAGACTAGCTGACGAATTCTTCGGCGTGAGAAAACTTCCGATTCCTGAATATTTTAAAATTTTATTCTCAATTTTTTTTGAAAATATGTCAATTTTCAATTTTCAATAAAAATGTACAATAGAGTAGTATAGTATATATTAGCCAGGTAGGTTAATTAGTCCCCTGTCTATACCATACAATATAGACAACCTTTCAACTGAACTATATGGGCAGACGTTCTCTTGCATCGACAAAATCGCTTATACCACGTACAACCATAATACAAAAAGCAATACCAACAGCTAAAACATGCCTCAAAATCCACTGTTATCCGATTGCACGGACACGATTTATCTTCTGCCAGCTCTAGGAATCTATACTTATCGATACAAAGCTTCGAAAGTCGATACAAATAGCTGTACCACCATCATCATGTACCGACCAATTACTTGACCGGCTGACTGGGTTTTCGAACCTGCAGTGAGATCTCCATCCCACACCCTTTCGCTCTGGCGGAATAAAAGCAAAAGCATCGTGTTGTGGTCGACGTGCGTCGGGATTCGAAGATCGTGTGAAACAATGTGCAGTAGGCTGTGTGTGGTATGGCGGACGGGAAGTAGGCGTGCTGGTGCTTTGCGTGGGATGTTATTGGTGTATATTTTGATACTATTTGGTGTTGGGGGAATGGCTTCAAGTATCGTGCGATCCGCTTGGCGAGTTTTCAGTCGTGCACTCGCGGTTGGTGCGTCTGTCGTGTTGCTTTGTGTACTTCAAGCGACACGTCCGGTCGCGTGCATCGTGTGATTCAAAGTAGTGAGCCGACCAAAGACTGGAACGACCGGATCGTCGCGTGCTTGCCTGCGTTATTATCGTCGAGTAGTTCGCTGTCAGCATCTTTCCCTCGTACACGTCTGCTCCAATTGTCGAACGCGTGGTATTCGCGTCGCTTGATCTATGCTCTCGCAGCGACTCGACTACTTTCCGTCTTGTTCACACGCATTCCAGGGAACTTCGCAACTGGACCGAGTTTTTGATCGATAGGCACTGCATCACGTCGAAAAAACCGCTTTACGACTGCCGAAGCCATTCCGGTGACAAGTATGTCGTCGACGTAGACTCCTGCAATCACGAGCTCTGAGTCTACTCGCCTGTAGTATAAGCAGCTGTAGCTGATGCACTGCGTGTACCCGCCTTCGACGATTCGCTGATGCAACAGCTGACTCGAAAGTCGAACGGCCTATTTAAGGCCATAGAGACTTAAGCGTAGCTCTAAAGCCAGGTCTTTCGTGCTCGTGACACCGAGCTCGTGCATGCGCACCGCTGGTACGTCCATGCCGTTTAGGATGTGCAGTAAGATCTCGAGATGCGGCTTCTTTGACGCTTTGACATACGCATTGGGTATGTCACCATGCTTAGCCGGGACGTCCCACGTCGCAGCAAAGGTCAGGAAGTTATCAACGCCCAGAACTTGCTCGTTGCCACAGGCAACCAAGCGGTCTTTGCGACGTTCGATCTCACCGTCCGCGGTCGTTTCATTCTTAAAGACCCACTTGGAACGCAAGACGTTGCTGCCACTCGGACGAAGGACAACTGTCCACACGTCGTTGGACTCGAGAGCCGCAAGCTCCTCCTCCATCGCCTTCTTCCAGTTCAAACACTGCGTGATCTTGATCGCTTCGCGGTAGTTCTTCGGATCAAATTTGAACACGGGGCTCACCACGTCAGTGCTATGAGCGGCCTCGTCCTGACTCGTAACGGACTTCTTCGACGCTACACGTGTGGCGATCAGTTGTCTCGTTCACTTGTGCTTTTTCTTTGGCTTCTTGCTAGACGCCTTGTGCTTACGTTGCGTCGCATGCATTGGCTCTAGAGCGCCGCTGCTGGTGGTGGCACGGTCTTTGCTCTCGAGCTCGCGCTGCAGTTGTGCGTTCTGCGCTGTTGGCAGTGTCTCGATGTTCTTGACATGTTGTGTGACGACAACAAAGTTGTCCTTGCGCAAGTAAACACAGAGCACTTTCGTCTCGCGGCTTCCACCAGCGATGGTGCCGACTTGAGCGCGATGGGCGAACGCGTCCTTCCGTAGATCACAGCACACAGTGCAATACGAACCAAAGACAAAAAGTTTGCGTAGATCTGGAGCTTGCTTCGTCAGGACTTCAATTGGTGTTGCGCGCTTCGGGTTCGCGCTCGTAGGGCTTCTGTTGAGTATGTATGTCGCATACTCAGCAGCGTCCCCCCAGAACGTCAAAGGCAGTACCGACGCAAAGATCATCGCCTGCGTCATGTATAACACCGTCCGGTGCATACGTTCGGCTTTTTCCTTGGACGCCTAATTACGCGCCTCAATCACTTGGCGAGCGACACCATATTGCTTGCAAAACAGTTCGACGTTCTGGTATTCTCCTCCTCCGTCTGTGCGCAACACGGCGACCTTGCAATTTAACTCTTGCTAGAAGAAAGCGAGGAAATGCTCGAATTTCTTTGCGGCGTCATCCTTGGTCTTAGCCAGGAAGAGGCGGCAGTCGTTACTCTTATGATCGACGAAATTAACAAGATACCGGTTTCTCAAGCGACCAGCAGGTGTCAATGGCCCTTTGAGATCGGAGCATATCTCTCTCTCGACACGATCAATTAGCGAGTGCATGCCGGTGTCCTTCTTGCTTTGGCTGTTCTTCGTCTGTTTGCTCTTAGCAAACGTGATGCACGTCAAACGTCTGTGATCCGTGATGCAAAGTTAACTGCCCGGGTTCTTCGCGATCCTCTCGATCGTGTCAACCGACAAATGCCCAAACCTCTACTGGAATTTCACGAGTGTCGATTCTTGCACATCAGGCGACACATCTGCCGTCGCCTCCTCCTCAAGAGCAGAAAGGATCACGTCTGCTGTCTTGATCGCGCTGAACGTCTCGAAGACCAAAACACTATTGCGCATCGTAACGTCAAACGCTACGTGTCCATCCGATCGCCGTACGATTCACGCCCATCTTCAGTGTAAGTGAGTGGGTACCCAAGATGCTCGAAATTTCCGTAGCTGATGAGGTTGTGCGCAAGACTTGGTGCGTAGTAAACGTCCGAAAGCTCGATCTGACGCTGCTCGCCGCGCGATGTCACAAACAGACGCACCCTTCCGGCCTTCGTGAGCACGAGCATCTTGTTGTCAGCAAGATAGATCTCATCGTTGTACTGCTTGCTTTCGATGATTAAACGATCGTCACTCGCGATATGGCGGCTGGCGCCGCTGTCAAGGATCCAGTTGAAGCTCGCACCTGCTTGACTGTCGTTCACGTCCAGCAGCATCACTTCTTCGTTGTCGTCTTTGCCATTCTTCTCCTTCTTCTTGGAGCGTCAGTCCTTCCTCAAATGACCCTGCTTCTTGCAGTTGTGGCACGTGCGCGTTTCCTTGCGCTGTGTCGAGTCATTTGCGACGACCTCGCGACCTAGTGACTTGCCGGCACAACTGTCGACCTCGACTGCTTGAGAAAAGTGCGCAAGCTCCTCAGCTTGGCGCAAGTAGTCGATGCGTCCTGCGTCGAACTTCGCCATGAGCACCATCGACAGATCCGCCGACGCATAGTGTACTATGTTGTCAAGTACCCGCGCCTCGGCGCCTCCTCCACACGCGTCGCCCACTGTGGCCATGTTCAGGACACGACCTATTGTGGTCCTACTTGGCCTGAACAGATTTATCGATTGAGGCGCTGTGACCGTCGTCCGGAACGCTTTATACATGCGCTCCATGATGTGGTCCAGCGTCGGAAGCTGTTCCCACCAAACATCGACTTGCTTATTGTAGTATCGCTCGGCGGTTCCGCTAAGTTAATGCCCGAAGAAATCAACTTTAACATCTTCAGCCCACGGGAAGCCGCACGCCGCCTGTGAGAAATTCACCGCACGGATGGACGAGCGTCCCCAGTCTTGAAAGCCGGCGCCGACTACTTCATACATTTTGTAGCCGTCAAAATTTCGGATCGCGAGCTTGCGCTGACACGTGTCCGGCGTGTGATACCCTAGCAGTACTGGCGCAGGTGCAGCAACCGGTGCTGTCGCTGCCTGTTGTTGCATTAACGCATACGCTTGCTGTGCGTAGGCTTGCTACATCGCCGGGGCCTGTTGCTGATGCTGCGGTGACGGTACTCGCAAACCGAGAGGCTCGAACAACGATTGTCCCATAACCGGAGCTCGCAGACGTGTCCGCGGAGCTGCTGGCGTCTCAGGCGATCGTCTTGGCGGTATGAACCCGAGTGCTTCGCGGTTCATTGGTCCTCCACCAATCTCTCTGCCGAGAGCGGAGTCAAACAGTCCACTGTCGATGGCGCCGCGTAGGCGCTCGATCTCATCGATTTTCATCTGCGACATCTCAAGTCGGTCCATGCGGCTCGTCATGTTCTCGAGAGCAGTGAGAATCCGTGCGCTGATGTCCGAGTACTCGCCCCTTTCGTGAGCGGAAGAATCGACGACCATCGCAGCCGCTGGCGCAGCTGGTGTAGCAGCAACTGCAACTGTCGGTGCGGCGGCCCTTTCGTGACCGTCGTCAGCGACGCGTGCTGCATGTCATTCGTCTCGGATCCAGGCATTAAGCTCATAACCTGTACGTTTTAGAAAATTGGATTCTGGCATTCATTCCACAGCTATCCGCGCTCGCTATCTGTCAGTCTCTCTCTCTCGCTAGCTCTTCACTACCAATCATGCCACCTTTTCTCACTGCGCTCGCGCCATACGATCCAACAGGCACGCGATCCTTCCACTCGTCGCGACTGCTCACGCCACGCCATCGCGACTGATCATACCACGCCATCGCGACTGCTCACGCCACACACACGCCATCGCGACTGCTGCCGTACGTCGTCTGCTTCTCTCTTCTCGCTGCATACTAGAACTCAGTGTGCCCGATACTGACCTTTCGCATCTTCAATGCAACTCTTGCGATCATGCATTCACACAGAGCGACTTCTCTCAACAGTAGCAGTATTAGTAGCAACAGCAGTAGATGTTGACGCACGAGATTACTGTAGAAAGTCCAACATTGCGACGTTAAAAGTAGTTTTTTTGAATTTTAATGGGATGATTCCATTGTAGGTTTCTGACCAATCATATTTAGATAATGTTGGGGGAAGATGGCTAATTAACAGAAAGCTGCGGGATATTTAGCGCTTCTCTTTTAAGTTTACGAGAATTTCGTTTTCTGGACCGAGTTAGAGCCGTTTTTCGCTATCCAATGACAAGACTTCTCGGACCTCCTCTTTCATGGAGACCCCTGTAGCCGAAGCGCGTAGCTCGGGGACTAATTACCACCGCATTGACCTACATGCAACCGACCCGACGGAGCTGAGCAGTGCCAGTTCACCGGGTGTCAGCTCTTTGAAGCGCTTTGCATGTCAGTTTGATCCTGGCTCTAAGAATGGGCGTGTGCTGGTGTTACTGTTTGATCGCGACGGAGACTCGGAGTTCAAGGAGATAAGCAGATTGGACGTCCTGAAGATGACACAGCAAGCGGCGGTGCCTAGAAAGGAGGAGACGGCGGATGGTGACGAGGTTGCAGATGTCGCGACAGCTCCGATGCGAAAGTTGGAGAATCTTGGCGCCAAGGGTCGACGAGCCAGCATGAACATGATGCGTGGTGATGGAGGGGGACTAGACGGACATAATTATGCTACCGTCTGTGATGTGCAGGTAAATGTCTAGCTCTGTCGATGGTGTTGGGTTGTTACATGACTGTTTTATTGGTGTGATGTAATGGTAGCGTGTTCACGCACGAGATATTCGACGGATGGAGAATGCGTTCTCCGTGTCAAACGAGCCGTCAATAATTATTCGAAAACAGGCGATTCTCATTAGTGCTGGTACGACTACAAATGCAAACTGAGTCGTAGTTTATATTTGCGCTGATCGTGGCTGCAACTTGTAGACCCGTTACGAGCGATTGTGATGCGAGATGTGTGTCTCGTGTATGTCCCCGATGGAGCAGACAGCCTCTTGTCGATTCTTAAGGAGCAATTTAGTCAGGTTGCCCGAGAGAACGCGGAGGATTCGTACGAGTTCAGGTTAGTGCACAGTGGAATGACAAGTGTTGGTAAAGAAGCGATTTAGTGACATTATCAATGGGTATAGAGCATTGGAAGCGTTGCTATCGACGCTCGCGCGGTACTTTCAAGCAGACTACGAAAAGCTCTCTCCTGTCGTGATCTCTGCATTGGACCGGCTGGTGCAAGGAAATCTTCACTCACGGGAACTGGAAACGCTGCGCGAGTTCAAAAACACTATGAATGAGTTTGAGTCTCAGGTGGATGGTGTGCGCCGTGTGCTAATGGAGTTGCTGGACAATGAAGAAGACTTACGCTTGCTCTACCTTACAAAGCTTTACGAAGACCCTTCTTTACTCACGGACCTGTACAGTTTTGACTCGGAGGAAGCGGAAGTTTTGATTGAGAATTATCTCCAAGACATCTTTTCGACGCGCACGAAGGCGGATCTGATGCAACATCGCATTACAAACACTGAAAGTTTGGTTATGTTGAAGCTTGACTCGATGCGAAATTACTTGCTCCGGGTAGACCTTGTGTTTTCGCTTTCAACGATTAGTCTGTCGGTGGGCACACTGCTTGCAGGAGTCTTTGGCATGAATCTGACGTCGGGGGTAGAGGAAGCTTGGGGATGGTTCTGGGGAGTTGCGATAACTTGTGTGGTAGCTTTTGTGGTTATCACTATCGTAGGCGTTTTGTTTTTCAGACAGAAGGGAGTGCTGCATATTTGAGGGCATCTAGTTTATATCGATATAAATTCTTGCTGCAAGGAGACTTGTATGTGACAGCAATATGTTTTGTGTATTCGTGATAGATGCTTCGAGTGCGCAGTCTGCCAGCATATGCTTTTAGCCAAAAAGGCAGCTATTACTTCTCGAACCTAACAGCACCAAGTGTAAATTGATCCTGGCTGCCCTTCGCCAAAATTTCACCAAGCTTTGTGCCAATGAGGTGATGGTTTGTAATCTTGATATCACGCTGCTTGCGAGGACGATTCTTCTTCTTATCTTCCTTCAGGCGGCGCTTCAGTTGACGGCGGTTTGCATCAACCTTAGCCTGCGTTGTCAGACCAGCTTGGACCAGTTTCTTCTCAAATTCAGCACGATCCGACGGCCATGTTCGTAAAGTATCACGCCACAACTGGCGAATGTCATTTGTGGCACCTAGGAAAAGTGTTGCACAATACAAATTAGATCCTAATGGTACATACAATGTTCGAGACTTCGTCTTGTATCGCATACCATGTTTCACCATTTGAAATTTGGGACCACGCCTGGGTAAAAGATCCCAGCGATCGCTGCTAGCTACATTCCGCCTCTTCGCATCTGGAAAGGGGACATCTAAAGGAAGGTGGTCCTTGTCAAACTTGAACATGTACCTGTACAGCCACAGTAGCAAACAATCAGTAATAACTTTCCGGAACTTGAAAAAAGCTAAGCCCCGCAATGAAAACGCACTTAATCTTCTTCGATACATTAGGATCTCGCGTGGATGAAACACTTTTAGTGGTCATGCCTGCAAATGGGGCTGGACGGGTAGTGCTTGAGCTCTACATACGACAAAAAGGTACCGGTAAGAAATATTCTTACAGCCATTCAACTACTTGGTCCCGTACCTTGACCGCTGCTGACACGCGAAACCAATTATCTCCAACACGAAATGCATCACCACGCCGTATTTCTTCAGTAATGTCTTGACTAGAATGGGCCAAGTAGCTGCCAGCTTCAACTGTAGAAACTCCAGAAAGATCCACAAGAAAGGTAGGTCCGCGCGAGTAGTACACTTCTGCACCCTTGTCAGCATTTTTCAGACAAATGATCTCTCCCGTCCGCGTCAGCTCTTTCAAGTCATCCTCCACGCCTACGTAACAATCGATCAAGTCCTCAATCGGCATCCCCTCGGGAATCTACACACCAACCCAATCAGCCTCCAGAAAACAGAAGCCCTCTCACTACAGCACAGCATTCATACTCGGTCTAGAATTTTGATCAACTGCATCCGATTTTTAATGTCATATTTCGCCTTCAAGTACGTAGCAAAAAACAACATTTCAGCTCATAGCCAGCCAAAACCTTTTGTGTCAGAGTGTCACTCTCTCTCTCTCACCCGATACGCGTATTGATCTCCTTGGACCCAAACTTTAGGATTATTCTTAAGACGTTGCTCCACCTGGTCATCCATTGTGAGGTCCTAACAGCAGCCGTAGCCTTGTCAGCATCAACATGTTTCGACTCGTCTACATCAATTACGTACGACGCCCGTGTGTCTGAAGATATCGGACCCTGACACAGCCTTGTGCATGGGAACTTTGCGTAAATATTCCAAAATCTTGTAGACTTTTGCACCGTCATTCTTGGGCACGAGAGATGCGTCCACTACCAGGAGCACACCACCACAAGAATTCAAAGACTGTCAGCCATTAATCTGCTCTTATATAGGTGTAGATAGTAGAGAATAAAGGGAAGAAGACCTTGAGAAACCACCGTCTGCTTCACTAACTTGGTCGGAACCACAGTGGGCACTGCATCCGCCACCTGCTGGGACCCATACGCCAAGTTGCGCCACATTCTCAGGTTTTGTGTTACTTCAGTGTCGCGGATTGCCGGATAAAAAAAACGATGCAGCTATGTATACTTATCAAAAGTCACGTTATTTTTACGTATACCTTTGAATACATGACGAATTATAATTACTGGGGGTAAAAGTTTAGCTATTGACGGGTGTGAATGGAGACCGATCGGTCGAAAATAAGCATTAGAGAGATATTGACAGACCTCATACTCGAGTTCTTGGAGGCTACTGTGCATGAATTTTTGTACGACTGAATTGTATTATTGTAATATTGCGTTTGGCATGGTCAAAAGCTTACTTGTAAGCTCAATTTTGATGATAATACAGATTTGCGTGGCATGTTTATCCAAAAGGTGCATATGTATCGATACAATAGTAATGAAAGATGAAGCCTTTAAGCTTCTAATACTTTGTGATTGTTCCAATGTCCTAGTAGAAGTATTTGAACAGCGTGTACTGTATGATGTGCCGATTCATATGAGTCAACATCCGCTACTGTGCGAGTACATTAACTCGATGTTGACTGGCTGTCGAACGTGGTTGTTAAGAGGAGAACTGGAGAAATTGTGTATCATTCTTCTCTCCAAGGAAGGCCGGATGCTGAATACACTAGCAATTGAGCCAGGATGGAGCATAGCATTTATTGAAGCTGCAAATTCTGAGGAAGACCAGGTACTGCCATTGATGCAGCTTGAAGAGGCCTTTCGTGCGGGAATGGTGGCGCTAGTGGCAACAGCCGCATCAAGTACAATTAATCAGACAGAAAGCAACAAGCCACACACGTTCCGAATTCTAGCGCAGACAGTTGAAGACGCAACCAATCGAGAAACTGCAATTAATGATGACAACGTAAGCAATTCGTGGGTGTTGGCAGATCCGTGTTGGCACGACGATCACAAACGAGACAAAGAGATCTTCCCAGTCAAAACGATACAGTCAAAGGCTTCACCTGTTCGACTCAATATTTATATGGAGAACCATCGATTAGTCTCAATGGCAGAAGTCAGCGAGTAAGAGGAAGGCGGGCTACACTGGTACAATGTAACGGGATTCTTGGCGATAAAGAATATTGCGCTTTTATTCGTACTCGTCTCCCACGTACAGCTCAGGCACGTGTGCCATGTCAGCGTGTTGAAACACAACGTTTGCTTCAGCAGTTCTTATGCACTGATCAATGTGCATTGGATGCCCGAGTTCATCAGATTCAGTATGGACGATCTCTTTATTTCCAGCAGTTCGACCATTTATCTTGTTAATGCTGGTAATGAGAATCTCATTCTGAGACGCTTGCGACGCTTTAGCCATTCCTCTGTTTCCATCAAGTATACTCACTCTTTAACACAATATATGCACGTTTATATATGTAAAAGGTCGATTATCAAAGCCAAAAGAATGACTCGACTTGGACTGTCGGATAGTATGCGGTCCACCGCGTCACTGGAGGATACGGCGTCTCTACCTATTGCAATGCAGCACCAAGTCCCTCATCGACGACATGCAGTAGAAAATGTAGCAACATTTAGCAGGCAGGAGACGAAGCTAAAGCCCACGGTGTTCTTTGATCCGTTGCGTGTCTTTGTAGGCAGCATATTAGCTGTTGTTTTGCTCTCTACAGGCGCTAGGGTGCTTTCTCCATCGTTACACGCCTGGAGAAGCAGCTCGTCGAAGGTTGAAGAAAAGTTCGAGCAGTTGGAGAAAAGTCTCTCCCTGCTCTACAGAGATACTGCACGACTCAAGACGACAGCTGACAAGTTCCTTCAGCAATGCAAAGAGACGCACGTAGCAGTCTCTACGAGGAAAGAAATTCTGCAAAACGCAGCTATAAGAAGATTTGACGGACAGGTAAAGACACAGACTGAAGAGCACGTGCAAGTAACGAAGGAGGTGCTCCAGTACTACGCGGAGCAGAAGCAGAAGATCCAGGAGACGAAAGAGCGGCTAATAAGAATGAACATCTCGTTGCCAGTGGAGATTGCAATGAGGCCATTGCATATGGCTTGGCAGGAAGAGCAGAAGATGATAAAGGATAGTGGAGAGCTGCTGGAGAGAGAGGATACTCGTGCTCATGGACTGTCTGACGCCATGAAAGGACTCGTGCTTTTTGCGGAGACAAATCAGCTACAAGATAAGAATGACTATCAACGATTTAGTGTGGAGAGCATATCGATTCCGACTGCTGGACATTTGGAGAGTAGCAACCAACAGTCGACAGAGCGGTCGTCGACTTGGCATGGGTCGATCTTCTTTTACGTCTATGTGGTCTGTGCTTCTGCAGTTTATCTGTGGAATGCCATCTTGGACACGAGGAAGAAGGAGCTGCTGGAAGACAAGTGGTCGTGGTCTCCTGTTCCAAAAGCTGTAATTCGATTGAAGAGGTTGCTGGGATCACTTGTGGTGAGTGCGTGTGAAGTTGCTTAACGGAGATTCCTTATCGCTCCTAACCTTTTTTGCGTCTTGAATGTTGGGTTTTGTCAGGTCATCGAAGACCTGCGAACACCTAGAAATGAGGACGTCTCTCATAAATTGCTGGAACACATTAAGCCCATTGAGTGCTGAGATTGGCAGGAGAACTTAGGTACTGTGATGTCTGTTTATTGGTATCTTATTCGTGAATGAATACAAGTGCAGCTCTTCAGCTTTTAACGTTGCGCAGCATACGTGATACGCAATTAGTCCCGAAGTCGATTGTAGCTTTTGGTCTTGCCTGTGGTCCTTATAGCACAGATACCGTCGAAAAGCTATCCGTGGGAACATTGCTCGAAAAACAACATCATTGAGCGTCAAGCTTGTCATTTTCACTAGCTGCTATTTCGGTTTCCATATTGCTTGTTCAACGTTATTGTGTTTGCAAAAGAGCAAAACGTTGGAAGCATCCCAACGATTCAATTCCTAGTGATAGATGCATAACGCTCAGTCTGATCCGAATAAAACCTGATTTGTCACGGAACAGCACGGATTCATACAGCATCACAAAAGTTCGGACGCCCGCAGCTCAAACGTCCTCAATTAGTAGCAATCGGGCTCCAAAGGTTAGATGTTAGCAGACCAAAGCTTGCCTTCAGCATTTACAACTTGGCTCCAGTCTTCAACCTGATTACCGTCGACGACACCCTTAAGCCGTTGAAGAGGACACCATTCATAGGAGGATGATGAGATGTAGGTCGGTCGGCCGCCACTGGAAAATATCTGACGGCCCGCAAAGTCAAAGAACTGTTCCCACTCTTTGACTGCCTGTTTATCTTCCGACAGTTTCGATCGATTCTGCTGGATCAGCTGTACCATCTTCTCGTGAAATGCAGCATTGGTTGCTAACTTGATTGCTAATGCAACATACTCATCTAGAGAAGTAGCAATGAGATCATTGATCCCCATCTGCTGATAGAAGCCATAAGTTATTCGTGAGGCCCAAAGCTCGTTCGGGAAAGTAACTACCGGAGCACCAGCAGCAAAAGCTTGCAACGAGGCTCGTGGTCGCGTGAGGTGAAGGCTCGACAGGACCGCATCGGCAGCCTGCATAAGCTTTGGCTCCTGCTTTTGATCGACATCGACGAGAAAATGAAGCCGATCTGCGATGACGCCGGCAGATTCCATCCGCGCTTGAAGTTGCGTCTTCCAGGCCTTTCGACTTGATGTCGAAAGGAGGAAGAAATGAGCCTTCTTGTCTTTATCGAGAATTTCGGCTACAGCAACGTCAAAGTCTGGGTGAATATGGATAATAGACTGATCACATGGAAAAACGCAGAGCAGGCGTCAGAACACGACAAGGTCAACAGCATGACAGGCACAAACGAATTGTTTTGGACGAACCTCGATGGCAAGGTAGAAGTGGAAGTCTGCAGGTATGTCAAAGCGCTCTTCGATGCCATGCCGGATCTTGTCGCGATTGGATGTATTTTTCGGCAAAATTGGCAGCCTGTGATAGATACCCGTTCCTCTGTAAAAGGAAAACAAAAGCAGACGGTCAGCTCCGATAAGAAGACCTGGGTGCGTAAAAGTGGCCTTACTTGAAGCAGTAGACGACCTCGGAGTAGTGTGAGTTGACGCTACTGTGCTCGAATTCACTGGTGAGGTAATAGTCCATTGTTGGCACACCCGAGGTGTCAGCATTACCCCACCAAACAGCTTGAACGGGAGCAAGCCGAGCAAGGGAGACAAAATAGGTCGTTTTGTCCATGCCAAGCTGGGCAGCAGTAACAGAAAGTGAGCAAGCAGCTCGTACATCTCTCGAAGTGCTCACCAGAAACCTACCTCAGGATAGATAAGCACATCTACGTCCCACGCACGGATCGCTTCTCGAGCAATCCTTACATCTTTCGGAAGGCCAACGATCTGATGCGTGCCATACAATTCACTACAACCACCTGTAAGTTTATCCACTAGAAATCGAATCAACTAATACTGCACTCACGGTCTCATTGATGGCCTCAACTTCCTTGCCACCTTTTTTGACTTGCTTCGCCCTATCGCAAAGACGATGATCTCGTACTTGTCTTGGTTAAACATGGGTACCAACTCTGACATGTAAAGCCCGACAGCCGAATTGAACATGTAGCGCGAGACGAAGCCAACTCGCAAGCGCCGCGGGCCGATCTAAGTACAAAATATCAGGACAGCTTGAGCGTGAAAAATTAGTCAAAACCAAAACCGTCTTCCTTAGTACCTCAGGCTTCTTAATACTCTCGCTCTGTTGAGTGAACGGCAACGGAACTAAACCGTAACTTGCCACAAAATCCTCGCGCATAATCTGCCGCTGGTACAATAGTTGCCAGTACAAAAGACCCATAGCTGCCTTGAGCTCACGATTGTTTCGGTTGTGAGCTGTCAACGTGATAGCAGTGGAAAGAGATATGCGAGTGGGGTCCACTTCGGTCTCACCAAGTGAATTAACTGCAGTACCAGTACAGTGTTAAAAGTGGCGCTAGTAAAAGTCCATGTGATTTCAGATTACGTAACTTACGGTTTTGTAGCAACGTCTTGACTTCACGATCAAAGCGATCACGGTACAAGTCGATCTCTATTTGCGTTGCAGGAAGAACCCGAGGTAAGACTGTCGCCTTCATCACCATGATTCGTGTACGAGGGTAAAAGCGGTCGACAATCTCATTGTCGAGAATCTGTTGTATAAAACACCATTAAGTTTGAGTTACGATTTCCCAAGAGGATTGACATTATACCTGATTATAGAGATCAATGCTTCGCTGCGTTCTCCCAAGTGCCTCCAGTGTCTCCGCAAGATTGAGCTACAGAAAGAAAAATTAGTCTCCCGAATCCAAACATTCATTCCATCATCATACATACCGTCCCAGCAAGCAAGCCAAAATCAGAAGAGCGCTGGTACTCATCTAGCGCCATCTCAAACTGACCAGCGTTCGCAAACAAATTTCCGCGGTCATTGTGAAAAGCGGGTTCATCGGCCCAGCGTTTCAGTGCTTCATTCAAACAACGATCGGCTTGATACCAGCCGTCAGTGAAGTGTATCAGCTCACATCTCTTGCCCGTCGCGTCTTTTACCACATTCTCCGCTTTCTCTATGTCTAGTTGTGTATCGAGGACACTCATCGGCACTTTTGCTACTTTGCTGTACTCGTCCATCGCGTCCTCCCACCTGCCTATTGCCTGCATGGCATCACCCAAGTTCACCGACGCTTTCAATAGCATTGGATTGATCTCCAATGCTCGTCGATAATGCTCAATCGCTTCCTTCACTCGTCCCAACGATTTAAGACACATTCCTAGTGAATTGTGAAAGTTCTCCTCACTTTGGTTCGACTGCACTGCTCGATACAAATACGGCAACGCCTCCTCTTGCTTTCCATCCTGATACAGTGCAACCCCTAGCAAATGCTGGGCTGGTCCATAATCCGGGAAAACATCCAGTACATAGCGATAGATCTTTAAAGCATTTGCCCGGTCCCACGCATCGTGTAATTTAGTGCCAGCTTTCAACGCGTCAGCGATACTCACGCGATTGTCCACGCCTGGTAAAAGCACCGATCCAACTGAAAAGATGCGTGAAGACAACGCCATGATATTGCCATTATTTTCAAGCTTTCCAGTGACGGAATAGGAGGTACCCGGCACAAGTCCAGCGACATGGAATTTTGCATGACCCAAGCTCTGCTCAAAGCACGACTCGTACGGTTCAGTCTCCTCGTTCTCTAGTGCCACATCCATTGGCATGTAAACAATCTGAATCAGGATACAAACACGAGTAGAATGCTCTGTATTGACCAAGTTTTTATCCACTTGAACCTCCACCAGTAACTCCGTTTGGACCAGAATCATGTCATTTAAAGGATACAAAATCACTAAAGCAGGACGTGAATAGAACGGTATCGGATCATTAAAGCCTGGAGAGAGAGCAGTTACCCACGCCCAACAGATACAGATAAAAACCCAGACCCATGAACAACTTGACGCCATTTTATCGAGACGCTTTTAATGTTAAATTTTAGTATAAAATTGACTCATTTAAACCTACTAATTAAACCTAAAATGAATTTGTATCCACTCAAAATATCAAAAACTCTCGGATGCGTTTGTGGCCATCACTTTATAAAACACCCACAGTATATTAAGTACCAGTAGAATGACTGAGCATAATCGTTATGAACATCCTTTGGTCTCTCGCTATGCGACCAAAGAAATGAGTGAAATTTGGTCTCCAGATCGAAAATTCTCAACATGGCGTGAATTGTGGCTCGCTTTGGCTACGTCTGAGAAAGAACTGGGATTGAACATTACACAGGAACAGCTCGATGCTATGAAGGCTCATTTGACGGACATTGATTATGAATACGCAGCAGAGATGGAGAAGAAATTCCGTCACGATGTTATGGCTCATGTTCATGCATTTGGAAAAGAAGTTCCTGTAGCAATGCCAATTATTCATCTTGGTGCGACCAGTTGCTACGTTGGTGACAATGCCGACATTATCCAGATTAAACAAGGATTGCAACTCATTCAGCGTAAAATGGTCAAAGCTATGAAAGTATTGGCGGACTTTGCCATGCAATACAAGGACATGCCTACGATGGGCTTTACACACTTTCAGCCGGCGCAGCTTGTTACGGTTGGCAAACGCGCGTCGCTCTGGTTGCAAGACTTTTGGCTGGACTTTCAGCACCTCAGTGACCAGATTGACAGTCTACCTATGCGTGGTGTGAAGGGAACAACTGGTACTCAGGCCAGCTTCCTCGACCTGTTTGAGGGTGACCACGAAAAGGTAAGACACACGGTTACTACTGTACTGCTTTGGTGTATGACGGCTGACTGTTTTTTTTTTCGGTTGCTACACTAGGTAAAGAAATTGAACGAGCTAGTAGCCGCGAAGATGGGCTTTAACAAGGTTATTCCCGTCTCGGGTCAGACGTACACGCGCAAGATCGACTACTTTGTACTGTCAATCCTGTCAGGTATTGCCCAGTCGGCTTATAAAATGGCTGGTGACATTCGTTTGCTGGCAAACATGAAGGAGATCGAGGAGCCGTTTGAGAAGAACCAGATCGGATCTTCGGCAATGGCATACAAGCGCAACCCGATGCGCTCGGAGCGTATCTGTAGTCTGGCGCGTTACGTCATTTCGCTGACGGACAACGGCGCACAGACCCACGCTGCTCAATGGTTCGAGCGCACGCTTGATGACTCGGCGAACCGGTACATTTTATCTCTTGACTGGATTTCCAGACATTACACCTTACTGACTGACGCTTGTTTGTGCTGATGTTTTTTACAGTCGTATGGTTTTACCGGAAGCGTTCCTCGCCACGGACGTCATTCTGAACCTAATCACGAACGTGTCGGACGGCCTGCAGGTGTGGCCGAACGTGATCAAGGCGCACATTAAGGCCGAGCTACCGTTCATGGCTACGGAAAACATCCTGATGGCCTGCGTGAAGGCCGGCGGTGACCGGCAGGAGCTGCATGAGGCCATTCGCATACACTCGATGGAGGCTGGTAAACGTGTGAAAGTGGAGGGCGCTGCCAATGACCTGCTGGAGCGTATCGCCGCTGACCCATTGTTTAAAGCTGTGCACGACCACATGGACGAGCTATTGGACCCGTCGCTTTTCATTGGCCGGTGCCCACAGCAAGTGGAGGAATTTATTGACGAAGACGTTGGCCCTATCCTCAAGGAATACGCCTCACTACTCGAAGTGGAGAACGTCGATGACATTAACGTCTAAGGAAGCATGTTGTTTACTGTCACTGTAGCGATACTGATGATACAGTAGTAAGAACCACATAGAGTAGACGAATACCAGTCAATTATGGAATGTTTTTTGTCAATTTCTCATTTTCTACAAATTTATAGAATATATAAAATCTGCCGTCCGGTCTTCAAATGAGGTTTTATACAATTATACAGTACATTTGATTTACATTCAATCAGAACGATCCATTTCAACGTCTCTGATTGGCTAAAAACCGCACACCAAGTATCTCCCTCCCCAGAACCGCTCTCCCCATGTCAAGCAGCTCGTCCAGTGGCTTCTCGGACGAGGACACGGAGGCGTCAACGCTGAGCGTGGCGGCTCCTTCCGCATCTCAACTGAGCAATATAATAGAACTAGCACAGATCTGTTCCTTCTGTGCCACATTCCGAAAGCCGTTGCATCTCCCGAGCTTCTCGCGAACGGTAAGACGTCAATTGAAAGCACGTTGATGTTAGTGATAGAAGAGGCTTTTGTATTGAATTCTGAGCCTTTGAAGATGCGGGGGACGACATGGAGATGTCTACAGACGCCTTAAGACGTCAGCTACGTCCCCGTATCTTCAGTACTTGGCATTTGTATGCAGGACAACAAATTATCGTCCCTTGACCCCAAAAGCTCATCAATGTGTCATACGTGGTATTTCTGATATTAGGAGCTCCAAGAGGCGCTACTAGGCGCTTCCAACGGTGATACAACACACGTAAGTTAACGGATACAATGCCGTAGGTCATGGGCTTGCGGTGAAGGTTCTAACAACGCTCTGGAGGGATGTACAGATGGAATTGCTGGCGGAATTGCACTTCAAGTTGGCACGTGAACACCCCACGGCCAAAATGGAAAAAATGTACGTGGATGCTAATAACTGAAGCGTGACAAAGCTGTAGAGCTACTTGTTGTGTTCATAGACATGCTAATGGGCTGTGGTGGTGCTACTTTTTCACAGGGTGCAAGACTGGGAAAAAACGCTGGCGCGAAAACTGCAAGATAACTGGCGCAAAGAGTTTACGGCGAATCCTATGGGTGGACGCGTAACGTACCAAGACTTGACGGTGTTTGAACGGGTGGATAGAGCACTGCTTTTCTACTTGAGAGAGGGGGGGGGCATACATTGACAGCTGATCTTATGGTGAATGTGCAGGTGAACATTTTGAATGCCTTGTGCCACTGGAAACTGGACACGTGTACCGAGATCCACAATCACATTGCGATGCTGCAGAAAGAAAATAATGATGAGGCTCTTACAAACTTGGTAAGGAGGTGGAATGCGTGACAGTGTTTTGTTGTTGTAATCTTACTTTGGGAATGTGTGTCTGACAACCGCAGCGAACAGGAGAGATTGGAACGGATGACAAGGGCGTATCGTACTGGTATTTTGGTGACGAATGCTGGGTTTATGCTGAAGATAAGCCACGATGGCAACTTGAAAAACGGTACGATGCTGCTTCGTGACTTCGTTGATGCAGCTACGAACGTGGGCTAAACATTGCACATATGCTTATGATAGAAAGCCATCGTATCTCGTGGAATTTGCGAGCGCGAAAAAAATTCGTTTATCAATTAATTTTGATCCAGACCATAATTCATCGGCTCCGCCTCTCCGTTTGCCGTTAAAGCAGACAGCGCTCATTACCGAAAATAAACAAGAGAAGAAGGAGGAAGCGCATACGGGCGAAGTAAAAGATGAGAAGCAGAACGTGCTCAGCGCAAAGATAAAAGATGATGTTTATTCTTCTGAGGCAGTAAAACTGGAAACTGAACTATCGACAGTGACACTGGTGAAGACTGAGAAAGTGGAGGCACCGTCGTCATTAGTGGTTGAAGCAGCCGGTCTTGTTACAGAGAGAACTACAGCGGTTGTCAAGGATGTTACTGTCGAGACACCAACTTTCAGGAAATCGGACATCAGTGTGTTGAGTGGGTCAAGTGAACAGGAAAAATGGAAACAGGATGGCGTTCTTTCTACTGGCTTGCTTCTGTCGAATATGGCTGAGCATGAGCAATATGGTGAAGGCTTAAGCGCAACAGAAGGTGCGGATAGTGTCAATGTTGCTCAAATTACCGCATCCAAACATCCAGCGTCAGGGACTAATTCGCCGCAATTCGCAGCAGAAGGTGCGGCTACTGTCAAGCTTGCTCAAATTTCCGCAGCCAAGGATCCAGCTGCAGGGATTAATTCGCCGCAATTTGCAGCTAAGGCACAAAGTCATAGCGAGATTTTGCCTAGCAATAATGACAAAATGGACAAGAGTGGAAGCGAGAAAAATGATTCTTCTGAAAGGCTGGGGAAGAGAACATCAGTGATGGTGGATGAAGACAGTGTAGACAACCATGCCCAACCATGCGTAGTGGCCGTTATAAGAGCCAAAAAGCGTACAATCATCGACGATGACAGCAGCGACAGCAGCAGTAGTGATACAGATACCTTGAAAGCAGCGGCTGATAAAACCGTATATCAGCTAACGGCGTCGTCTCCGCCGTCACGGAAAAAGCATAAGGCTAGCACTGAACCTTCTTGCCGTGTAGCAGTATTGGACGTTAAAACGACTGAGGGCAATTCCACGATGTTAGGCAGCACACAGGCCAATGGGACGGCAACTTTAGAAGCTTCCAAGAGTGACTTTGTGACATCACGTATCAAAGAGGCAATGCCATCGTTGCTCAATGCTGACCCCGTTGCGTTTGACCTCATAAAAACAAGATCACCACAGCTTGATGTTTTAAAGCCAGCAGCTTTACATATGGAAGAACCGAGCTCGTTAAGCAGAAGAAATGAAGACAACGACATGGTACTAAAAAGTAAAAGCACCGAAGCGAAAGTGACAGGTAATGTGGTAGACGCGGCAAACCCGTCGGGCGCTACTTCGATGTCACCGACAGACCCAGCTGCAGCCCCTGAAACGTTTGACATTACCTGCGAGAGCTGTAAGAAATGCTACGATATGAGGTATCTAGATCCTCCGTTGGTGGAGCGTCCATCGGACGAGTGGCGGTGTTTTGAGTGTCTTGTAAACGATGCTCGCGGCTGGCCTCGTCGGCGAAAGCCTACTGCCAGAAAAACCTTCTCTCCTCGAGGGGATAATCGGGTGGTGGAACCGTTATATAGAAAACGAAGCTCGTCATCGAAGTTTCAAAGTGGGTCTTCAGCTTTGAAGAGGTCGAAAACTTCCAGCAAAAGCCGTTCCAGCTCAACTTTGAAAACGAGAAGCAACGATAGCAGCTCTTCCAAACGGCGTAGCAAGAGAAGTAGCAGCAAGAAGTCGTCTTCGTCATCCTCGAAGAAACACAAGAAACACAAGTCGTCGTCGTCTTCGCGCCATCGTCATGGTAGCAGCCATAGCCATCATCGAAGGCGCCACAGTCATCATCATCACGAGGAGTTTGCAAAGCTTGTAAAGTCGTTCCGTGAGCGACAGGAGCAGCGTCTTGGCATTGAAGATGCTCGAATGAATGGAAAACTTCAGGTGGATTTTGATGAAGGCCCCCAGGGCTGGCGGGTAGCTAGCTCCACGCCTGATGGCGTACGAGCGCTGATCCAATCATTATCGGGTGGGTCACTTGAGCAAGACCGGCTGAGAGGACGCCTTATCTTGATTGTGAAAGATCACGAGAAGCTTGAGGAACAACGACGCAAGCAACAAGAGTTAGCTTGGAATATTCTTCCGCGGCGGCAATCGTCCCGTATAGCAATTGGAAGGATGAAGAATCAATCTGCTCAAGACTCGGATGTACGTGCCATTACAACTGTGGCTTTGTCTGAATCCAAAATACTCATCCGGTTGTATCATGTAGGCGGAGGAAGGATATTCTGGCGACGATGTTGAGAGTCGACGTCCGGGTTTGCGGTTAAAAAGACCGCATGCAGCGTCTGAAGTTGTCGATGGCAAGCAAAAGCACGATCGGTGCGTCCTGTATATGTCAATAATTTAAAGGTCCTGTGTTGATACTATTACTCCGTGTGCTTGTTGGATATCCAGAGCATGGCGTGCACGCCGACGGCGAAATAATTCAGATGATGATATGCATTTTGACAATGAAGAAGACGAGGTGGATAGCAGTGGTACTGGAAATTGGATCGACTGGTCTGAGTTCAAGGTTTGTCTTTATTTATTTTCCCGTCCTTCATTGGTTGGACAATGCGATATTGAAGCCTAACCTATAATGCACTTGTTTACCTCTGCCTCTCTCGTGTAGCGCAATGGCCGTTGCCTTTCGGCCGTTTGCCTTGCTGTTGTCAACAGACTATTGAAGGAAGAAGTTTCGGTTAGTTTAACTGGGCACGTGTGTTTTGCGCGCAGTTTCTTACCTGTTTCGTTGCAAAAAAACAGGATCTGTTTTCTCGACCTGTGGATCCGGAAATTGATGGTTGTCCAAATTACTTGTCTGTGATTGATCAACCGATGGATCTTGGTACGATTCGATCGCGCGCGGAAGCCAATTTTTATCGGGTATGTCAATGTTATTCGATGATCCTCTTAGGTGGTCTACCAGGTGACTTGACATCAACTTGTGGCTTTGCCCGTTTCTAGAAATGGAAATTATTTAAGAAAGACGTTGAACTGGTGTGGCAAAATTGCCGTACATTCAACGCCCCTGACACAATGGTAGTGCAGTTTGCCAACTTGCTCGAAAGGTTGTCACGCTCCATGTGCATTGCTGCAGAGAAGAAAGGTGTAGATCGCCTGAGTGGCAAAGGAGGTGGAGGTGACGAGATTGATGAGAGTGAAAATAGTCTCAGCGACGCGAGTAAAGCTGGATCTCGTAATAGCGTTAACAAAGCATGGACCGAAAGCAGTGCTTCAGAAAGTCGTGATTCCAGTGATGACGGCGCGTCTCCTCACGGTGATAATGATGGTGATGCGCGTAGTCACAAGCGAAGGTCAACGCGCGTACCTGCCAAGAATTTGCGAACTCGCGCACGATCAATGAGGCCAAGTGGCACTAGCAGTCAGGCTAGGCGGAATACACGAAGTCGTTCGTCCAGGAAGCGCCAATCTCCTACATCAAGCAGTGAAAAGTCCTCTGCTTCGGACGATGACGCACATTCTTCTCTGCGAAGGAGTCGGAGGCAGCGTAAGGGGTTATCGTCTAAAGTTGACCACAAAGTGGACCCTTTTACCGAAGATGAAGACTCCAGTGACGATGATAGTGCAAACAACCAGCCCCCGCCGCCACGAAACAATGCCCCTTCGCCTTCGCCTTCTCCACCGCCTCCTCCTCCACCGCAAACGGTACAGAAGCGTTCGAAGCCCCGGCTTATCATTAGCGATAGTTCGAACTCTGATGATAGCTCCGACAGTGACGACAGCTCGTCTTCGTCATCCTCTGATTCGGCTGACTCGGACAGCGATACACTCCCAGCAAACAAATATCCCCATCCATCTCCGCCATCTTCAGCAGATGCTCCTGCTCCACCGCCGCCATCGCCTCCTCCGCCTGCTACTTTGTCTGAGAACGATAAAGCGGTGCAATCGTCGCCGAATCACAAAGCGAAGCTGAAGAGTGCTGCTGGTGAAGCAAAGAAGACGAAGCTAGAATCCACAGGGAAGGATGGGTGCACACACTCTCCGCCGTTGCTGAATTCGTATCTCTCGCCGTCTTCGTCTTCGTCGTCCGACTTTTCCTCCGATGACAGCGACTCTAGTGATGATGGTGATAGCACCTGAGCGTGTGTTTGGGTGTCGGTAGGTAACAGAGGTCCTGAGTGGCAAATAGTACTAGTAGCGTGTGCAATTTTTTGTCCAGGGTTGCAAGAACAATGGTTTGCTGTGGTCGGTTGTATACGGAGGCAGCTTCACTAACAAAGCGTTCATTCAGTTCTGTTTAGCACTTCAAAAAGTAACACCGAATACCCTTACCAGAAGTAGAGCACATACAGCAAGAGCATGAATGCACCAAGGTAGCTAAGGTTCACCTTGCTAGCGAGGAAGCGAAAGTTAAAACGGAAGCGCACAAACGGGTTGGCAGGATCCACCTCCAGGTTATCCTCGAGTCGCTTGCCATGATACGGGTTCACAAATCCAAAGTGCGCGTTAAGCCACGTTGAGACCTTGTAAGATAGCCGCACGAGCCACACCACCTCGTACGAACAAATAGGGCTGAGCATGGGATCACCGATGTATTCCGCCGTATCTGTTGAGCACAAACGCATTCCATGCTGCAGCTGAAAGACTCCTTCTCTCGACAGCAAGTGTGGTAGGTTCTTATCTCGGCTAGGCGCAAATGATTCCAGACCACCACCGGTAGCAGCAGACGATGAGCGCGAGTGGGCAGTCGAGGCAACATAAGCATCTGAGATCTCAAATACTCGCCGCAACATGCGGCTCAAGCGCTGAACCTGCTCCGCCACTTTGTCAACGGTTTTTGTACTTGATGCACGAAATACGGCGCTCACATTCTGATACAAATCTGCAGGAGAGTGAACGGACATCGTCGTTGACGCAGACGCCGCCGCCGCAGTCCATAATTTGTCAAAAAGACGCTCAGCATCGCGATGGAAGCTATCGTGCAGCGGCACGGGCGTGCATTCGATGCCTAAAGACTTACAGTAGAATGTTAGCACATGTGCTTGAGTTGCCGTGAGTGCATCGCCGGTGGTAGGTTTAGTCTTTGGTGAAGCACTGAAGCTTCCACTGTGAGTACGACGGTTGAAGCTATACGGCATAGCTAATGGTTGGCACTTTTCAAGATGAAACGATGCCCGGCGCAGTAGTGCCAATAAGTCCGAGTTGAACACACCCATTACGCGGTCAATGATCTGCAGGTTCCGCTCGTCACCTGCGGAAAAGTCCAGCTCTTTCGCTCGCTCCACAAACGCACCTAAAAGCGTTGTGTAGAAGTGGTAATTTGCCAACACATAGCTTTCCCACGCTGGTGTATATCCTGTCAGCGTTTCCTCGTCTGTCCTCGTTTCTGAAGCTGCTGTCGCGGGGTCCCTCGATTCGATCCAGCACAGACAATGCCACGGTTGAATATAAGCGAGCCAAACATCCGTGATGGTCAGGAAGGCTGTCGGTGAGAGTCCGATAGGAGCACGAGAAAAGACAAGGCGAAAGAAAGCGTACAGTGGAGGCCGCAGCATATTGACGCTACGACTCAAGTAGACGCCTCCACTGCCTACAACCATACCTGCAGCACCGCCTTGAGACCTTATCGTCGAATCTTCCGCCAAAGGAGCCGGAAAGAAGGAGTCAGATAGCAAGTAAATGATCGTGAGCAGCAGCGAGCTCAGCAAGTCATCCGACGGCGCCATATAACTGGTCGACGTGTACACTGAAGCAAATGGGCTAACCAGCATGTTGCCCGGAGGTGGTGAAGAAAAGACGCCAGCAGTTGCAGTCGACGCTCCCACTGGCTCGTCCGAGAATGAAATGAGATTCTGTCGCAGCCAAAACTCGATCAGAATGTGAAGGAAGAGGTTCGAGTCTTTCAATAACTTGCCATGGAAGCGACTCTTGACACCTCGATTGCTATCAGGCAAGAAAGCCCGTAGATATTGCAGCAGCAGTACATTATACGGGTTACCTCTTGTCAACGCAGCAACGCCCTCCTTGCCATACATGCGCCAACTGGACTGTCGCACCTTGGCTGCAGCAGACAAAAAAGATGACGCCGACGCGGCCATGCCAGTCTTAGCTGTCGACGCAGAGGCGCTCGCACTTGGATGCGACGATGATGCTGGATGTCTCAAAAAGTAGAACAAATAGAGCTCTGTAATAGACACGAGAAGCTCTGGAGTGCGTAAATCCAGTCGCTGTTTGGCCAGCGGTTTATGCAGCAGCTGCGTAAACAGCAAACTTGCTCCTCGGCCACTAACAATCGACATTTTGCTCTGTTCTGGCAGCATATCCAAAGCAAGCTTAAACTCCACAGGATGCTGTATGCGAAAGAGAAACTGGAAGACCGATCCATTCTCGGTACGTACTCCACCACCCAACAACTTGACAATGGCTCGACCACTGGTTGTCAAGGACGTGAGAAGGTCCTCCACATCGTCTTCGTCCGTTGCAACGCCTGCCAACGTCCGTTCATGTCGTTGCTCTGTCCGTTTCTTGGCTGCTTGAGCTGCGGCTGAGCCTGGAGCCGGCGCCACGCCCAATCCAGCGCTGTAGTCGAGCCAACCGCCATATTTCTGCTTGGAAATAGCGTCGTTGCCAAACACACGGTCTAGAATCTGACTAAAGCGTTCATAGAAAACGCTACGGAGTTGCGTCGACTGTCGCTTAGCTGCAGAGCCCGAGGAGAGACTCGCTTGGGTCTCCGACGCCAGATATTGATGCAAAGCCTCGACCACGGCTGGTGCGTCGTACGAGTTCAATCCACGCTCAAATTCTGCATCTGATTCGCTAAAAGTCAAGGCCGAAGACGTTGGACGTGGACTGGAAGACGAGGTCATACAAGTACCGGATGCGGTGACATTCACTCCTGGCATTTTTAAAATGAGGCCTTCGAGGTGATAAATGGCATTGTCTTGAAAGAGTGACGTTTCAATTGGGGTTTTGTACATTTTTACGTCTGTGACATGCTACTGAAGGAGAACCCCTTTAAGTTTAAAGTAGAAAATGCCGATAATTGTCAAAATGAGAGAGAGCAAAACAGTGAAAATAGCAACACTTAGGAACCAACCGTCAGTCGACTCGAGTCCAGAATGAAGGTTCATGCCAAATATTCCAGTGATGAAGGTGCCTATCGAGATACTGATGACCACAATGGAAACGATGAGGTCGACACCGAGCAAGTAATTTCGCATCGAGTCGAGCTGCATCATGACGAGGCTTTCAGCGTTGGAAATGCGATGCTGCAGTAGCTCAGATTTTGTACGAGTAGAGAAAATATCTTGAAGATAATTCTCAATCAGCACTTCAATCTCTTCTCCATCAATGCTCCAAAGATCCGACAGCAGGTTTGGCTCGTTGTACAATTTGGTAAGGAACAGCAGACGAAGATTCTCTTCATTGTCCAATAACATCATGAGTACACGACGTACCCCATCAACATGAGCCTCGAATTCGTTGACAGTGTTTTTCAACTCGCGCAACTTTTCAAGCTTTCGAGCATCCAAACCACCATGCATAAGACCATCCACAGCCCCGATAACAGCAGGTGATAATTCTTCGTACTGCAGTTCAAAGTAACGTGATAGTGTCGACAGCAATGCTTCCAAAGCTCTGTGACAAGAGAAAAGTATTACAACCAGCCTCGTTCAATTGGCATCGGATCGTAGCCTACCTGAACTCAAACGGAGCATTGTCCTCAAGCGTACTTTCGGCAAACTTTGATTCCAAGATCAACAGGAGGGTGTCGGCTTCGTCAGGGACGTATATCAAACACGTGTCTCGTAGAATAATAGCGCGCAGAGGATCTACATGAATGTCAGTAAACGTGGAAACAACATTTGTTCAGCAAACATGCTGTTATTTCTCTTACCAGCACTGATCAAGATCGCTTGTTTTCGAACAGTAATCCGAGGCTCGTTTGTCACTGAGAATGCATTCTCCATCTTGCGAATGTCGCGAGAATGAACGAGCTGTTGTGCCAAAACCAAAGATTGTATAAAGCTAGGAATAAAGACAAACTCTCAAGAACTGCACGTACCTGAACACTGACAGGAGTATAAAGATCCTGTTGACTTGCAGTGCGAGATTGTTGACCCAATCTCCTAACACTAACACTTGTTAAACTACTGCGTCTGCGCAATGGTGGAAATAATTTTTCCAAATTCGGTGACGACATGTCTTCAGAGACGACTTTTTCCTTTGGTTCTGCAGCTTCTTGCGTCATTCGAAGCACTTCCTGGCGACTCATTTCCTTGAATGTCGGTCTTCCTTCCCGATCGAAAATCATCACAAGCACTCGACTGTTTTTTGGCCCAGCGTCGAATTGGCATTCAAATTTCTTTGCTGAATTGAGACTTGAACCACCTAATACAACGGTCTTTGTTGACCGTATCCCGACCGCGTGCTGGTACGTCCCGTATGCAATTGCAGGGTTAATGTGGTCATTAACCTGTTGTTCTAATGCTCCACCGAGAAGGGGCAAAAGAGATGCATCGTCTTCTCCTTCACTGCGCATTTCGTTTGAGATTTTCGTGCTACTGCTACGTCAAGATTCGGCGGCTAGAAAGCAAGATCCATTCACTACGTCCTTTGGTTCCCAATGTATTTGAAGGACAAATGTGGTGGTTTCGCCCAAAGATTTGCTCGGGGTCGGTCATGTTAAACTACTCGAACTGTATTGTGCAACGTCTCGAACATGGGGACCACCTAGAAGTCATCGAGTTACTTTCTGCTGGTTACAAGTTAATCTTGAAGCTTGAACCCTCCACCTGTGAAGAAAGCTAATCATCAAGTCTATGCCAAGCGGAGAAGACAAATGCTTCGAAAACGAAACGTCTCAGCTTGGTGAGACCAGAAACCGATTGCAACGTCAATGAAGCGAAGCACAAGGTCCTAGTTTCAGCCGATGGAGCTGGAGTCAAAGTAGTTGGTGCTGTGCTTATGGGTCTGCATATTCACAGCGACACCATGCACCACTAAACCACAACAAAGCTTACACGCTGTCCACTCTTGGCACTCGACTCTCTCTATTCATTGGAGACTAGAAAAATGCTGCGCGTTACGCAATCCCACACGATTGCCTACCAACCATTCTACGTCCGGATCTGGAAGCGACCAGCCTTCGCCATTGTTCGCACACCCTTGTAAGGCTTGTATTTTTCATTGGTGATCAGCAACGTTTCAACGTTCAGCCCAGAAACGGTTGACATCGGTACCTTGAAGCCGAGAAGCACAACGGGCTTCTCGTCCGGCACAACAGCGCTCTGGTGGAGAATGATGTTGCCACGCAAAGATGGGTTCAGCACCTTCTTGCCTAGCTTGCCCACATTCCACTTGACAGTCTTGGATGCCTCATCGAACAAGCAGGTGCCATACTCTGTATTCACATCAACTGTACGCACGCTCTTTGGAAAAGTCACTTCCACAGTGACTTCTTCGACCTGCAAATTTCTCTTTGCGTTCGAGTTCAACGTGGGCATGCCCCGCGTACCTACCATCAAGTCTAGAATACCCCCACCCTTCTCATTGTACGTGATCTGCGGTTGACAGTACACTGGTGGAACAAGCTCCTGCACTTGAACGCGGTACTGCAGGAGCTCAAATTGTCCATCAGGTGGCACAAACGAGATCACGCGTTCTCGCTCATACCTCGAGTACCGCACACATGGATGGAACGAGCAGTCGTCAATCACGGACGGATCCGTGAACACCATGGTAAGATCTGGTACGCCAGAAAGGCGACTGTTGCTTTGAATGGCACCATTCACCTCGCACGAAATCATGCGGCCAGACACATCAATAATGGCGTCAATTTCCTCCACGATGTCAAAGTAGATTTCGTTTTGCGTATAGCGCACGCCGCTTTTCCGCCACGGAATGTTAGAAATCGCACCGTCCGGCAGCGTATTGCTTACACGTGACTTGCCCGACACCATTGCAGCTATACGATTGGCAGTAGAAGGCGGAGCCACCATCGCTTTGAGTGCGTTTGGCTCCGTGGTCAACGGGTAGCCATTGTCCAGCATCTCTTCGAGTAGTTGGTAAACCGTCGAGAAGTTGTCCTTCATTGCATTCTCATCAAAGTTGCCGAAATAGTCACGGAAGACCGCAAGGATTCGGTGCAGGAGCTCAATAACAAAAAGAGGCGAGATCTACCGACACAAATCACAACAATTGTTACATCAGACATCTTCTACTTTTTTCTCTGTCTCTCGCTCGGTACCGACCTCGTTCGTTACGACTGCCAGTACAAACAAATCATCACGAAAAACACTGATGAGATAATACTTGCTGGTGGTGATAATGGGCGGCACGTCCTCGCGCTCGCGGTATTTATTGACCTCCTCCATGAAAAAATCGCACACGTTACGATTCGTAAGACCGCGCCAGTGTTTCTCGATGATGACCTCACTGAATCGATATTACAGAAGCCAGAGACGATAGAGTGAGATGCAGATAGTAGATATAGCCACGAGTACGAGCACACGTACCCGGTTGTAGTCAGAATAAACATGGACTGGATCATAACACCGCTTCTTTTTGCCAAATCTTGGAAATCAAAATGTAGTATGTGTTGTGTGTTCCACACGATGAAGGATTATCACAAAAGGTGATCAGAATGACTAAAACACGTTTAGATTTTACAAAAGACGAAGTAAAAAGTATCAGATAAGAGATTATGCAAAAAGTTCCTTGGCGAGACATTCGTAAAGCTACTCGAAGTGCTTCTCTTACAGCCTCTTTCAACTATTTCTTGGTGCCAATCTTGCTCATTCTTCATACTCATTGTCATCACGACCCTTGACTTGCTTCAGCTTCACTTCATCTACCTTGTATACGTTGCCTCCATTGTACCCGGCAAATACCTTGGCCGTAATCTCCACCTGAGCATCCTTTGGGATTAAATCCTCCGGAATAGGAATACGCTCGACAATCTTAATTCCCTGAGATCCGCACGTAATGTCAGTATGCACATAGTCTAGTTTTTACGTAAGAAACAAAGACGTACCGAGTTGACGATGGCATCGTACTTCATGTCGCTCATTGACACGAATTTGTCAATCTTGGTAATGCCAAGCCAGTGCAGAGCATCAGGCATCAACGCCTGAAAACGCACGTCCTGGATACCAGCCACCGTCTGAGTGCAGTTGAAGTACTCTTCCGCACTGTCGCCACCCTCTTGACGCTTGCGGAGATTGTATACCAAGTACTTGGTTACTTCACCCAAGGCACGGCCTTCTTTTCGGAAGTAGATAATGATTCCAGCTCTATTGTAGTACAGCAAAAGCCACATATGTCAAATCAACATCGACAAGCATCAACTACCTGTCGCAGTTTCGTACCCCCCTTCTTGTGCCGTTTGCACGCAAACTTCAATTCCGTGGGCGAGGTAGGGTCGACACGTGCAAATGTCCGAGCCAAATACATCGGAGCCATTACATTCGTCGTGGACACGTACCGCCAACTTCTTTGTGGGGTCCGAAATGGCTTCAATGGAGCCAAACATGTAAATCGTCATGCTAGCAACCGAAGCAACACAAGTCCGTCATTGACCTAGCCAAACAGCAAACATTCCTAACAACAGACCATGCTTACCCTCCAATTGGCGGTAGAAACACCTTCAAGTCATTCCTCGTCACCAGCTCCGGGTACATGCCGTTGGTCTCCTGAAAGATCTGCTGACGCAGATTGGCCTCCGTCGTGTTAAAGCGCTTGGCCACTCCAGGAAGGTACCATACCGGGTCGATGGCAGCCTTCGTAATGACAAGTTGCGACGAGCTCTTGAGAATCTTCCCATCGGGTTTAAGTCGACCAAGTCGCACTGCCTCATGAATCTCCGGGAAGTCCATGTGGGCCTTTGTGACTGCAATAGTAGGACGAATGTCGTACCCTTTCTGGAAATACTCTGGGAAGGCCTCCACCACACAAGCTCCGAACGGATCAATCGTGACCATCTTCTCGGGATCAAACCACGACGGATGAGGGCCAATCTTAGCGGCAGGTGTAGTCTGTCGAAGGTCAGGCACCAAATTCTTGGCAATAGCACCCGACGCTACTGCCAGTCCACGATAAATGCAGTACGAGCCGCCATGCGCACCGATGGCGTTGCGGTACTTATGGTGCCGATTTGTACCAATGACCGGGCCACGCATGTCTGGCTCTTTCTCTCCCCACTACAACAACCACAAAAGTTAGTTACTCGGATAATTTCTTTGTATTGAAAGTGTAATGCACGGCTGTACCCGAATACGAACGGGTTCAACGCCAAATTGTTCGGCATGCGACGTAAGTGAGACGTAAAACTGGTTAGGGTCAAACTCGTCCTTCTTGTCAATTTGTTTCACGTTATCCGCTATCTCGAGAGCATCCTCAGACGTCAGTAACAAGCACGACAACCGGTAGAAGGGTCGAGTATTCACTTACCATCGATGGATATCTTACGCTTACCAAGCGTCGCTACTTTCTTCATGAGAGCGGTCTTGCTGTCATTTGTACTGGTCTTCATAGTTCAAGTTGCTTTTATCGAGCACAAAATCGTTAAGCTGAACGTCTTCTAAACACTTGAACGGAAAAGGCGCAATGAATCGAAGGCAGTCGCGTGGAAAATGCCAGCAAACTGATACCTGTCGACTTTGATGGCTCTTGAAGTTTACTTCGGAAGGCTAATGGACCTTTTTCTGGTAGATTCAAGAGTGGTGATTGGCTAAGATAAACACAAACCTAATTATTATGGCAGCATGCATTCAGCGCACAGTCATTCGGTCATTGTCAATAAAAACAGCGCGGCTGAAGATGCAGCTGTCGAAAGGCGATGTTTTTACGCATTTCTGAGCGGGCTTTAGTCAAATTTGGGAAGATGTAGAAGAGTTGTGTGTCGCCATGAAGCTAGAAATGCGTACAATGTCGACCCACAACTCTGTCACATGCAGAAAACAATGCGTATCAAGCAAATAGCAATCAAACCCATATTTCCGAACCCTTATTTACGCCTATATAATCTAGTTGTACTAACGTCTTAGTCGTATATGAAGCCAAGTACAAGGCGACGTCACTAAAGTGACATCAAAGATTGAACAAATAAAATGAACCGCATCGAGACCGAGAAGTTCAAAACCGGTATGAACCGGTACACGTTTGAATTTTAAATTAAAAACTCCTCATTGGCTACTATCCGTCCCTTTGTTTCCCCATAGTAAACACAAGTCAATCGTATCCATTCAGACGTAGTTAATAGTGCTTTTTCCCCAAAATCCCAACTTCGATCCGTCACCGTTGGCGCCATCAAGTGCATTTAACCATCAGATTTGCTTCCATCCTGTATATAACACTTGTGTGTGTGTCTTCATTCTACCCATATCTACACCTCCTACACGTCATCAGCCATGTCGTTTACTAGAAGAAGTGCTCGCATTACCAATGAGAATGAAATACCTCTAGATCTACCTACTTCTCGTCCTGGAAAGGTGCAAAGCAATTTTGCCAGTCAAATGGACGATGTAATGTGGACTACGTACATCTAATGTTGTGTTGTGATCTTGTGCTGTATGCAGCGTCTGCTTTCAAGAGATGCTCACGACTCTGAAAACGCTGAAAAGCGTCCGAGGTACACGAAATCCCACAACAACACGACCACTGGAGGTCCTCGACGAGCTGTTTTAAGTGATGTAACCAATCGACGAGCTGCTTTAGGTGATGTAACCAACAGGATCAATGTACGTTGAAAGAAGGATGATAAATGAAGACGCAATGACTGATCAGGTGATAATCTCGTTCATGGAACTGATACTTGCAGATTAAGAAGGATACTATGAGCACCATGAGCTCAAACATTTTCAATGCTGGAGTACTGGCCAAGAAGAAGGTGATTGCAAGCAAACGAAACCTCAACAACGTTAACGCAAGCAGTCGCAGTCTCAACAACACCAACGCCAACAAGAGAAACTTTAGCAACGTGACTCTCAGCAGCCGTCATACCACTGCCTCGACTAGTAGTACGGCGATGCTTAGTAGCCACATCTCGTCGTCTATCATTAGTAGAATGAGATGTCCTCTTCCACCCACGACACCTGTCGACAGTACGTGTGGATCCATGAAACTAAGAGGCAAAATTTCACCAATGGTGGATGTTAGTTCACCAATTACGGAAGAAAATGATCACGATATAGATTCGGACGATAGGAATGATCCGACTACGTGCTGGCAATACGCTGAGGACATTACAAAGTATCACCTGGAGGCGGAGGTAAGTTGCTTTGTGGTCTTGTGAAAAGAGAGAGGTATCTTTTGTTGACGAGAGTGCTTGAGATGCTTGATTATGCAGAAGAAGAGCATGCCCAGCAGCTCGTATATGACCCGCCAATCGGACATTAACTCGAAGATGCGCTCTATCCTCGTGGATTGGCTGGTCGACGTCCACTACAAGTATGGCTTGCTACCGCAAACTTTACACATTGCTGTTCTTCTTATTGACCACTACTTGGAGAAGAACCTGACGATCGAGCGTCAGCGTCTTCAACTTGTTGGCATTTCGGCGATGTTTATTGCCGCAAAATACGAAGAGATCTATCCCCCGGAAGCTGCAGACTTTGTTAAAATTACAGACAGCGCCTATACGCGTGAAGAAGTTTTCCAGATGGAATCGAAAATGCTGGCAACACTTGGCTACCGAGTGACATTCCCGACTGCTTTCCAATTTATGAAGCGGTTTCTCAAGGCATCGCGTACATGTGATGACCGCGTGGAGCACTTCGCCCACTACGCAATTGATCGTAGCCTGCAGGAGTATAAGCTGACAAAGTACTTACCTTCGACGATCGCGGCGTCGGCAGTTCGTATTGCTCGGACACAGATGCGAGATATACCAGTCTGGGTACGTGACAAGGCTTTTGTTTTGACTTAAGTTCTTGTATAGCTAACACTGTGCATTTTGATGTCAATGCTAGTCGTCGACTCTAGAATATCATACGTCGTATAGTGAGCGCAGCTTGGATCCTTGTGTGGAAGATATGACAGAAATGCTGTGGAACACATACAAGGGTGTAGGCAAGATGGCCAAGCTCACTGCTGCACGGCGAAAATTCAGCAAAGAACGCTTCATGAGAGTGGCAGCTGAACCGCTTGAGCTTGGCAAAAGCACTAAATGAGTGCACGAGGACTATAGTCGCTCTGACCTTGAACTGCTGCGATCCGTCCACGCTGAAGACAAATTATGGAATTGATTGTACAAAGCATCATGACCTCACCAACGCTTAGAGGTTATGAAGCAATCGCGGAACACGCGCCCGAGACATTATGTGTCGTATCCATATACTTTATTCTGTTCATATGTTCGCGCTTCATACAGCGCTTGACATGAGACACCCGCGACCCTAAATCGTACAGCTACGTAGGTAATGAATGTTAACAACCGAATACAAAAACGCAGCCCATAATATCGGAGAATAGTACATGTGCAATATGGTCTATGACATCAGAAACTACAGCTCTGCCTATCTCAGCTTAATCCACGCCGAGATCGCCCGCGTCCTCCTCTTCCTCGTCGCTACTCACGTCCAGAGCCGAGATCTCGTTAGCGAGCTGACTAGCAATATCCTCCGAGACTTCTTCATCCTCTCCACTCGTTGGAAGGGTTGACGATGCCGTAACGACTGTCTTCTCCAGCGCCTTCTGTTTCTTGCTAATCTTGGTTTGTACCTTGGGCTCTTTTGGCACAGTCGCCTTGAGCGGTGCTGCTAGGATCGGCGGCACCACCACTTCGCCGTTCCCAGTCGTTTTAGTTTCTTGATCAGCTGCAAATGACTTTGTGCGCACCTCATTCCAGTCAGGCTCCTCACCCTCTTCGTCACGAATGAGGAAGTCCACAAGTTTGTAGATCTGGTCGCCAATCTCCTCATCGGGCTCCTCCAAGTGAGCGTTACGAATGATCGGGTATGCTTTCTTGCGACGCAGCTCGTTACGCCCGGTGCGTGTCGTGCACAGCAGCAATAGGCAGTCCACAGCAGCAAGACGAACTAGTCGATCGTGCTCTCGCTTTTTCTTGTTACCTTGGCTATACACCACCGGGTTCATGCCCATCTTGTCGTCCTCATCGAGTTCCTCCGGACCAGCAAGCAAGACCATCATATGAGTGGGAATATCCAATTGGTCGCACAAGTAGAAGTGGTTGTCTGAGTCAAAACACAAGTTCTTGAGTGCAGCTGTGATACCTCGCCGACGCACGACATTAGGTGATTTGAGTTGCGGAAGAAGCGCACCCGCCAGTGACGTACTTTGACGCATCTTGAGTAAAAAGTCTCGCCCTTGTTCCAACTGGCTAATGTTAGCCAGAATGTTTGCCACATACTGGTACTCGTCGTCCCATGTGGGTTCACCCGTTGAGCTGTCAACTCCATCAGGCTCTGGTTTTCCTTCTAGAAATGAGCTAGTAAGTGTACGAATCTTCTTTTCACGCAGAGCAATAGCAGCATCCGTTGACTTGTCATCGTACCCTAACAGAGCCTTTGTGCCTTCTATTGTTGTAGTTACATTGGCCAGCAACATCATGGAATAGTCAGTCAGATGCCACTCATCGTCCTCCACTTGGGCCATGACGCGATTTAGCAGATCAAACTTGAGTGCACGCTCACAGGCCACTGGATTGGCTGCCGTTAAGTTGATAAGTGCCTTGATAGCGTCCTCTGCAATGGGCCGCATGTCGCTAACAATGCGACAAAGCGCTTGTACCACATCAAACTTCTTGAGCTGTAGCAACTGAAACATCCCTTGGTCCGATGCCGTCATGTTAATAAGTAGACTGGACGCTGCTTTGCGCAACTCTGGTCGTGGATGTGACAAGAAAGAAACTAATTCCTCCACGGATTTATCCTGGTCCGTTATCGTCTGCTCCGTCATGTATCAAGCGAATTGAATAATGGACACCAACGAATGCGTGTCAAAATCTCTGGTCGAAGAACTGTCCCACCTTGAGTTGATTTAACAATGGAATTGACAATTCAAATTGGACAATTGTCCGTCCACCATATTATAATCTGTGACGTGCTACGAAACGCGTAGATGGTGGTACCTCTCAAGCGCATTGTGGACGTGGTGCGTCGAACCCGTGGATGTGTGGTCTCGAATGCCATTGAACCTCTTTTTATTCCTGGTATGGGCATAGGAATTGTAGCGTGTGCGTATATTCCAAAGGATACGTTGGTGTTCCAGGCCGGCCATGACACCTGGTATCCGTTTTCAGCAGAGCATGCGCTGGAGACTGCACAGCAGAAAGCTCCAGGCTTTTTAACGCAATGGAACCAGCTGATGGAATCAAACAAAACACTAAGTGAGAACTCTCGATTTGTACACAGTGCGATTGTGTTGGGGGTGCACATGCTGGTGAATTATCCACATGCAAAAGATCCCGACGCGACTTTAGAGACCATTGCAAAGAGTGAGACCCCACCGCTGAATGAGTTGTATGTCCAGTCGCTACCACGGTCTGTGGATCTACCATTGTTCTGGAATGATAAGCAATTTCAAGAGCTACAAGGGTGTAAGGAGGCGCGTCGGGTCATGCAGCATGGGTTCGTAACACCGCCAAATTGTTGTTGACTATGGAGGTGACAAGATGTTGATCCCTGTTGTTACGACAGAGAGCGCTTCTATACGCAAATTTACAAGTACTTTTTCGGCAACAACAACCAGTTTGTGAGCCTGAAAGCATTCTTCTGGGCCATTTCAATTCTAATGTCACGCGCAACGTCGAGCCGGAATCAACCGTTTACGCTTGTTCCTCTCTTTGACTGGTTTAATCACGCTGACAATGGGTACGTATTGAAACCTGCACTGCTCGTTGATAACATTAGAGTGCTTACCGTAGCTAACTGTGTTCTGAAGTGATGAGTGCGTTCAGGAATTTGACCCCCAAAAGGGGTTTATGATACATACTACAAAAGCCTACGAACCGGGCGAGCAACTCTTTATCAGTTACGGTAACCATGGCAATCTTCGACTACTTCGCAATTACGGCTTTGCAACCCTTGACAACCCGTACGATGTCGTCAATCTTCCAATGCCAATATCGTTGCAACAGCCGAACCCGGCAGACCCCGCTTTTTCTCAGAAACGAGAGCTGTTGTTATCTGCTGCTGGTAGTCAAGCAGACGTGCCAGCTTTAAAAAACTTGACAATCCAGCACGATGGAAGTCTTAGTCCAAACGCGGAGCACTGGTTGGCGATTATACTCGCTACACCGGAAGAGCTGGGTGATATTTTCACGCAAGCAGCATTGCAACCAGCCACTGAAGCGGACATCACGCCGTCGCTTCGACTTCCGTCGTCATTGGTGCGTAAAGCCAGCGCTGAAGTTAGAAACATGGTGTCAAGACGGATGAAGCAACACTGCTCTACATTCGAGGTAAGCAGACGCTGCGGTGGTGATGGGATGAATCCGATGCTAATCTTTGTCTCTGCACTGGTATGTGCTACATAGGAAGATGACGCGTTTCTTCGCACCAACGACCAGAAATTGGCGCCGTGGCTACGATCATGCCTGCATCTTCGAATGGGCGAAAAACAAATGCTGATGCGGGCAGCGGCCAAATATACCTAGATAACCTACCCTTCATAAAATAGATTGAGTTGATTTAGCGCTGCTCTCTCTTCACACAGGCTGCCCATGCACTCTGAACCGATACAGGCACGTATACTCGGGATGACCATGGTTGGAAAGCACCTCCAGGGTAATACCATCGATAGCTGAATGTTGACTCTACGCACAGACGACATTCGGACGCCACAGATCATTATTAGCAATGGACCTCCTGGAAATAAACAACAATCAGGACATCGCTTACCTGCAGGGGCGTGAGCTTGAACGTCTGACTAGCCGGGCCGTTGCTAGCATACGAAAAGTTCCCAAAGGGAATAAAATCCACAGTTTCTCGAAGTGGATGGCCCGATATGCCCTAGGAAACAAAATATGAACTAATATTAGAACGGTCGTGATAGCAGCAAAGCGGGTACAGTTTGTTTTCTTACTAGGATACGAAACTCGTTTGGCGCAGAACTGAAGTCAGAAGCGATTTGAGCTGGAATATGATCGATTGTGATAGAGTCTGCAATAATTTGCAAAGCAAACTTAACGGAGAGGCGACCGGATGAGCCTGCGAAACCCCAACAGCTACCAATTTCCATCGTTTCCTATTTCGTGCATATTCGTGTCAGCAATTGCTACATGTTGAAACATCCGAAAAGGTGCAATACAAGCGTACATACCGACAATGCAGTTTCTGGTCGACCGTTATGGCGTGAGAGCCACCACGGAATTTCTCCTAAAGACAGCAATAATCCCAATAATGGGGCTGGCGCTCGGCGGTATGAAGGCGACGTAAATTTGGTATCGTCAATGAGGTCGCTCCATCCAATAAGCTGGGTGAAAAGCTCGATCAGAGACAATCGATCCTGATACAAGAGGTCGCTAGAGAAATGGCAAGATCACGAGAATGCACAGGTTAGTAAGAAAGGAAGTCGAACAATAATGTGGCGTGGGGGAGCTTACCTCCCACGCCACACTATAAGAAGACGTACCGCTCTGAATGAATAACTGAGGCACCATTGGCCAGGGCTGCATGATCCACGCGTCCCGTTTTCTTAATTTCAACAGCCTGTACTGCTACCTCAATGACGCGGAGGATCCCCGGGTCAGTGGCATCCAAGCCTCGAAGAGCATCAGCACTGGAAGAAAACGCCTGTTTTTCTTCTTGTAACACCCTCAACATGCGGCTCTCCACAGCCTGCATCTTACGTTGCATCTCAGACTCCAGCTCGCGCTCGAATGAATCACGCCAGCCACTAAATTCTTTTCGCATCTCACGACCCCATGCAAACTCGTTTGCTGTATCTGGTGTCGGAGCCGTTGCAGCCTTCTTCATCATATCTTGCATAAACTACATGTCAAACGTAGTGTCTTAGTAACTAGTAAAACGTCACATATCACTTGAAGAAAGGAATAAACCAGCTTACATCCATCTTCTCTTGCTGCTTCATTACTACAGATGAGAGCTGAGCTTGTTGCTTCGATATAGACCGCAAGTCTTGCTGCAGTTGTGAGGTCTTACCCAGGAAGTTCTCCCACTACGTCGAAAAAAGTGGATCATACAGCATAGTACACACCATGGTTAATACGTTACCGTATAAACAATGATAAACATCGCACGACACTAACCATTTTTTCTGTATGCTTGGCCACAACGTTCTGCACGTGGACTGTGATAGCGCTGTCAGATTCGACAAGGCTGAACTTTTGCTGTACTTCGTTATGAGCATTACGCAGCAAATCATGAAACGATTTCAAAGCTCCAATTTCCTTTTCTTGATACCGTACAGTTTGCTGCAGCATTCTAATCTCCTTGGTCATGTCTAACACCTTCAAGTCCACGATCTCTCGCATCATGGATTGCATCGCCCCCATCTCAAAACCTGTATCTGTGCGCCCACGCGCACCACTTACTTTCGTAGACAAGACATCAACATACTCAATCGCGCTTGCCAGATACTGTGGGACCGTAATAGCGATCACGAAGCAGCACAACGGTGCAAGTAGCCACAGTACATTTACCGCCATGAACGAATTGCGCAGTATGAAACGCCACAATCTTCGCAAGTATTTGAGTAACTTCTTCACAGCTTTCAAGTCCATAATCTTATGCCACAATCCACTACCATTATGAGGTCTCTTAAAACAAGCAGCAACTCCCGCTGCTCGTCTCTTGAGCTCCGAGCGTCGTACTCGATGCTCGTGCGTTTCCATGTCCCTGTCATTTTCTTCCTCAACTTCAATAGACTTTGTTACATCTTTCTCACTCATCAAAGGCGTCTTGTATGTCGTATTGCAGTAAACTTTCTCTCCATAGCCGTCCAACTCTTCCAACTCGCTATCGTCTTCATCCTCGTCCTCAAGATCATCTCCTGATCGCAATATTAGCGTGCGTTGGACCGGCTCAGGTGTATGAATCCCATAGCGTTGACTTCTACTTGTCGTAATATCTTCCAGTTCCTCTTCGTCCTCGGAAGACGTCGCATCCGAGCGTCTGCAGCTGCGCAGCCGCCGATTGTACACGTTGCCTTCGACCATCACTCTGATAATGACCCTAATATGGACTAAATTTGTGATAATCACAAATAATGCGATCGATTTTGCGCCCGCGTCACTTTTTGATTCAAAGTTCTAGCCAAAAAGCATATGAACTCGGTGACTAAAGGACGACATCGCAGCAGTGCGTCTCTCGATGGCAGTTCGAGCTTTTCAACGCCTACAAAAGATGAAATTGGAAGCTTGAACGTTATCACATCCAAAATTGAAGTAGTTCAAGCTCCATCGAGTGTAGAATCGTCCATAGAGACGCAGCAACAACAAACTTTTACGAGCCTCATGGGCAAACGTGGAGCTGAATCAGAACTGAATGAGGAAGAGCGTGATGATGAAACGGAAGAAGAGCCATCTAGTCTTGTGTCTATGATGGAGGAGCAGATACAAGAACAGGAACAGGAGCAGGCGCTCGTGCAGTGCGTGGGCATGGAGCAAAGCTTTGACTCGTGGAACGATTTTCATCGTGCCATGGACATTTATTGCGAAACGACGCACCAGCCAATGCGATTACGAACGTCTGATTCTGCTAAAGCTGTCAATTGTCGAGCTGCTAAGCGAAATAGCTTGAAAGAACCTATTGACGAGAGTGTTGGGTTCGTCAAGAAACTGTACTTGTGCACACACGGCGTAAAGACAAAACCTCGTGGAAAAGGTAAAAGACCAAGACAGCATTATCGCTATATGGGATGTCCCGCTATGATTCGAGCTTGCATCTCGGAACGCAAGCCAAATGATCCTGAAACACATGGCAAGAGCAAGTATGTCGTCCGTGTTGTGGCTCAAATTAACAGGCACAACCATCGTCTGAGCGAGCACTTGTTCAAGTCATACTCAGAGAGCCGTGTTGTGATTGATGATGAGCTCGTCGTGTTAAATTCGCAGAGCCGGCAGAAGGAAGAGCAAGTAGCAGTTGCTTCAGTTTCTGCTGCGGTTGCGCCCGTAGAACAACAGCTTGTCACGGCTCAGTCAGAATTGGAAACCTCTTCCTCGAAAACAAATTGTACGATGCTACACGTTATAATGCAGCTTCGTGCTGGATCAACTTACCTCGAGGTGCAAATTTTCTGATGTTTTTCTAATGTTTCTTGTGTTTTTTCTAAATTTGCAGCGCTGTTCCAGACTCAATCGCTCGACCTCATACCTGCGTCGCGCGTCAAAGTTCGGTATGCTTTGCAGTACTATTTTTAGTTTCTACTTGCAAAGTTACACTCACGTGCGTTGTTCTTTGTACAGTGTGGGCTGGATCGGAACGGGTATTATGGGTGCTAGCATGTGTGGGCATTTGATGGTAAGATTCCTATTGAATAATTTGGCGGGGTTTTTGATTAGTGCATTGATATTCATTGAGCTTTTATTGTCATTCCCGAAGAATCTTGGCTATGAAGCCACTGTATACAACCGAACGCTTTCGAAGTGTGACGAGCTACGAGAAAAGGGTGCAAGAGTAGCTGGGTCGCCTGCCGAAGTTGCCCAAAACTCCGGTTCGTAACATTGATACTGTATTATGATTCAGTGCGTATTGTGGCCTTACTATTCTATATTTTAGATATTGTGTTCATCATGGTAGGGTATCCTAGCGACGTCAAGTCGGTAGTGCTCGATCCAGACTCGGGTTTGCTCTCGCGAATGAAGGCTGGTGGTATCATCGTGGACATGACTACCAGTGAACCTGCGTTAGCGAAGAAGATATACGATGCGGCCAAGCTGAAGGGTGTTTCAACTCTTGATGCGCCTGTGTCAGGAGGCGATGTTGGTGCTCGCGACGGAACACTATCCATCATGGTTGGTGGTGACATGGATTCTGTCTACTTCACGATGCCGTTCCTTAGCGCCATGGGCAAGACCATTCGCCACATGGGACCTGCCGGAGCGGGCCAGCATACAAAAATGATGAACCAGATATTGATTGCTACCAATATGATCGGAGTGGTTGAAGGCCTTCTGTACGCGAAAAAGAGTGGTCTGGACATGGACGAAGCCATTCAGGCCGTGAGCGCGGGCGCAGCTGGTTCGTGGTCTATCAGTAATATGGGTCCGCGCATTGTCAAACGAGACTTCGACCCAGGCTTTTTCGTGGAGCATTTCCTGAAAGACATGGGTATCGCTCTTAAAGAAGCAGAGAAGTGCGCTGAGTGATTTCACTGCAATTGGTAATGCTGGAAGAAGATGAATCATACTAACGTCGTTCCTTACTGCAGCATGAACTTATCGCTCCCCGGACTTTCGCTAGCACATCAACTCTACGTTGCCGTAAAGGTGTGTCTCCCAGAATGAAGCCGCTGTTGTCTCAGCTGCTAATTTCACGTATGAGTTTATTAGGCGCAAGGACACGGCCGAATGGGTACCCAGGCGTTGATGCTCGCATTGGAACATTTGAATGGTACGACGCAAAAACGAAACAATTTCCTGTGACCAGTTGCCTGACCCAATGCGTGCTACGTACGGAATGTTGCCTAGGTATTTATCCAGAGAAAACCAACAACGTGGAAGTGGTGTAATCCTCTCAGCCGGTCGACTACTGTAACGTATTCTTCTGCCTTGAGTGAGGGTCATGATGGCTTCCACTTGTCAGCAAAAGATTGTTTGACACAAGCTCATTTTGGTAATGGGTAAGATGCTATTCCTACCAATCCAAAGGTTTGCGAGGTTAGTGGCAACAACTGGTTCCATGTAGCACAGACGACCACGGTCCATTGCACTAGAACAAGGAGTCTCCCAGTGCTGCCATTTTGAGACTGAAGTAGCTTTATCGTTCCCGGATTTCGTGGACTCCTCAAGCTAATTAAAAAGTTTTGCAATGCAGGTTAGTACGCCTAAAGTTTACATTCCGGTCATGCACATAAGCTGAATCCACCCACACCCTATTGAATCTTCAGCAAGCTTTACATCCAATGAAAGACTTGCTTGCAGATGCTTGAAGGTTTACACTGATCACTTCTGATTTAGCAAGACGTGAGCTTCTTTTAACAATGGTTGCGGTTGTCAAGCCCAGGTACAGACTGGGAAAGAATACGTGTTGTTGTTTCTCAAGTCTAACGTTATGGAAATGTGCTTTTGTCTAGAGTTGGATGGGTTGGAACGGGCGTCATGGGCGCTAGCATGGTTAGCCACATCCTGGTACGTGTAGGAACCCCATCTACTGTAGACGTAACATATCAATAAGAAAAGAAGGAAGGTCTTTGCTGATGTTTCGACTGGTGCTTGGAGATTAGAAACACGGATATGAGGTAACGGTGTTCAATCGCACGTTGTCCAAGTGTGAGGGCATCAAGAAACAAGGCGCACAATTGGCCAGCTCCCCCGCGGAAGTGGCAAAGGTTTCTGGTTCGTGTTTTCACTCTTACAATATCATCTTTTCATCTTCCGAATCGTTCATGTAGCTAAGCCCAGAACGTACTTGTTTTGGTGCATTTCAGACATCGTCTTTGGCATTTTGGGCTACCCAAGCGACGTGCGCAAGGTATTCCTGGACCCTGCGTGGGGTGTGTTGTCCTCAATAAAATCGGGAGGCGTCATTGTTGACATGACCACGAGTGAGCCGTCGCTAGCTAAGGAGATTTATGAGGCTGCAAAGCTAAAAGGAGTCTCTAGCCTGGATGCCCCAGTCTCCGGCGGCGATGTCGGCGCGCGAGAAGGTACGCTCTCCATTATGGTTGGTGGTGACTCCAACACTGTGGAGTCCACACTGCCGCTTTTTGAACTCATGGGCAAGAACATTCGCCATATGGGCGGCGCCGGCGCTGGTCAGCACACGAAGATGGTGAACCAGATCCTGATTGCCACAAACATGATTGGTGTCGTCGAGGGTCTTCTCTATGCGCAAAAGAGCGGCTTGGACGTGGAGGAAGCTATCCGAGCCGTAAGCGCAGGTGCCGCTGGCTCCTGGTCGATCAGCAACCTCGGACCTCGAATCGCAAAGCGCAACTTCGACCCTGGCTTTTTCGTTGAGCACTTTGTTAAGGATATGGGCATCGCACTGAAAGAAGCCGATGGGTACGATGGTCTGAGGCATGGGAGGACGGATTTTTGTATTTACAATCTCTTTCTTGTATGTTTGAGTAGAATGAACCTGTCTCTTCCTGGTCTTGCCCTCGCTAACCAGCTGTACGTCGCTGTAAAGGCCCAAGGACATGGCCGATTGGGGACGCAGTCCTTGATGCTTGCACTCGAGCAGCTGAATGGCATCGACTCGTCCGCTACTGAAATCAAGTCAACTTGAAGTCGTTATTGTAGCATGAATGTAGCTAATTCGCTCAAAATTAGCTATTTTGTGCCTCGAAAAGAACAGTCGAATCAAATCGAAGGAGCACTTATTCAATTCGCCTATACATTTATCCGGATACCATGAACCTGCCCGAGGAAGAGCTAAAGCAGCCGCTTGTGGGCCCTCAGGAGGAAGTGCCATCGCTACGATCTGGAAGTGCAGGTACTAATCACACGATGCACAATCCATCTGTGGACGTAGGTGCTGAAGAAGAAAAAGAGGAGACGTTTCGGAGTCACGGGACCTGTCCACAAGTACAGCAGCAGAAGATGCCGTATGCAGCGCCAAACGTTCATCCATACGCTTTACCACAGTATCAGCCACGAGAATACGGTGAAAGTGCCGGCAATTACTGGGGTGGAGGTCAGGATGAAGAGAGTGGAAGCGACCACGGGATCATAGTGGACATTGTCTTTAGTGGCATGTACACGCTCGCCGCTGCATTCACTATCATTCAAGGTTTTGGCATGCTCATTCACTTTACATATGCAGCCGGTACGTCCTTGATCGTCTTGAGTTTTGCAGTTTCTATGGCTGCAGGCCATCTATTCTTTTGCAAACAGCATTGCTAGTGGGATTGCTAATTATTTGTTGCTAACTATGTTTGTGATACAGTCACGTTGGGATTATATACTATGGCGTTTGGTAAGCTGCTTCAACCATCTTGAGGTAGAGGAAGCTGTGAGTATCCTTGTGACTAATGCACCCTGCTTGTTTTTGTGACTGATAGGCGTGGCAGTTATAATGTATGATTTGAAGTCTGTGGTGCATGGTCTGAGCGTGGAGATGTACTTGCCGTTTCTGGGCAACTACATTGGACGCGCTGCAACCATCCTATTCTTTGCTGTATTGTGTGCACAAACCTACGAATACGCAGGCTGGACCAAGTTTATTGTGCTGTACAACTTGCTCGTTGCTACGCTGCAGGGGTTTGTGTACGTCACCACGAAGACTGTGACACCAAACCAGCCTCAAATGGACGATCTGTCCGATTTGTAAAAGCTGGCGCAATATGTGACGAAGTAAATACATGAGCAGGAATCCATCGTTTTGTTGGATGTTATTTGTAGAGGCATTTGCAAAACAGTGCTGATTGCAGTGACCCAATTTAAAAACAAAAAATGCACTAAAATAGGTTCTTACGCAACTTAAATAAATGGTAACCGCAAGAAAAAATAATGGGACGAGAGAAAATTGCACCCAATGTCGACCATAATACAGTAGATCTGATCAAATCTGATGCAATGTCAGAACTCGAAGCAGAATGAATGCTAAGGAAGTGTATGGAAAGTCCAAGTAGATGTTGCCAAATCGCATGCTGAATGTGTTTCGATTGTACCTTTTAGTCGCGCTTCACGAGTGATGGTCTGTAAATAAGAAAATCCTTCCATGAAATACGCAGTATGCGTTTTGTATGTCCAGATCCATCTGGAACGTGTAGGGAAGCTTCTTCACATAAATCCGTTTTGGTTGACGGACGTCCACGTCGCAGACGGAGTTTTCTTTCGGCTGCGGCGGTTTTGTTTTTTCTCATTCTCCAATTTTCTTCAAGAGACCAAGAGCAAACCAGAGCAAACCGAAACAAACCAAGAACTACTCAAGATGCAGATTTTTGTCAAGACACTGACGGGCAAGACGATCACGCTGGAGGTGGAATCTTCTGATTCGATTGACAACGTGAAGCAAAAGATTCAAGACAAGGAAGGCATCCCGCCTGACCAGCAGCGTCTGATCTTTGCTGGCAAGCAGCTGGAAGACGGTCGCACGCTGTCTGACTACAATATCCAGAAGGAGTCTACGCTACACCTGGTGCTGCGCCTGCGTGGTGGTATGCAGATTTTTGTCAAGACACTGACGGGCAAGACGATCACGCTGGAGGTGGAATCGTCTGATTCGATTGACAACGTGAAGCAAAAGATTCAAGACAAGGAAGGCATCCCGCCTGACCAGCAGCGTCTGATCTTTGCTGGCAAGCAGCTGGAAGACGGTCGCACGCTGTCTGACTACAATATCCAGAAGGAGTCTACGCTACACCTGGTGCTCCGCCTGCGTGGTGGTATGCAGATTTTTGTCAAGACACTGACGGGCAAGACGATCACGCTGGAGGTGGAATCGTCTGATTCGATTGACAACGTGAAGCAAAAGATTCAAGACAAGGAAGGCATCCCGCCTGACCAGCAGCGTCTGATCTTTGCTGGCAAGCAGCTGGAAGACGGTCGCACGCTGTCTGACTACAATATCCAGAAGGAGTCTACGCTACACCTGGTGCTCCGCCTGCGTGGTGGTATGCAGATTTTTGTCAAGACACTGACGGGCAAGACGATCACGCTGGAGGTGGAATCGTCTGATTCGATTGACAACGTGAAGCAAAAGATTCAAGACAAGGAAGGCATCCCGCCTGACCAGCAGCGTCTGATCTTTGCTGGCAAGCAGCTGGAAGACGGTCGTACGCTGTCTGACTACAATATCCAGAAGGAGTCGACGCTACACCTGGTGTTGCGCCTGCGTGGCGGGAATTAAACACCTACAATGACTTGCTGAGATTAAGACTTTGTTTTAAAATAAAGCGGATTCATCACGTTTGTATGTTATTATTGTTTTGTCTGTGTTCCAAGTCTTTTGCTTCGTCCGTGCAGATCGTCGCCCATGTGCGCGCACTGAATTTCTGAAAAACATTCCGTAGACCCTTTACTTACAACGAATTTTGTTAATTTGTGACGGCGTCTTATGGGAAGGTAGGACATGTATGCATAGGCTTGAGGCAGCGCGAACTAGTTGTGTTGCCATCTGGTGTTGTGACTGGATGTTTGTTAGCTTCAAGCTCAATGGGCAAACTACCATTGTTGACGAAAGCTATCGTGAGCCCTTTGTCATTACTTGCTCGTGGATCATGTTCTACCGAACGCGCTTCCCACCACTTCGATTATTACATAATAGAGTTCGCTTATGCTTTGCTTCCGGTGGTCACACGCAAAACATATTAATAAGATTATAGCGGCAATACTAAACGGACACATACTTTAAAAATAAGCGCACTTGTCACAAAAATATCCGCTTGTGCGTCCAACACTGTACGGGCATTGTGACCGCTTCAGGCGTCCCAAAACAATCGTTGATGCATGTCTGCACATAATTTACTTTCACATTTGCCTACGCCACCACATCCACGCATTATCTTCTACCCAAAGAGTATGTCTATTCCTCGCAATGACTTCCTTACACTCTGGAAACTCTCCAGAACCGGAGATGAAGCCAAAATCCAGGAGCATATCGAGGAATCCGACGCAGTGGCACGTAACCTAGTGAACCTCAAACATCATCGTAAGGGCACTTCGCCGCTCATGGAAGCCGCTTCAAGCAAGTGCAATGAACCAGTTGTAGCTCAGCTCATTGCAGCCGGCGCTGATGTGAACGACGTCGATGACACTAAGCTCAAAAACACAGCCCTTCATTACGCCGCAATGACAAACGTGGACCCACTAACTATTGAGGCGTTGTTGGAGGCGGGGGCAGATGCCTTTGCAATCAACCGCAAGGGCTTTACACCGCTGGATGTTGCTCGCCAAAGCGGCCGAAAGACTGTTGGTGCGGCGCTGTTGGACCATATGAAGGTGCACGCTGGATGGCTGTTCCTGCGTGGCAAGTTTCACTGGAAAAAGCGTTGGGCTGTCGTCGTTGCCTGTAACAAGCAGCGTACCTCCACTGAGCTTTGCATCTTTCGCCGTCTGAGCGACCTTCGTCCTTCCGTAGTTATGCTTATCGACGAAGCCGCACGAATGATCCACTTTTCGTCCACAGACAGCTACTCGTGGCTTCAACGCGACAATGCATTTGTCTTTGATAAGCCCGTCATGTGCCATTACGTGAAGCGAAAGAAATTTACGCGCGCACCAATATGCAGAAAGACAATGAGCCTGGTCGACGTCGAGACGGTCCATTGCGTATTCGCCGCTGACAGCTTGAACAATTTGGCTCAATGGCGTCGCGTACTGGAGAGCTCCAACTTTTATTCGCGTGAGGATCAAACCGTCTTGCATCGGTCGTCGCTTTTTGATTCTCAAAACGGAGAGCTGTACTATTGGCCGCATGAACTTGTCGAGAACTTGCGTACAACAATCTTGCAGGGACAGGAACAAGAGCGAGAGCAAGCTAACGATCCGCTATACCAGCGTCTCCACGCTACATCCGAAGAACGTCGTACAGCTCTTGCTCCAGCTCCAGTCACTTCCAATGAACTAGCTCCTGAAACAGTTCAGACTTCAATACAGCCTCCTTCCTTGAACAAGGAGTCGATTGGTGCGCCACACCAGGACCTTCCAAGACATACTACACCTACTGAAGGAGCTGAGGAGCCAGTAGCGATGCAAAATGACGGTCGAAACCGCGTGCATTTTGCTCCTCCTCAGTCTCTGACCAATGCCAAAGTGCCACTGACAGCAGAGTCTCTGCATACAGACGTCCAGCGAACAGAGTCAAATGTCAGCATTGTGAGTGGAAGCGATGGCAATTCTGATGTTCCCGGCTTTGTAACGGGAATTGTTGTTATGAATGGTAGTGAGTCACAAGAATCGCAATGGCAGCCAAACTTAATTTTCCAGGATAAGAACGAAATCGAGAGCAAAGAAGAAAACAATCAGAAGCAGCATCAAGCACGATCGCTGTCTCCTGAATCAATCTGATTCCGATGTGTGTAAAATCTGTGGCACGGCACGACAGAATGTTAGGCGCACGTCAAAAAGGGCTGTCCAGTGTGTCGCTTGTCGCTCTTTTCTGTCCTCAAAGTCGGCAGGGAAAAGTAACTTCTAGAATAATGTGTACCACGCTACTAAACTCGAATAGTACATTCGAAGAAATCGCATTCAACCAATCACATGACTCCAAGTGATAGATACATTCATTCTCTCCCATTACCGCATTACTCGAGGAAGTCATCGCTCGTTCGTCTTCTTCGCGGCTATTGACGTATCTACGCATACATTTGAAGGTCTGTTTCATACTATATAATTAGTTTGTCGTCTTCTCTATCCAGCAGTGTCGATACTACCGTTGTAGCGCTTCAAACAACGAAGAACAAGCTTGACAAAGACAAGACTTGATTCTCCACTACAATGGCATGTTTCGACTGCTGTGGAGGCGTGAATGCTTGTATGTTATTCCTCACAGCCTGTGCTATGATCGAGTACATTGCACAGACTGTGATTCTGGTGCTGGGGCCCATGTTAACGCTGCATTTCTATCCAGAGACATCATTCCATCGTCTTGGATTCTACACTGCAATTCTCTCTGGCTCAGGGTTTCTAGGCCACGCACTGAGTTGTGGCTTTTGGATCAATTTGGCGAGATCGCTCAAGAGTAGCAAAGGTGTTATTCTATGGGGACTAGCCGTAACAGGAGCGGGATTCTTTAGTTTGCTGCTGTGCAAGAGTCTAGTGGCCATGTCGCTTGTTCGATTTGCAACTGGACTCAGTAGTGGCGTCTTACCTGTGGCTCTGATTGAGATTGACAATATTTGTGGAAATCGACAGACAAAATTGACTTCCATGGCAAAATCACTGGGTGTCGGACTTGGTGCGATAATTACGTTTGCCTTGGTCACACTTGGCGCGAAACTACCGCGAAGATCGTCTGAGGACCCGACAGTAGGAGAATCGTCGTTGTATTTTTATCCATTTTGCTTTGTGTCAATTCTTGCGTGGATTGGTGTGATGGTGATGCTAGTGGGTCTGCGTCTGCGTAGTCGGACATCGTATACTCAGCTTGCAGATGAGGAAGACGACTTTTTGAATTTTATGCCACAGATTCAGATTGATGCACAATCTTCACCACGCTCATCAACCGGTATGAACACCAGTAGCACTAGTAGCAGTGAGAGCGGTAGTCCCATGACAACTACAGTTGCTCACGTTAAGTCAGCGTTTGAGGAGACTTTTGGACGGACAGCCATGGGTTTAGGCATCAAGAAGACCATGGCCTCACCAGGAAAATTAGCAATAATCAAGATGCTGGCGACGCCGCAGCCTCATTTCCGACTAATCCGTGGTGTTTTGCCTCATTATTTCCACGGCTACACATCGGACGGACACTTGATCGTGTGGGACTTCGTTGGTAGAGTCAAGATGGATAAACTCTTTGCTGCGGGCTTCACAACTTCTGATTTGCGCGATCACTATCGCTTCTTCTTGGCCTTTGCACAGGAGACGTTGCTGCGCACACCAACACAAAAGATTGTGTATGTAGTGGATCTCGATGGCCTTTCGCTCGGCGATGCCGACGCACGTGCCGTAGATGGTGTCTGCGCAGTGGTAAAGACGGTGCAACGTGAACTGCCGGAGCGTCTGCAAGCTTTTGCAGTGCTTAATTCGCCTGTGTGGTTCTCACAGGTCATGGCACGAATTCGCCCGCATCTTGCAAAGCGCACTGCGGACAAAGTGTCGTTTCTGTCGAAGGAAACAGCCACTTATGATCTGATTGCACTTATCGGTGTTGATAGCCTTCCTCAGCGGTACGGCGGACGTAATGGCGTCGAGATTGGCAAGAGTGCACAGGAACGCTCTCTGGATGACTTGCTCAAACGAACAACTGGATCGTTGGAGCGGACAATCGAAATTGTAGGAACTCCGCGATCACGAAATTTAAATTTTGGTCGCTCGCATTCCGGTAGCACGCGCATCACCTTGAGCGACGATAACAGTGACGAAGAAGCATTCTTTGACTGCTCTGAATATGGTTTGCAGGGCATTGAAGACCTCGAGGACCAGGAGCCAGAGATTTCTGTGGTTGTGCACTCACAATCCAATTGTTCACGCAAGACTGAAACTGTTGCCCGCAGTACTGCTGCAACCTATGGAATGAAACAGCCGCGGGAGAAAAAGTCCGTGAAAGCGACTCGACCTTTGCCGAAATCTGTTGATACTTCCGTGCCTGAACTCGCAATCACACGCGAACCGCTAGCTTGTCTTGTACTGCTGGTGTATTTCTTCTGGTTGCTGGTACAGCTAAGTTTTGACGAGATGGTTCCGCTGTGGTTTTTCAAGCAGAACCCGATTACATTAGGTGGCAGCGTGAGCGCTGAACGACTCGCTTCGCGGTCAACGGTGTCCTCAATCACGCTTACAGTCTCTGGAACGTTGGCATCACTGTCTCTGGCTGTGCTCCTGAGCCAGATAGTTTCGGCCATGATGTGTTCTTCTACGCGAAATGTCATGACACCGCTTGCTACGCTACGTATTGGTTTGCTTCTTCAAGCTCCCGTTTTGGGCTGCTTTCCGCTCATCAATCTCTTTAAGGTGGATGAGCTGCCATTTTCATGGTTTATGGTGGTGGGTGTACTTGTGGTGAAGCAACTCGTCGCGGGTGTGGCTTCTCACGGAATTATGGCTCTGCTGGACAACTCCCTTGCCGTTGATCGACGGCTTGCTGTGCATCGCGCTGCACAACGCATTCGGTACGTGGCTCACTTCATCGCAAGCGCTGCGGCTCCAGCACTTTTTGCACTGCTGGGTTACTTTGAGCAGGCATTTCCTATCGACCAGAGTCTACTGTACTTCGTGCAAGCTTTGGGGCTTGTATTCTTGCTGTTGTTTTCGATTGCGATTCCCAGTCGAATGAATTTTCCTGTGCTCTTTAGCATGGGCAAGCGGTGATCATAGACGTTGACATAGGCGATAGCAAGATGTAACTTGGTGTCGAGATGATAGTGTATGCATACATTCATAGGGAAAGTTGTTACGATCGATATCTACATTGCTACTTGCTGACTCGACTCGTTTGGTAAAATTTCTGGTGTCGCGAAGGCAAACCTCAGCCTAATGATGGCTCTGATCGTTTAGAAAAGGCAAGACATGAACGCTGGCAGCCGCAATTACGTGTAGAACGCATCTGCCTTAGCTTGGCGTGTACGTGGCCATGCCGGAACGCTTGTACTCGATAAGCACGCCCACCAGGACGATGTTTAGCAGGACGATCGGGTAGAACTGCATGTAGAAGATCACGTCCCAATGGAAGATCGCGAGAAAATAAGCTAGATAGACAGCAGTGACGTGAGTGCTGATCCCCAAGAACGATGCGATGCGCGCGAGTCCGCTGAATCTTCGGCGGTAAGCTTCGTGCTGCTCACTGGTACAAGCACCTAGCACTGCTTGACGGTTGGTCTCCGCCTTTGATGCGGCATCTGACGTAAAGCTCGCCTGAATAGTGAGATAAGCCGTGTAGATTCCAAGTAGAATCGTATCCAGAGCACAAGCCGACTGTTTAAGAGCGGCACGATACTCAGCCCGCACACTGGCGACCGTTTCGCCGTCACATTCAGACTGTGGAAGGGCGTTCTCCATGTAAACGTTCTTAATCTTGTCATAAATGAGAGCGTGTAGCCAGAGCGACATGCCCGACCCGAAACCCAAATAGAATAGCATGACATTATCTCCATAATGATGCTGCATGACATCACCCATAATCAAAAAGTTAGGGACAATGACGAGAAAATCCACGACACCGTCCAAGATGCGACCTGTGCGCGTACCGCGCTTGCAGAGACGAGCAACCTGTCCATCCGTACAGTCAGAGATAATCCAAGTAAACATCAAGAACGCGGCCGCCAGCAGCGAATGGGAAGGTTCCCAGGACAGTGGGTAATGAAACTCCGAGTCATAAAGACACAAGGCGGCACCCCAGCCAAGAAATAAACCAAAGATAGTGATCTGGTTAGGAGTAATGACAAAAGGCAGGTAGCTCACAATCACAGCAGGTACAGCGGCCAGTCGTCGATGCCAATAGTAATCAATAAGCTCCTCTACGTCGTACATCTTGGTGCATGTGGCCATCAAATAACGTTCCAAGATTGACTCGTACGTGGCTTTCTTAGCGACGGACCGGGGCGAACAATTCGATGAGTTCGTGGGTGCGAGTTTAATGGTTTCCATCTCGTCATCACCGCTGCTTGTAGAGGAATTAGAGCGTAAACTGTTACGACGCTTCATGCCCTCGGACGAGCCGTTGACCGTCGAGCCATACATGATTTCTTCGGACTTGATAGCCACCATTTCGAGCACGAAATGTTCTGGCGTAATCTTAAAATGGGCTCTTTGGTCGTGGCTTTTACCAAAAAGTACGAGGGTTTTCACGAAAAGTACGAGGGCTTACCGTTCTTTTTCTTCTCACGGACGTGTCGCAGACATTCAATATAATGATCGTAGGGGTCGGGGGAGGAAATAATTTGAGGTTGTGAATTAGAGGGGGTAAATGACCTATTGTTTTTGTCGAGTTTTATTCCAAATGAAACAGTAGTTTAAACGGTGATTGATGCATATTTATCCGTCGTTAAAAGTCGTTACAAACTGATTCGAGAAGAAATAAAGTTGACTCCGCAAAAGGGTATACATTTCTAATCCGTGTGTCTCCAAATTCTCTGGCTTTTAAACCCAATTATTCGATTTTTCCTGACAAGTTAAAGTCGTTAATTTTCCATACTATTAAGCGCCGTGCACTATAATCTCTTTAAATGCAGCTCATCGCATTGGGACAAAACTGTTTGATGGTGCATGTACAATACTACTCGTTTTGGAAGTCCGACAATCAAAGTAGCGATGGTGCGGAGGAGAACACTTGCTGTCGTCATGTACGTACACGTCCACCTTCTTGCCAAGAGAATGGGCTTACATGAGCTTGTTTGTCATATAAATGCACCAGCTGCAAAGAGTGAAGATTTGTGTCGGACCGTCCGATACCCTCCAGACTCGTCTTACCGAAGCGACATGTTCCATGCTCGTAATCAGACTTGCCGGGGTCTAAAGGTCATTAGTTTTTGTAAATGATGCTGTCTGCGCTGCACTCAAATCATATTGATGTTGACTAGACGAGCATTGTACGCACTCGAGGCAGTACCGGCTGGCTCGAAGCAGTAGTGTGACTAGCCCTTACTTGACTTCATAGTTTTTCCTTTGCGCTCGACCGCCCGCCGGTCTGGCATGAGCTGGGAGTGCTGGTAAGAAACCGAAGGTTGCTATCTTTCTGGTTGACGTGGATACTGTCAAAGGCTATTGGTATCCTTCCTTGAAGCTGCTTGGTTGCGTCTCATTAGAAGAGGCACCTGCGATGTGTGGGACACTTGTGTATATATCACAGAAAATCCACAAGAATCTATCGATATACACTTGCACGAGTATTGACGACTACACGACGCTGCTCATGACAAAGCCTACATCTCTCACAAGCAAGAATTAGCTCGTCGGATCAGTTCTTTCACCAGACACTTGATATGGCGCTTTTTCGAACAAGCACAGTCCGCTAAAATAGCGCATGCCCTTAATTCTTTAGTATTTTAGTATGATTGTTATTTGCAGATAGTGAGGGATAAAATTAAACAAACGATTTGATCCAATATAGGTAACAAATTAACGTGTTTAAACAACAAGAAAATCTATATGCAATAATGTCTCACGGTTTCGAACACTTGTAACGACACAAAAGAAGCATGAAAATTTCAGCTGCAACCGACCCGTTCTGCAAAAAGTAGGGCGAGTCGGTTGCAGCTGCTTCTTTCAAGCACAAGTCGCTGAGGATTATTTCACAAACTTTGACCATTTTGTACCCAAATTCCATATTCCCAGGCAGGGGCAACAATCCAATTATAAAAGACAAGGGGGCTACATGCTGTATAAAAACAGCATAAGTGTGTAAAGGTCTTCCGCGGACGAGTTCTAGGACTGACGTATGAACTATAACATCTCTACAGCTCCGAGATCATACGCCTAGGCAAGTTTGAAATGAGTTTGGGATTGAATCGGTCAACATTACAACAGCTTCTGCAAAAGACCTCGACTTGCTTTACGCCGCGTCCACAGGCGAGTACAATCGACAGTGGTCTCGATTGTCGATTGTACTCGCAGCACAAGCTCCAGAAAGGTTACAGTGAAGAAGATAACAACGTGATACTTGGCCTATGATTGACCAGCAGTTCCTTGCAAGTTGACTCGTCCTACTCGCCACTTAATACTTGTGACATGACTCGACGTAGCCTTCCGCTTCCTCAAAAATATATATACATCTGATTTGGTTGGTTCGAAACATCGACACATGAGGATCTTGTCATTCAAGATAATACCGACATTCAGAAGGAAGAAGTACGCAGCAATATGCACAGCATTTGCACCTACTACGTCATTTTTTTGTACCATACCTGCTGGCTCGCGTCGCTTCAAGATTCGTGTACACACAACCTACACATAAATATCATGGATCTACATATATTAACCCACTTAGGCCATCGTTACAACCCAAACGATAATGCCTACCGGATCCGATGCTACTACATCGTCCACGTCGAGTAGTCAGCCCCAATCTGAAGTCAAGAAAACAATGCAGTCGTATCACTACGTAACGGAAGAAGGTGTAAAGCACATTTTGGACTATCGCTATAGCGGCAGCGACGCGTCGCTCTTGTACAATCACGTGATCTCTCCATTGGCTCAATGGCTTGTGAATCACGTGCTGTCACCACGAATTGCACCGAACGCCATTACGATTGGAGCACTATCGCTTGTGATTCTATCACATGTGATTATGTTTTGGTGAGGACGTAGTAAAAGGTGGTATCAATCGAGAGAAGAGGATTACATGATGACTTGTCTTGTTTTGTTGTTGTTGCATAGGTACGCACCGAACATGGTGGAGGAAGCACCGAGATGGGTGTACATGAATGCAGGTTTCTCGCTACTATTTTATCAGATCTTGGACGTGGCAGATGGTAAACAAGCTCGGAAGACGGGCAACTCGTCGCCACTCGGACTCTTGTTCGACCATGGTTGCGATGCACTTAATGTGGTTGTCAGTGCCTGTACATTTGCGTCAACGATCATGCTCGGACCAACGTATTGGGTGCGTATTAATATAGTGTTTTTGAGTGAAGGTGTGGAAGATTCTTAGTAGTCATTGATGTTGTTGTTGTTGTTGATAATGCTAGTCGCTGTTGATTTTCCTTGCACCGGCCATGGTGTTCTTTATGGCAACGTGGGAGGAGTATTACACTGGCACACTGGCACTTCCAATTATCAATGGACCTAACGAAGGTTTGCTGATCATGTACTCGATCTACATTGCCACGGCTATCATCGGGCCAACGGTCTGGACACAGCCCAACGTTTTCTTTCCGCAGCTGAACAATAACCACGTGCTCGTCTTGATCACGATCACCATTGCGATTGTTCAGTGTTTTTTCAGTGGTGAAGTATTGTGTCGATAATAATTGGCTGCATGGAACAGTAGGACCAATGCGTTTTGTGTCTTTTGCGCAGGTGTGATTGCTATCCGATCAATGGAGCGCAGAGCGAAAGATGGCGCTGCAGCACTAATTGGAATTATGCCTTTCATCGCGCTTGTTTTGATGTCTGCCCTTTGGGTGCTTTGTTCTCCGTCTGATGTATTTACGGACCACCCACGTCTCCTCATCTGGACTGTTGGGTTAGTCTTTGCAAAGGTATGACATCGAGTCTTCTCACTGAAAGTTATGATGCTAACTTTAGCGTGGCTATACTTCTATTGCAGATGGTGATGCACATGATGCTTTCGCACATGTGTGGAGAGCCGTACTGGTTACTGCGCAAGACGTTCTTGATCCAGGTTGTCGTTTCTTTCCTGCTGCTGGTTGGTATGGTGCCTTGGGTGCGTTTTTGGTCGTATTGTGGCGCATCTACGCTGTTTACTAACTTTGTAACGTAACGCTGTGTAGGGCCATGAAAGCTCTGTAGTGCAGCTGTTCTTCACGATCTCATTGTTGGCCTATGTGCACATGATCTTCTTCCTCTCTACGGAGCTTGCCACAATTTTAGGTATTCGTATCTTTAAAGTGAAGCAGATATAAAGCTTGTTTCACTGCGTACTAGTGGCACAACCACGAAGCATGTAACTGCGTTAAGAAGCACAATTGCAATTTTTGATCTCAAGCGAGCATGGTGGGGTATTCAGAAAGCTGAAATGCAAATTTGGGCGAAAATACTATACGAGCGGGTGGCATTGCTCCATCACCCCGCAATTTCCGCTATTCATGAGGAGGAAACCGATTGCTACAGAAACGATCCCCGACAACACTGCGACGATAAAAACTAGCGTGTCTCGTTGCGTCTTGCGGCTCTATTCATAACCGGAAACCATCGAATGTCAACATGTTCAAATGTCAGTCAAATATTACATGTACAAAACATACTGCGGTAACAAGCATAACGTACCACTAGTCGGGGCTGCGTCATTGGTGTCTGGAGCTGGCTAATTCGTTTGTCTAGCATCTGATAGCGTTGCACCATGTTTTTAACCGCCTCCTGAAGCTCCTGCTGGAGTTTCTTGATCGAATCGGACATCAGCTCTGTGCGCTCGTCGCGCATTTTTCCATTGGCCACGACATTGATAACATCAGCTTTAATCTGTGAGATCTCAATGGCGCGGTCCTGTTCCTGCAGCTCTGCATCATATTTACGGCGCTTGCTATCGGCTTCCAGTTCACTCAACTGCTCTCGTTGAACGCGCAGTTCATCAAGCATGTCATCATGTAAAGTAACAACGTCATCATTGTGCTGCGACTGTCCTGACTGCAGTAATTTGCCCTGTACAATCTGTGAAAGCTGATGATTCAAGTTCTCGAGCGACGGGAAGATGCCACTTGCCTGTTTATCAAACTCTGCCTGGTTCCTCAGTAACTCATCCTTTTGCTGCACAAGTTGTGCAATGGTCTCTTCCATCTGCCGTACATACGTGTGTAGATCCTGGTGCGTCCTTGTTTCACCACACTCTCCTGTATGTTTCTGGTCAAAATCTCGACTTGTACTCTCATCATGATGCATCATCCTCTCTGATGATGGCCGTGGTACAGTCTCTACGTCATCGTCATCGTCCATGACATTGTCAAAATTCAGTGCCTGCTGCACAAAGTCGGTCGAACACTCTCTCAAATCCTTAGCTGTAGTGCGACGAGGTACCGTAGTGATTCGTACCCTGTCTACTGGACTCATCTTTGCTCTATTCGAGTGTAAACCTGCTGTTTCCTTCTCTGCAATCGGCCACTTGAGCTGTTCGTCCGAGAGTTCCGCTAATCGCATGCGGTCTGAGCGCGTTGTATCTTCCGCACGTGAAAGCTGGACAAGCCGTTCACCTGACACGCTCCCAAGCTTCCAAGATCTATGATAATCTGCATCTAGCAGCGCTGGCCGCTGTCGCACTGTGTCTCGCTTGGCGTCGTGCTGATTCGTAGAGATTGTACGGCTTCGTGTGCGCGTAGCGGGCCCGTTGCTGTCACCTAATTTACGGTCGTCCTTGGCAATGATCTTGTGCAACTCGGAGAGCTCCGAGCGTGCCTTGGTAATGCGCTCGTTCAGCCGTGCGTCGTCCTCCTTGAAGCCAAGACCGGCATCGCTCGGTATCGGCATGTGTACTGCCAATATCACGTAATGGAAATTTCCGTTTACAAATTTTCTGATTTCACAAGCGAAAAGAGAATATTGTGGTTTCAGTTGCTACATGAAAGGAGAAATTTCGCAATTTGAAAAGTTAAAAGAGTGCCTTTTGCTACACACATGTCGTCCTATTTACTCCTCAAACGAGTCTGGCATTGGTTCATCGGCAAGAGCTGCAGGTACTTGGCTAGAAGAACCTCCAGCTGCGGCTGCTGTTACAATAGACAATGAACGTGTAGATGGTGGAACGGCCATCTTCTCTTCTAGTGTCTGTGGTGCTACAGCCTGGAAGACCAAAATTTAGTCAGACTGTTAGTGAAGTCGACCTCGAGTCCTTATGCAACACAAATAATTGAGACTTACCGACGCTGCATCCAATTGTGCAAAAAGCTCCTGCCGTAGATTGTCATGTGCCGGATTGTGCTTGGTGAAGCGGATGGTGGAGCCCTGCTCGTTGTTGTAGACATTTGTAAGGGACTCGTCCACACACTCCTCCACTTTGTTCACATAGTTTTCGGGATCATGACGAAACCTGCTCGATCCACAAAGCAACAACTGAGCCGACACCACTATCTCCATATCTTGTCAACACCAATCTTTCAACGTACATGTCCAACGCGTCGCTATTGGCAACAAGACTCCTTTCCGGGAAGTCTTTCATGTAAAAAATCCCTTTAAGGTAGGTAAGCACTGCGACCATATAATGCAGCTCTGGGTCCCACTCTGGGAACTTTGGATGTAGATCCAGCTGCTTTGTCTCTTTGTACACATAAGGATGGAAGACGTTAGTGTTAAACACAATGCGAGGATACGTCCCCGGTCCATTATAGCTACAATATATAACAGTATACACCACGTCAGACACTCGTACTCTAGTAACCTCCATCAATTCTACTGTTACCTCTCGGGCAGGAAAATGGTAAACTTGAAGATCCCATTACGATAAAGGCCGGCGTGGATAAAGATGGTCCCGTACCAGACACGCGAGTGGTCGAAACTCGGCAGTACATAGATGCCACTCGGAACATGTTGACGTAAATGTTTGTATTCAATCATAAGACCATAGTCTTTCATTGTTTGTGACCGGTACTTCTGCAGCGACGACATGGGTCCGTCACGACTGCTCTGCTCATCACTGCCTTGTGTTTCGTCCAATGTTCCATTTGGAGATGGTTGCGAGCTACTACAGCGTGGATATTCATGTCAATATACTGTTACCTCCTATATTATGAGACTAGTAGATGCCATTAAGAGCATCACGGACGACGTACGCGTCCGACGAGGTCTTGAGTCTGCGTAGCATCGTCTGAAAGTTCAAATATTCTATTTCAACTACGTACTTAGTCCAAATATGACAATATCATGCCGTACTTACGGAATCGTACAAACGAGTATTCCAATGAAGTTACCGGTACGATACAGTACTTACTGTATAATATCGGTACGACATGTTCATTTCCATTATGACCGGTATCGAGCGCTATGGGTCGTCAGGTGCGCATACGGTGGAGGGTAACGTGGCTGGATCAGTTGCTGCAAAGTTGACAAAGCAGCGTGAGAAACAGCAAAAGGAGTACGAGACCAAGTGTGAGGATATTAAGAAGATCAACCGTCGAGGAACTCGCATCGATGCGAATTTCCAGTCGCATCCGGACGACGACGAGACCGAGTTTAAAGCACGTTTGAGCCAAGAATTGGCCATTTTACTACTTGTTTTTACTGATTTAAAGTGCTTTTACTTATTTTCATTGATTTTTGTTGGGGTTTCTAGCGTCAAACGGTGGGGCTCGTGACAGCTGAAGAGTTCCGGAAGAAGCGTGAGGACCTGCAGAACCGGAAAAACGTTTCGATTGAGTTGCAGTGCGTTCAGTTGTAGCTGTTGGTAATTATTGTTGGATTTGTTGAGGAATTCACGTATTTGACTTGTTGCTATTGGTGTTTTATTAGACCAGAGGTACAGGAGAAAGAACTGAAGAAGACAAAGAAGAAGAAACGAAAAGCAAAAGTGATGGGGTTACTATCGTTTGATTTGGACGGTGAAGAAGGAGCTGAGGAAGAAATTGTGCCGTCGAAGCGTGTCAAGAAGAGTATCAAGAACCCTGAAGTGGAGACGGACTTTTTGCCGGATAAGGAACGGGAGAAGGAGGAGGCTCGAGAACGTCAGCGGCTCCGTGCAGAGTGGGAAGCGGAACAAGAAGTTATTAAAAGTACGTGGTGCCTTTCAGCGGTGCTGAGAGTGTAAGATGGCTGCTAAACGTTTACGCTTGTCGTGATACAATTGATGCGCTATTTCATCAGATGAGAATGTTGCAGTGACCTACAGCTACTGGGATGGCTCAGGACACCGTCGGGAGATCACGGTGAGAAAATAGTATGACTGGAAGTTGCGGATAGGAAGTGAAAGTTGCTGAAAGATTTGTTTACGTGTCTGAATAGGTATCTAAGAAGACGACGATTGGCAAGTATCTGGAGCTTGTGAAGCAGCAGCTGGTGTCCGAATTTGCAGAGTTACGTGGTGTCGGTGCCGAGAACCTGATTTACATCAAGGAGGACCTCATCATCCCCCATGTAAGCGACTTGTGAAGCTTGGATTAGCTGGAATACTTCTAACTTGTGCTTTTCTTTTACCGGCAGCATTACTCATTTTATGATTTGATTGTGACCAAAGCGCGCGGAAAAAGTGGGCCGCTCTTTCACTTCGATGTGCACGACGATGTCCGTCTGTTACAGGACCGGCGCGTCGAGAAAGATGAGGTGAGTTACGTCGCTCTACACGTCTTTTGTGGGGTAATCATTGTGGATAATGTGTGCTGTTATGTCCATAGTCACACCCTGGTAAAGTGGTAGATCGCCATTGGTACGAAAAGAACAAGCACATTTTTCCTGCCAGTCGGTGGGAAGTGGTGAGTACATACGTTTGAAGTGAAAGTCCTGCGCTCGAAATGCAGACTAACGATGCTATGCTTTTGCAGTATGATCCTAATGTTATCCGCGAGAAGTACACCATCCATGGCGATTAACGCATCTATTCGTGGCAATTCGGTCGCTATGCCTGCGGCAGGAAATAGATGGAGTCAAAGTCTTTAGTAATGCTTTGTTAAAACCGAGCTCACATTTGACAACCTAAGAAGTGTGATCAAACTGGCAACGGAAAACAAAGCGCAATAAAAGATGGTACAGCCATTGTCAACAGCACACGCTGTTGATGAACGCGCCGCTCCAACTAGCCACTTCGTGCTAGAAATTAGCAATCTCGACGGCTTCGTTGGAAAAGAGCAGAACCTTAGGAGTAGGGAGTCTACTCATCCTCGTCGGACTGTATGAACTTCGAGTAAGACGTATTCTGACATTCGCCGTTGGCGTCAAAGACAGCTTTGTAAAATGATCCATCAGCCCCAACGACTAAGCATACAATTTGTTAGCCACAATGCCTCGCAGGAAGCAACGCATAGTGAGGCAACACGTACCAACAATGGTATTCTTCTCCGTGCCAAACGCACAGATCGTTCGGGTCTCCGGCACACGAAACTGAGCAAAACTCCACTCTGAGCTAAAATACTTCGGAAGCAATCCCCGCATGAACGAAAGGCTAAACGCACGCACGCACAGGAAAAGCGTACGTTAGCACACCAAAGTAAAACAGGCTAATCACATGACAGTACCTGGACTTGGAATTCTCGGTGCCGTCATCGTCTCCGCTGCGAGGTGCACTTCCTGCCGAGAAGTGAGATGGCAAGCTTTGCGCGGGAACACTTCCCATAGTCGTTTGGTCGCATGAGAAGCTCTGGCCTGAACCTTCGGCTGTCAGCGAGAACACGTGCACTGTACCCTTGTCACTTGAGCACGCGAGCAAAGGCGCTGTCGGGCTGAAACAAATACTGTAGATCTCCGCACGATCCGCTCCACGACTACAAGTCAAAGTTCGCGTTACTTACTCGGACCGCATCTCAACCTTCGCAACCAAGTCCAACACTTACCGCAACTCCTGCGTGATCTGACCGCTTTGAGTGTCAAAAATACGAATAAGGGTGCCCTTGTCTGAGGCCGTCGCAAGTCGCGTGCCATCAACGTTTAAGCAAATCTGCAAGCAACCAATTAGCTCCTGAATACTTTTTGACCAACAAAAAAATACTCACCTGCGACAGCTCTGCTTCGTGGGCAGTGATAAGTGTTGTCTTCCGCAGATCGTACAGCTCAATACGGACAGTACCGCGCGTCACACCCGGACAGGCCAGCACCGTGTTGGACAGATTCGGGCACAGCGCACACAGGCCCTTGGGATTCGCCAGCGTTTCGATATGATCCACCAACTTCAAGTCCGCTGCAGTAGTAACGAGATAATCCGTCAGATAATTGAACGATACATACAAGCCGTTACAGCCAGTAACGTACAGAAGTTGTAGACGTAAATCTTGTTCTGTAGCACGACCACGACTCTAATATCCCACACAAAAACTTTCAGACAATAGAAAAAAACAGTAATGAAAAACATCACAAACAACATCATACCGATCCCGACGTAGCTTGACAGCCTTTACTTCACTACGAAAGCTCAATTCTCCAATATTGCGGCTCTGGTGATCGTCCCAGATCATAACCTATGCATTACAACAGGTCAGATAGTCCATCCTCCGTCCATTCCAATCCAGTATTAGCGTTTAAAAAAGACCTTGTTAGGAGGGTATTTCGGATTGCGTCCGCCGCCCACAATGGCCAGAATATTACAACGGAATAACATCTCGACAATACCAATACCACCATCGGAAAAGTCTGTCTCACAACACAGCAAATCGATCTGAGTCTCGATGAAAGTATCAAATGAGGCTTCATAAAAAGACAGACAAACCTCGATAAAATGTCTCTTTAAATGGATCACAATTGTAAATCTTGAAACCTGAGTCCGTACCACAGGCAAAACATCCTATAGAAAGAAAGAAAGAAAGAGAGAGAGAGAGAAATAAACACACGACATAAAGAAGAGATCTTGGTTGAGACAAAAGAGAGAGAGAGAGAGAGAGAAACGTACCGCTATCTTGATTAAACCCTACAAAGAGAAGTTCATTTTGTTGTTCACGACTGAGATTCATAGCTGACATGAAACGAGAGAGATCAAGAGGAAGAAGTTCCAAGGATTTAAAGCGTTGACGTCTTTTTAACACAATTCACTTTATTGGGGAGAGAAGGATTTTTTTTTCGGATAAAAGATTAAATTGTTTAAACACTTGAATATACGAGTTTAAACGAGGAGCTCCACTTGTAGGGAACTGCTTAAGTACGCTAGAAATTAATCTGCAAATGTAAAATACGATCAGCGTGTTTTTTTTTTAAATTACTGTGGGAAAATAAAAAAACAACTCCCTCGTGCCTCTTTCTTCATGTCTAGCTGTATGAATAATTGGTTCCCTCCTTACTTTTTCCCTCGTCTCTTACCAACACTACCACCGTAGCGCGTGACAGCTTCACGTTTATGACGCTTGGCCATAAGCTTTGGGTCAAGTGGAATGTAAGCGTACGGTTCAAGCTTGCCCTTCTTCTTGAGATCGCCGCCTGCTTTCTTTGCCCGGTACTCACGACCACTACTGACATCGTCACCGCCACCACGTTTGCGCTTGAATCGACCATTCTTGTACATTTTTGTTCTTGTTAAGCCCCATGCGCTGCAACTGCGAAGCCACATCCTGTTTGATCTTCTCCTCGTCATCGTCACTGGTACTTCCACCCTTCATGTCGTCATCGTCGTTTTCGCCACCAGGGATGATCATACGTCCGTCCTTGGTCATTTGGAATTCATCTTCACTTTCATCATCGACAGGACCACCCTTTTGTGCCATGAAAATATTCTTCACCGCTGCGTTGTCATCGAGGAAATCCATAATATCGTCCTCATCTTCACGAATTACTTTACCGCCCTTGTTCTTCTTGTGCAAGTCCTTCTTCCGCTTGAGCACCTGCATAGCTGCAGCCTCATCATTGTCACCTTCGTCGGCAGAGTCAGCCATGAACTCTTCAAAAGTGTCACGGTTCTTCTTAGCAGCACGGCGTTCGGCAGCCTCGACTGCAAGCTCCGACTTCTTTTTATCCTCGCGTTCCTTTGTCTTCTTGATGTGACGAATTAGTGCACGATCTTCCTCGGGCACAAGAGCAGCTACATGCTCGTAGCCAAACTTGCGACACAGCTTGATTAGGATAATACGAGTCTTGGCACGGAAACGGTTCTTGCTCTCGCCAATCCAAACCAACAGACCATTGATGATATCGGGGAGAAACTGTTCCAGCTGATCCTTTGGCAAAACAGCAATACCAAGCTTCATGAAGCCAATGACACTCTTAATCACTTCGCGGGCCTTTTCGTGCAGCAACATGAGAACTGTCTTGAGTAGCGCCGGCATAGCCTGTGCGATCGCAGGGTCATCACGACCGAATTCAAAGACCAAACGACTAAGACAAATGACAGCAGCGCTACGCATATGGGGCGTGCGAGCGGCTAGGCCACCAAGGACCATCTGAATAAACTCCATGAGTCCATTCTGCGGGTCACGAACGCGCAAAAGTATCGCCATGGCCACCAACAACTCGAATGCAGCCTCACGAGCCTTGCCGTTAGCTTCCTTAGTACAAAGCATGATTTCACCAACAAGGCTGGACACCAGCTCCTTCTCAGCAAGTCCGTCAGTCGTAGGTTGAGCCTGCAGTGCACGGATCAAGTGCGCAAGAACACGCAGACGCATTTTCTTGGCTGGCACAGAGCAAGTAAGAAGCGAATCGCAGATTGCACGTGTGAGGTCCTGTAGCTGAGATTCCTCCGACAGAAACTTGGGATGCAAGTCGCAAATGGCCACCAAAGCGGCGTAAGAACGCTTCTGCATAGCAGCATCAGCATCATCCAGCAAGTACGGCTTCACCACACGGTACAGCAGCGCTACGCTGGCGTCGTCCACATGGGCCAGCAGGGCCATTGCAAGAGCCATCTGCACATGCGATGTCTGTCTTAGCTTGGTTGCACGCTTCGAGTGGTTGCCAGCACCATCAGACTCGACACGCTTTGCCTCTGTCGTGGCCTCGAGCAACTTCTGCATCACCTTCTTGAAAGTTGTGCCAATGAGCTTAGCCTCAGCAAGTGACGCAAAACCCTCGAGCGTATCTAACAGAACCTGGGCACGTTCTGTGTCTTTTTCCGGGTCTGACTCTTCCACGAAGGAGAGCAGTAGAGGCACATAACGCCCAGAGAACTTGGCCAAAGCAGCACGGTCGCGTGCCAGCTTAGCCTCGTCTACCTGCTCCTCGTCATTTTCGTCATCATCGCCTTCCTCTTCAGCGTCTTCCACCTCATCATCTTTCGTCTCAAGGTGATAGCGGCGAGCAACAGATTTCTGTAACGCCCGAGTGCGTTTAACGAGAGCCTGGAGACCTTGGCAGACTGCTAGGCGCAGCTCCGGATAGCGCTGGTCGGCCATTGCACTAGCCAGAATTTTAGCAATCTTCTTAAAGTGAGTGTCCACATCCATAGCGCGAGCACACACGCTTGGAAACAGCGCCCAGAGCTGGATTGCACGAGTATGCAACTTTTTAGCTTGCAGCGGAGTCACACTGGGCTCACGCGCGCCAGCTTCGCAAGCTCGGGCCATGGGAAGAACAACATCAGCAAAAAAACCAAGCTCGCCACCATGTTGAGCCGATCGCAACGCGTCTCGGAAAACTGACAAAAGCCACGCGCGCTGTTCGCTCACAATCTCAGTGGGGTGGTCAATAGGAACGATCTCAAGAAAGGCACGCGGCCCCAGAGCTTCCACGGCGGCACCTGCAGCCAACGCAAACAATTCAGAAAGTGCCTGGGCGCTCTTACCACCTTGTTGCTGCTGTGGGAGTTGATCAGCAGCCTCGTGCAATTCGCAGCATGTAACGAGAATCGGCTCGAGCGCTGGTCGACTAGCAGAACCGTAAAAGCGGAAAAGCTCAGCAATAAGCGGGAACACGTGGTTCCACGCCCCCTGAAAGCGCAGTGATGTCAGACTCTGTAGAGATGCAAGCACACGCGCAATGTCCTCGAACGTGCCTTCTGTTTCGAGCACTTCCGGGGAAATTGTAGACTTCAGAACATTCAGCAACGATCGAGCAGCCTGGCGCTGCACACGGTCATTGTTCGTGGCAATATGAGAACACACTGCACATACCACTCGCGGAAGCAGTTCGCGGGCCGCCTCAGCGTTCACAGCAGCTAGCCGAACAAGTGCCTGAGACGGAACACGGACAGCGTAAATGGCCACCGGTCCGCCCTGAGCTTCGAGCGATCCACTGCTCTGCGCATCAAGTACAGCAGCCACAACCTTGCGAAGAGTGTCGGCTGTAAGCTGCGACTCTGGCGCCGCGCTTAGCGCGTCCAGTGCTTCGTACGTGACAAGACGCAACGTCTTCGAGCTTGCATCCAGGAACTCGGCAAGCGCCGCAACGAGAGACGCCACAACCTTACGCTGCAACAGCGGTAGCGCCATCTTGAGGAAAGCTACGAGTAGCACTAGTCTCTGATCGTCTTTGCCGTCTTTACCCGCAGTAGCAAACACATTCTCCGCAAAGCTGGCAATGTGTGTAGAGAGGGCATCGCAGCCCTTGGCCGCGTGAAGCTCAAGGACGTCCATTGTCCACTTGTGTCCGGCCTTGCGCACCTTAGGGCGCGTGTCCATCGCCAGCGTCAGCAGCAAGTGGAAGCTTCGTAGTAACTCGGGGCGGGCCCAGGTATTGGTCGATGGCTCCTGTGCCAACAACACCAATGCCAGACAGGCACTGGCCGAGCGCAGCAGCATTGCGTCGTCACCAGCTTCCTGCAGCACCGTCGTAAGACACTTGGCCACGGCCGTAAACTTTCCACGCAGTACAGCATCCGGTACTTCAGGCAGAACCATAGACAGCAATTGTGCCACCTCCTGTCGATGCGAGTCCGAGGCCGCGTCCAGTGCCGTCATAAGTGCAGCAAAGTATTCAGTGGGTGAGATGGGCACGGATCGATCGGCATTACTGCGGCGTTCGTAGATAACATCAGTGATAGCGCCTAGTACCACATTAAGCTTGGCTTTTTGCGGATGCGTACCACCCGCGTGCTTTCGTAGCTCTATGAATGGGTCCATTATCACTGTTCCTGTATAATGGTCGATGCGAATCAATGGAGCTTAAGCGACGTAGCCAAAAACCACTGGTTGTCATGTCTTGACGACCTTCGTGTAACATGCATCGCACCCATTTGAACGTGTTTATACACTGTTATAACAAAGATAAAACGCTTTTACAATCTAAACTCGATTTTACGATTTCATAACCAGCGCTTTTACCATGTCTTGGTCACTGCGTATGCTCGTATTTCTATCGCTTCTTCTCGACGCAGTAACGGCGTCTTTGGATGTACAAGTAATTGATAAACAAGAGCCACCGACTAGTCGATTTGCCTATGTGACTGTACACTATGAAGGCACGAGTCGTGATGCTGAGTATGTCCTGGGAGTTCAAGTGATGATGCATTCAATTAAAATGACTGGTTCTCCCTATGACTTGGTGGTATTAGCCTCGGAATCAGTCTCCGAAGAAAGCAAGACGTTATTTCGTTCCATGGGGTGTCGGGTACTTGATGTCACGAACATTAAGAACCCGTTTGTCGGTGGAACGCTACGCAACAAGAACTTTATTTACACGTTAAACAAATTGCACGTGTGGAATATGCTCGAGTATGAACGTGTAGTGTATCTGGATGCTGACAATGTGTTGATTCGTAATGCAGATGAGCTCTTTCTCTGTGGACAATTCTGTGCTGTGTTTATGAATCCGTGTCACTTTCACACGGGATTATTGGTAGTTACACCCTCTTCTACGGAATATCAACGCTTGTTGAATGCGCTCGATCATTTAGAGAGCTTTGATGGAGCTGATCAGGGATTTCTATCCTCTATGTACAGCAAAATGTTACGGAAAGCCAAGTTGTTTACGCCTCTGCAAGCGTCGTTTACAGGAGCTGAACTAGAAGGGCTGCAGAAATTGAAACTGGAACCCAAGGGCATGAGATTGCCCGTGGGATACAATATTAATCACAAGTATTTCTACGAACAGTACCATTGGAAACTATTCTACTTGCGGCAGTTTGCATCGATGACATCACCTATTAGTCCGGTCAAGGTAGTGGTCGAGTCGGCAAGAGGTATTCCAGCACTTACGGTTGGATACCCCGTGGCTTCTGTTTTAAAGCCGTGGTACTGGTGGGCAGGATTTCTTATGGATTTGCATGCTGTGTGGCATGACATCCGTGCGACACTACCAGCGTCGCAAGAACGTTATGGAGCAGAAGAAGCGGTAAAGACGCTGCTGGGTTTCTTTAGCTCGCTTGCGTTGCTTACGGCGGTTCTGTATGCGCTCAAGATTGCGTTACCCTTGCGTCAGATCCAACAGCGATGCACGGACTTGGCCATGCGGAACAGCAAACAGGTCCGGTATGCTTTTCTGGCGCTCCGAATAGCTCTCGTGGTGCTCGCCTTCCGACTCGCTCCTTCGCGCGTCCACCCGTTAGCTCCCGTGCACTATGGCTATGGCCTTACGATCTTCATGAATGTGTTCCTGCACATATACTTTGCCTGTGTGATTTCCAACTTTTGGGACCCGCACCAAGTGGTGTCCATACCACGTGTACTTTATGTGATTCGGTTTTGGCTATATGTGGCTATCACGGCAGCATTCGAGCTCTTTGTGGTTTGGTTCAGTACGTGGAATGTGTTCTTGAACGTGATATGGCGACTGCTTTCGATTTTCGGTGCCGTCTTCCTTTGCGCGTACTGGCAAGTCACGTATTACTGCCTCACGCTGAACGCTGAGTTTGGTGGTAAGAAGGAGCGACTCAGGAGGCTCTAGTAGCACTATCATCGATACGATTTGATCAAGGTGGCTGAAATATCTTTCATGCACGAAGGCTAGCTGTGATCGAGATTTTTGGGAGGGAGAAGAAGAAGTCAGCAAGGCGCAATAGTACCAGTAGATTAAAAGCATTTGGGTTGTCTTCGCACAAATTTTGTCATGTCCGCTGAAGCCGAATGGTGCAGTTGGAGCTGAATGGCGAAGAAAGGGGGCATGGGGTTATACGTGTCAGGCTGCAGATACAGCAGCGACCGATGAGTAATAGTACAGGATCAGTGAGCGGCAGAGACCAGAGCTAACAAGTTAAACAGAAAAGGTAAGGTGAGCCGCTCAGTCTTCTGCAATATGAATAGAAACGAGCGCAAAATGCTACAACGCACCTGGAAGCGACCCTCGTGGCATTTTGTTTCCGTCGCGAGTACTTCCGTTTTCATGCTGAGGAGCTCGACCGTCATGAACTCGTCCGACTACCATGCACACGTCCCAGGCCTTGGCAAAGCCATTGGCGTTACAGGATGCGACAACGGCAAGGCAAGGTCACGCTGCTTCACGCATTTTCGGTGGCTATAGAAGGTTGAGGCCGGAACGCAGAAACAGTTTTGGTTTTCGGAGCCCGTACAGACATTGGTGGACGAATGGCTGGAAAGCAGTGAACAGAGTCAACGTGGATAGCCATGTCCTCTAAGACATCATCAAATGAACCACAGAAGAAGTTTTGAGCGACATGCCGAAACAAGATCACAGAATTGCCTAATCCTGATACTACAAACCATTCGCAGACAAACGGTTCGAGCTTGTCAGTGCTGAAACGTGTGAAGGTAGCTCACAGCTTGCCAGCAACGGACATTCTGGCTATCTCTCCAAAACAATCCAATTGTGGCAACCATCTCGAACGATGAGACTCAAACTCTGGTCTGCGAGTGAAGGCCATAGCAGCTGGCTTGTAGAAGTAGCTTTTGACCCGAGAGGAGCGCACGTTGCAACTACCACACTCTGGAAATAATACCGTCAATCGTTGGGATTCGTGGTGCTGCTTGCTGGCTAGTTCTTTCGGATATTCACATTTTGGTTGAATAATCACGATGTGATGGCTACCTTCTCATTGTGTGCCACACTTGCAAGCTGGGACGTAGATGCCGGAAACTACACCGGCGTCATCATCACGTGACTTACCTTTGGCGATAAAACTCGTTGTCAACCATGTTTGAACATGTCCAGCGTGCGTGTAAGTATAAGTTTGATGAATAAGTTCCGGATAAAGTTTCTGCGATTGAAGGTCGACTTGTCATCGCTTGCTTGAAACTCCCAGCGACACTGCCACCCGTATTCTCATCGTCATAGGAACATCCTCCTCCATGGACTACAGGCGACGATATCGCTGATGCGCTGTCTTGCTATGAGGTTCTATGGATTTGAAGAACAGCGGCAAAGTCTCTCGCTATCATTTTCGTTGTCATCATACACGAGCGCCCGGACCAAGAGCTCCATCGTCTCGTGTTGCAATGTATCATCATCGTCATCATCCTCTGCAAATTGGTTTTTTCATGGCGCACAAACTGTTTTTCTTTACTGCAGCATTGATCTATATGGATTCGTACCTGTTAGCGTCGTTGTCCTGCTGAATCACCACAAAAGATGTTACCTTCTTGTTGCAAGTTTTGCGAATTCTTCACAGCACAGCTTGTTCGCTAACCAGTATATTTCCCATTATATCCCTACCCGTCAGCTCCTTCATCTGCCATGCAAGCAGATATTCTTGTGCACTAGGTTATCTCGAGTTGGAACCATTCACCGCCGTGGTAGGTTTTCCACCTTGGTCTTTTGGTGACGTATCTGTCAGTTTTTCTTGTACCGACGTACACATTGCTTCTTCATTCTCTGACGTTGTCGTAGTGGCCTCCGTTTTCTCACTCGGCTGTGTGTTTTCCAGTCTTTTCTGCATTTTCCTTCGCTGCTGCCTCCTCCAGTTCCTGTCGCTGTTTCTCACGCTGCTGATCCATCAACTTCTTAATCTGGTTCTCAATCAGATCTTTATGGTCTTCTGCTGCTTGCTTGGCGAATGAAATGAGCAGTGCGTCCTTGCGTTTTAACTCCATCTCTTTGCCCTCACGATATCCTTCAATAAATGCCATCAGCACCGATTGACCAACCAGTAGCTTGTCTGCAAACCACGACTGTGCCCTCTCTTTAAACGTATCCATATCCTCTCTATCCAGCCGCAAAGCAGCATCTCTTCCTTCTTTGATAAGACCCCGCAGCTCGACCACATTCTTCTTAACAGTTGTCGCCACGTCGTCTTTACTGCGACTGTCGTCCATCAACTGCTTTGCATGACGGACCATCGCTTCAGTGTCCACACCTTCAACCACATGCTTTATCTCCTTGGTCAGGAACTCGACATTCTCAGCTCCCTGCTCTTTAATTGTATGAAGATTCCCATGTACTTTAGAGCCTTCAAGACTCTTGTCAATAAACGTCAAATTCTTGCCTGCAGTCTCAGAAACTTGACCACTGACTGTTTTTACAACACGTTTCACCTCTTCTTTACTACGTTCCAAATCTTCACGACTAAGTCCAGCAAAAGACAGTTTGTATTCCTGCCACACTTCATGGAAAATCCGACGATGATCAGCCACTGTAAATTCCCATAAATCTACAAAACTAGGCTGACGTAATCGCTCTTCAACTTCAGGTGGATTAGGTAATCCAACTATATGCACAGCAGCCCAACGGTTCAAACGCCGGAGGGACGTCTGCACCACACGCACGGATCGCTGGAACAGCGAGTATTTCTTTGGCATCTTTTAAAATGAATACCTATATAAACTGATATAGATAAATAATATTGGATTCAAAAGGGGTATGAAAACAAACAGGTTATTTTATCAATGGCTCGTCGGGTCGTCTACTGCGCCGTGCGACTCGCGGCTTTGAGACGACCGGTTGTTTCGGTTGGTGTTGCTCCTTCTACATGGACTCGTCTGTCTCTTTCTGTACCTTTGAAAGCATCAGTGAATCTGTATCCGACACGATCGTTTGCGAAAGTGAAGAAGAGTAAAAACAATAAGAACAAATCCACTACATTTGCTGCTCTTGTGGCCGATGAGGATGCTTTAGATGGAAGGGATGAGGAAGACGGAGGTGCTGTACAAGCACTGGAGAAGGCCAAGAAAAATATGAACGGTGCCGTTGTGAATTTCACGCGTGCATTGAGTCAGATGCGACCGGGTCGAGCAGATGCCGGTGTTTTCGATGAGCTACACGTCCAGGCATACGGTCAACACGTGCCACTTGCTCAAGTGGCGCAGGTGGCAGTGGTTGGTACACACGCACTGTGTGTGTCAGTATATGATCCGTCGGTAAGAGACGCTGAAAGGGCAGGGAGGGAGAGATAATGTTGTACTGATTGAGTCGTCGACGTTCTAATAGCTGATGCAGGACGTAAAGAAAAGTATTGAAGGCACAAATCCAGTCTATTCAGTGCGAGAAGATGCAAGTTCTCTGGAGATCTCCTTCCCCAAGTACGTGGCTGTTAGGTTGTTGGTAGTTGGATGAGGAACTGACTCATTGGGGGGATGTAGGATGACAAAGGAGACGCGGGCTGAGTTGCTCAAAGCCGCCAAGAAGCAGGCGGAGCAGGCTCGACAGCATGTGCGCCGTGTGCGTCAGGATGCTATGAACCATGCGAAGAAACTCAAGGAAACTGTCTCGGAAGATGCTATGGAGGTGCAGAAGGAACGCATCCAGAAAGTGACTGACGACGCCACGGCGGAGATTGGCAAGCTACTGGAAGCCAAGGAGAAGGACCTCAATACTGTCTAAAACAGCGTCTGCAACACTCGGCGGAGCATAGAAATACAGATGATGACAGGGCACGTCGTCGATGCCCGGTGCAAACTCGCGTGTGTTTCCATTACTCTTGACGTAGATGCAGCAGGCTCTTTGTTGTAGCTCTACAAAATACTCCATCGGTTACGCACACGAACAGCCATGTGACGAACGAGACGTTTGCGGTCGTCCAACACAAGCAAGAGTTTCCGCAACACAGTGTCTTTGTACGGGTGCACAAGTTCGTAGGGGATTGTGGCCAATTTCGCAAGACACTCGAGTGCTGCATATCTGTCCTTAGCATTAGATCTGCTCGCCCGACAACAAGAATCATACACACAGTGAGCTCATAAATCATCTTTCGTGTGCACGACATTATCCGACGCAGAAATTAACGTACCCAAACTGCGCTTGCTTCAGCAGTCCCGGGAACACGTCCTTGAGGAACGGCTTGGCGCTCTCTACCGAATCTAGAAGCAGCGGTTTGAATGTCTGGATAGCAGCGCTACCCAGTTCACGGTCGTCCGTGTTAAGAGCTTGCAGCATAAGCGGGAAAATCTGAGCTAAATGAGGTTGGTAGACGGCTTTCGGTGAGTGTGCGATCACTAGCGCGAACGCTATCAGTGCTGCCACGCTAATCTCCTCGCCAATGTGGGCACGAATGAACTCGAGCAATAACGGGAACACCTGGTCAAACATTCGTTGCCTGTAGAGAAACTGCATACAAACAGAGAAACAGATTCGTTAGCTAGCATTAGCCAAAAACATGACACTCAACAGATATCGTACCGTGATAAAAGCACCACATTTGCGGTTCAGCACGTCCGGGTATTCCGAAACTAGCACATGAAAGGTCTTGGCAACTTCCTTACGCAAGGCAGAGTCTTCCTGTTCCATGCTAACGTTTACGTCATCGTTTTGGCTCCCCGGCATGAGGAACTTGCATAGGAAGCGCAGACACACCGGTGCATGAACCTTGTGACCTCGAATGACTAATGCCTTCGCAATCCAGGCATATATTTGCAGCGCTGACACCCGCACGGCAAAATTCTCGGTGGAATTACAGATTACTACTGCAAGCTTCTTGGAGAGCAGCATGTCGATAAGAGCATCGAGCTCAGCGCCGTCCTGCATTTTGTTCACAATAGAGGCCAACGATCTAGCCGCCGAGAGCGCAGCTTCGGTACACACAACTTCAAGCCGGCGAGATGAAGTCTCACGCACTATAGTCGTATCAGACTGCGCAATTTCAAGTAGTCTGTTAATGACCAACGATGTATCCGGTAGTGTCACATCACGAGCGGCTGAATTAATAACTGCAGCAAAAAGTGGTACGAGCTGCAGACTAGCAGGTTCTGAGGTACATGTGCGCAAAAACGCTGGCACCACGGCGTCAATCAGCCGCTGTTGTGTGGCTGGAGACACATTCTGCGTTACTGCGCGGAAGATTCGAACACAAGCAGCAAGTTTTGCATCATCCACAAGACCAGGTTGCTCGCCACTCACAAGAGCACCTGCACGAGCTGCAGACGTCTCCATTGCAGTGAGCAACCTAAAGATGATGGAATCCATCGAAGATGTCTGAACACAAAACTCCATACTGGTGCGGTCGGCAGCATTAATCTCTACAATCTTGGCCACTGCGTCTAGGAGACAGTCCACATGACGCTGGCGAGCAGTGTCACCGTCTGTTTCACAAAATCTAATGTCACTTTGTTTATCACCACCCTTCTCCACACACATATCGATGAGAAGAAAGATGGTAGCCTGGAAAATAGATGACTCGCGGCAAAGTTCAGTGATAGCCAATAATGCCTCCTCGAAAAACGAATCAAACGTGCGGTTCGAAGCCGTCAGAACTGCAGAAACTCCTGTATCTTCTTCGTCATCATCATCTTCATGGTCGCTTCCGTGGTTGATTGCAGCCATAAGTCTTGCCAGTGATATCTCGACCACAAACGAAGCATAGCCGCTAGTGCCGGGACCCTCTTCACCGCTCATTGTAAACACCGACGTTGTAGACACGGTGGAGATCTCCTTCAGACTCTGTAAGCAGGCACCTCGCACCTCCATTGCAGGGTCAAGAAGCAGCAGGCGGGTAAACAGGTTAATAATTGCCTTAACCTGTGCAGGCGCCACGATGGGTGATGGTGGCAAAGTGAGAAGATGGCACAGCGCTTCCACTGCTATGCAGCGTGCAGTTGCGCTACTGCTACGGTCCATATGAGTGTCCTGATCAATGCTAAGGAAGTTTACTAGCACGTCAATGAGCGCTGGTGCATGGGGGCGCATGGGTTGCGTTTGGCCACTTTGATCAATCTCCCGGTCGGTCGTGTTTACAAGAAGCAGAATCCGCGCCAGCGCAGATTCACATTTTGAAGGAGTACTCTCGCTTCCTGAACACTCGTTATGGAGCTGCTCCACCAACAGGGGTACCGCGACTTTAAGCACATGGGCAAAACTCATCGCTGACTCATGTCCTAATGCCGCCAATACCTGTCCAGCTGACACGCTCACCATCGAGTCTGCAGCATGTTCACGCAGTTCATCCGCAGCACGTGCAGTCATGTCCACCACAAATTTGCTCCATGCGTATACTGCACCCGGCGTGTCTTGCGCTTTGGCACGCGCAACAACTCCAGAAAACCGCGAGATCGCCTGACGAGCTTCAATGATAACTTCCTGCTTCTCACCGTCCAGCACTTCATCATACAGCGCCGTAGCCACGGCATGCATTTGCAGTAGTAGCGCATTCACCGAGTATCGTTCTCCGCAAAAGACCAGTGTTTGCAAAGCATCTAACTTCGCCTCGACTACTGTAGATGCCAATTTCTTCAGTAAGAACGGAAGCACCAGCGGAGCTAACAAGTCCGATGCCGCAAACGCATGGCGCAGCGACAGAATAAGTTCTTCTGATGTGATTCCATATGGATCGTTTGGCGGCGGCGTGAAGATAATGGGGAAGTAGCAGGATACGGTATCAAAATATTGCTGCAGCAATACATCACTATGGGAGAACACCGGCTCCAACTTGCACAGCAGCATACGCGCCACCTGCATGCACAGCAGCAGGTTACGCGGGTCCTTCTCTCCCTCCATAGCACTCAAAAAGGTCTGTGCAAACTCTCTACCGAGATCTTTACTCTCCTCTGTGTCGTTCACACTGGCATCTTGAACGTCTCCATTAGCCGGGACCGAGTCCAGCAGCAGCTCCACAACTGTCGACTGCGCCAGCGCAAGCTGCATGAGATCAAAGCACATCTTGCGCATAGCTTGACCCAGCTGCGGGATATGCAGAGTGTTTCCCAGATTCAATATAAGCATGACGGTGACACGGGGGGACGAGATTTGGGCCGCGTGGTGCGTCTCAAGCGCCAGCAGCGCGCGCAGACAAGCAGAGGCGCTAGGAAAGTCGGCCAAACGGTCAGCAAAGAAAGTCAGGAGCAATTGCACGGCACTGGACATTAGCTGCAGCTCTGGGAGGCGCGTGAGTACCTCGGACAGCAGTAGAGTGGCTCGAGAACGCACCTTGTCGTCATTGCTGGTGAGATGGACGCCTAGAGCCTGAATCAATGCCTCCATACTCACATGACGATGAACCTGCATTATAACAGTATTAAGACCCGTCTTCTGTGTAGCATCGTCCTTCTCTGGGTCTACAAACGCCTCGATAGCCGGTGCCAGCGGCGCGTCTAAGCTAAACATCTTTTGATTGACACAAACCAATGGATTGGCAAAGATAATACTATCGTGTGAATTATTGGATTTTAGATTATAGAGGTACATGTTAATGTATGAGCTTTTGTGTCTGTATACTAACGCACTGTAATTAATCTATTTTGTAGAGTTTCATCGCATTAATGCTTATTTAATGCTTGATTCTATCTAACCATGTCGTCTACATGGGCGCAACAAACGGGACACGGAGAATTCACCTGCATCATTGGTTTCATGCAATCATAGCAATCTGTCACATGTCCGCAGGAATACAGACCGAGTCACGATGGTTCTCAACGCAAACAAGACACCCGCTTTGCACTAGTGTCTGGCCGTGGCTCATTCGGGTCACCACTGATGGAAATCATCGTCGATAGTTCCGGAGTAAATGAGGCTTACGGTGCGGGCATGTCACCCCAGATACAACCATTTTCATCTTCGATGAACGTTGGTGCTGAAGCGCAGACCATGGGCTCGGCTGATCTAGAATTTACCAATGTCTAACGTGCCTCCTTGATCTGCTGTGTCAAAGTTCCTGGAGGCTCCACCTTGCGATCCATCACTCGGTAATGATGGCGTATCGACAGCTGCAGCACGGAATTTAGCGCTGGATCTGTGGGGTAAATTCATGTTTATGGAGCTAGCCGTCGTGTCCGTGCTATCCCGTCCGTGCTGTTGATTTCCCAATACTCTCATCCACGCATCTCGACTGCTTTCAGTATCGCACGCAAAGACGTACTCGCGCGGTTGCAATTTTGCCTTATGGACGTGCGTTCGTCCCGAGGATTGGTATCGGCTGTAGCGACGAAAACGCAGTTCCTGGTAGACCACGGGCGTGTCTAGGTTGAAGCCGTTTGCTTTCTTACCCGCCAGTGCCGTGCACTGTGTCGTCAAACTGTCTTGCGACAACACTGCCATAGGATGCACTTTGTTGGGAGATCGAAAGATACAGAGCTCGGTTGCTGTGCGTTTCGAATTGCACGCCAGTAGCACACACCAACGTCGTTTCCAGAACCCCACCATCGACTTGGAGCGTAAATACAGCCAGTCACTGTGCACTTGTAGACGAGAAGTCAATGCTGCAGCTGCTTCCTTCCGTCCACGAAGTCTTGCCACATCCAGCGCTGTGTGGCCCTTGCCATTAAGAACCAAGACGTCAGCTCCAGCCTCCAGCAGCATCTCCAACTGGGCGACTCGATTATTGTAAGCTGCGTAATGAAGCGCCGTGTTCTGGTGCTTTCCACTGTCTGTAACGTTCAGATCGGCACCCAAATGCACCAGAACACGCACAATCTCCGCCCCATACTTCTTAGTTGCTGCGACCATCAATGGGGTCGTGCCTATTGCAGGATGTGGCTGATCAAGCAGATATCGGACGTCGTCGTCCGTCTCATTGCTCAAAAATTGCTGAAACTTCTTGACTTTACAACGAGTCGCTGCACGCCACAATCCAATTTCTTGTTTATCTCGGACCATTACGAAGCAAATCAAAGAATGAACGCGTTGGTGATGGAAATGCCCATCACTAAAAATAGACCAGTCGTCGCACTGATAAATTCCAAGCCTCCCATTAACGTTATTACCGTCAAGGACGTATAATAATACCTTCAACACTGTCTTCAAGTTATTGTAACAAATAAATGCACTTGAGAAAATGTAAATTTAGAGAAAAAAAATTATATCTTTCCCTTAGAATGGAAGTTCAATATTGAAAAAGTTTCCCAACTGAAAAGCTCACTTCTTTTGGAGTCAGCTTATTCTCGGTATGCTATTCGTATAGTATACGCCCGTGGTATATCTATTTTTATTATCTTTTCTGTCGTACATTTTTTTTACTTTCAGTATTATCTGGTATATATTTTTACTTTCCCTCCTTTTCTCAAGTCATGAAATTCGAAAGGCCGCACTGTCCGAAATATCATGTCGGCACACTGGACACGAGGTCCCATCAAGACGGTAGACACACGTCGTGCAGTAGCTATGTCCACATGGAACGAGTACGCGATCCACTACATTCACGAGACAAACAACACACACTAAAGCCTTTTCTGCATCTCTCTGCGCTCTCAAAGCTTGCTCCATCTGTTGCAAAGCAGCGCGTCGGTCTTTCTCCATAAGCGCGACCTGATGTTGCAGTCGCCAGACCTCAGCCAGGAGCTCCTCATAGCTCGTGCTCAATGACACATTCAGTCGTGCCAATAGCGCGTTCACTTCTGCGACCACGCCGACTGGTGAAGCTTCTGTCTCCTCTTTGTCGCCAATCCACACGTCAATTTCTTTGCTACTCTTTCTTTCTCCAACCGACTGGAAGAAATAAATCTGCGACATTGCATACCATCGGATACAAGTCTTGGACACTTGTATTTTGACTTCTTCAGAGCTGCTGGGATCTTCTTCGTCCATCACTTTTCCGTAACGCAGAACACCGTCGCTGTCCTCCACGGCCACGATCTCCCACGGAAGACACGAACGTAATGGCATCAATTGAATACTAGCAAGGTCTATAGTCGTCAATGGATCACCTAGAAGGTCTTGAAGACGCTCCTCGATAAGATCTGGCAATTGTTGTTTGTTTCTAATTGTTTCAGGACGTTGATACGGCACGTCAAGTGACTGCAGACCCAGTCGTACGAGAAGAGAAGTATTAAGCACATCTATTGGCTGGATACTGGAATAGCTAGTGAACGAAGGGCTGCACATGCGGGTACTGCAAGACGTGGTCGAGCTGCCAGCATCTGCAGAGAGAGACGACGTGTCCATCAATAGGATCTCAATACGACACTTTCTTCTTCAACAAGAGTTTAATAATTACATACCGTAGAGAGAAAAAGCCTACTTTTTTAGTGTATACTTATTACAAAGAGCAAATAGAAACTACCCTTATTTACGTGTAAAATTTTGCCCTCTCAATAAAGGACCTTTTTGCAGAAATTTAACTTTAGGGTTTCTTATCCCAAAAATGTTAGCACCATCAACGCCTTGAAAATGACAAAATAGTATTGACGAAAAAGCTCGTCAAGCGTCTCATCTACTGGCAGTGATTTACGACGGCACATGGAAGACAGAGCTAGAAATAATATGTTCGCGACATACGGGACACGAGGGGCGTGGTAGTAGCTCCACGCAGGATGCACAATAAATATGGCCACACGGGATAAGCACGCGGTTCACCTGATTTTCCAGACACACGGCGCACACGAGTGAGTCCTGCACTTCCTTCTTCTCACGCATTACCGTGTCAATCTGCGTTGCAGCTGCACGGTGACTAGCTTCCATTACGTCCAAATGATGTCGTAATCGTAGATTCTCGGCCAAGAGGTCTTCCACACTTGTATCCAGCGTCACGTTCAGGCGAGATAGGAGGTCGTTGACAGCAGACAAGACATTTGTAGAGGAGACCATCAAGGCTGGAGCTTTGACACGAGATGCAACCTCATTTCCGTGAGCTTCAGGAGTCAGTGCTACAACTGACGATGTCAATGTGGTGACCTCGGCAATGTCTTCTGCTTGCTCTCTGGACGACCCGGTAGTCACAGCATTGTGGCGACTGCTGGTGCCCACGCGAGCGGATCGGAAGAAGTACAAGTGGGTGGCCAACATCCATCGAGTTGACAAGCTGTTCACTTTCACTTCATATCGACTAACACCTGCAACGTCACTGGACGCTTCCCGTAGAATTTTGCTGTAACACAGGGTTCCGCTTTCGTTCTCTACCGCAACAAGTTCTCCAGGTTGACAAGAGCGCAACGGAGCCAGCTCCACGTTAGCACAGTCTGTCTCACACAAAGGTTGACCCAGTACTCCTCGAAGTTTCTCCATGATCAAGACATGGTCTTCGTAAATATCAAGTCGTTGCAGTACATTAGGAATCTCCACTTCGTCGCAAGTCAAGATGGACTCTAACACGGAGCAGTCCTGCAGGACATCACCGAGCAGCTGATTAATGCATCTTGCCACCAACTGGCTCGCGCGCATTCCCATCTCAGAGCGCTCCTCGAGCGTGCACTTTGCGATGTAAATTTGCCTCCTTCTCTGATCCAAAAACGACAAACTGCCTTGGTGCGTGGTCTTGGTTACATCAATTTTACGAGCTGGACAATCTAGCTTTGCAATGAAGCGTGAGTGCAGGTGCGCCACGCACTTCACTTCGTATGCTGCCAAACTCATGATCCGCTGATTGATGTCTTCAAAGTCGGGTATGAATCCGAATGCATCATACAATGACGACTTCTGTTGCTGAGCCGTGATGACTTTACGCAAACCGTCAGCAAACGGCTGCGAAGCCAATATACTGGTAAAGTGTGCAATATCGTCGCCAACCAGTATCTCCATTGGATTTTCGCCATCATCTAGCTCTTCCGTCACAACGCTAGTAATTCCAGGTACTTCCAGCATTTTGCAGCACATCGTGCTAATACGAGGGTGGACCACGTGTAATTCCATGAGGTCAATCCGTGAGCAAAGCGCTGCCGAGTCGTTGTAAGCCATCACCAGCATCGATTGCATGACTGCCTTCTCCGACGGAAGGAAAATACTGTTTTTCTCCTCCAAAGAGAGACGATGATTGGACTCATTTATGGCAGCAACGAGAAGATCGATGGAACGACAAGCTGCAATCAGTTCATTCAAGTTCAACGGATGACCACAGCATTCGTTATTCAGATCGTGCAGCAGTCGGATATAGTCGCCAACTTCCGGAGATTCTTTAGATCCCATGTTACGAAACAGCGTATCGTACGCGCCGAATACCCGAGGCACTTCAAACATCAGTGGAGCCAAATTCTCGCCTAAGTGAAAGAACAGACAAGATCCCTTCACCAGAGTAGAACCAACCGGGATGACTGCCGAAGCGATAAGACGCTGTTGTGTCTCCGCTCCCAACTCCTGCCAGTTCTCCTGCAAATACTTGAAAATTGCTTGGAACACTTCGACCATTGGCAAAAAGAACTGCCAATCTAGTGACCGTGACGACAAGGCTCGATTGCTGTTCGTAATGGACAACAAGTGGGCAACGACCTGAGTGTGATGAGGTGGAGCCTTGATGCCTAAGCGACTATAAAGAACGCGTGGTGGTTGTGCTACGCTTGCTAAAATCGGCATCGTAGAATACACCAGCGCCTGGTCATCTGAAGTAGCACACTCAGAGTACTTGCGCACAACACGGCGCGATTTGAACTGTCCTGGAGAGTTGCTTGCACTCTGCGTCGATTCTACAATGCCGGGGGTATCATATACGACGGCAGGAACGAAAGCTAGCGGTGTAATCCGCTCAAAAAATGACCGTGATCGATCAAACTTGTCAAAATTCTGGACAAAGAACTGGTGCAGTGTTGTCGTGAGATGCTCGTCTTTGCTTGACAACGATTGTTTAGCCGAGCACTGTCCATCGATGCGTTGTGCACACTCTACAAAGATATCGGCAGTAACTTCGGTTTGAAGCCCGATCTCACCCATGAGATCCAGCCACTCGGGCGTCCTGTAGCATTGAGCTGGGAATCGTCCACCAACGCCTTCATAGAGTGTGGCGAGGACACTGTTTCGTGGATCGCAGAAAGAACTTGCTGGACGACGACTTGCATCATTGCTCTCACTATCGTGAAATAAGGCCGATGTCCGGAGTAAGGCGATTAGTTCCGCGTTGCCACGTAATGATTGCCACTTCCGCAAAATAATTTGCAGTAACTGGTTGCGCTGGGATTCCAGCAGCTCACTGTACATGGGTAGTACGTAGATTAATAGCTTGCTATCGCTCATTTCTTCCACACCAAGATCCTGGTAAAACGCGTTTAAGCGTGGATTACTCTTGAGAAAGCATTGCTGTGCATCCGCAGGCAATGGAATGTCTGTCAGGTTCAAATCTGGCGGGATCAAGAAGAAATCTAGTCCATCACTAAGTGCACAGAGTGTATTGCGAACATTCACGAAAATTGGCAGCTGTTTCAGCTTTCCAAGCTGAACACGATTGTATCCACCATAAGCGTTGCCATTGTGACTGAAGAACTCGGCAAGTAACACCGCATTCGCTTGGCTAAATTCCTTCCAGCGCAAATTCTCCCAAACGGATGCAAAGATTCCGTCAAGAACGACCAAACCCACGTCTGCACTACTTGGAATAATGTCACGCTCTTGGCCCAAATAAGCGAGTTCCATCATTGCCACATTCAGATCCATGAGGACTTTATGAAGCGTGTTCCGGCTACAGAACTCGTGTGATTCATCCTCCACTGGATACACGGGAACTGTAAAACCTTCACTACTTCCACCACTTTCGACATCAGCGGCGTTTGTTTCGTCATCAATGCTGACGGTCTCTTGCAAGAATATTGGATCGGGTGGCAATGGAACACCTTCATCGTTATTTGACACCCCGCCCAGACTTTCTCCATCTTGTGCTGGAAGTGGTGCAGTATCATCCGTTTGGAGCAAACGTTTTGCTCCAATGAATGCGCTCTCATCAGAAACTGATGCCATTTCATTATCATTTGCAATTTGTTTCTTGTCCGGATCCTCATTTTCTTCACCACTTTCTTCTTCATCCGAGCTACCATTTTCATCTAGTTCGCCGTCCGTTTTGAATTTTGCAGAGCTTAACTCCATGAATCGTTCGTGTTCAGCTTTGATGTCAGCCATCTTCTTTTCTTGCTGCAAAGCTGAAGCCTGAAACGCCTCAGCAAGTACTGCAGATATTTCGCTATCCGCAGAGCCATCCCATACACAAACAGCCATATCCATCTTGCTGCAAGAAATCAACCGTGAACCTTTTACCGGAATCAACGGCCAGTTCGCAAAATACCCAAGAGAGCGGCGCTCAAAATGTACTACTTGCCAGAAGCGGTATAACCACAGCTGGTCAACTTCAATCGGCGAATGTGGATCCCAGTGAACAATTGTTTGGTTTTTCCAGTACGACGGCAAAATTTTCTCGATGTTGTCCGACAGGATCTTGATGGAGAACGAAGCCAGTCCAAACACGGAGGTAAACCGAGCTTCCGAGAAGAACTTGTGAAGACGTTCGGATGCCACCAGAGATACAAAGAGGTGGCCAAGTGGCCGTAGCAACTCAATCTGATTGAATGACGCAAGCACATAACTTGTGCGACGTTGATTTACTCGAAGTACGCCAATGCTCCCATCTTCTAGCGGAAGTAGAGAGAGCCCATGAAATTCGGCCCATAACGGATCCGTCTCACTTGGTAACGGAAACGGTAGGTCACTCAGGCAATACTCGAGCAAGGATAGGCAAATGTCCGAGTGAACCTCGGAACTGCTCACGCTTCTCAAGAATCGACGCATTGCTTTTGGCGTAACCGTGTAAATACTAGAGGGCAGAAGCCGTGAGCAATCTTGCAAAATCCTTTTCGGTACGTCAAACGCTGGAAAATGAAGCTGAGCAAATGATGCCACCTAATAGACAGAGCCCATTTAACAATGGGAAATCAAAGAAGCTGTGGCAAGAAAACTTACCTGAATGTTCATGCCACCCAAATCAAGCTGGTACCCGCCGCTTAGTGCACGAAACATGCCGTCCGTACATAAAAACAACTCCCGCGTTCCAATCGAATGGTATGTATGCGTCTGTACTAAGGTACCAAGCTCTTTCTCGCCTCTCCGCTGAACCAAACAACATCGTCAGCGTACAGAAAAATAGCTATCCACATGGTCCAACTTACCTTTTGTAATGTCGGCCAGATATTGTAAAGTGCCCTAGGGGACTTCCTTGCGTAATACCGTTTTGCAACCATAAGAAGCTTTGCGTACGCGTCCGCAGCACCATCTTCCAATAAAATACGGTTCCAACCCGCTGCAATCTGCTCCTCACTGCCGCTTGCACCATCAGCATCTCCTCTACCAATTTGGTTCGAAGATCCTGTCAAAGCTAGATTCTTATCTTTTGTCTTCTTAAAGCAACCGTTGATGTGGACTGGGAGCCCCACAAACTGGCCAGTGTTTATGATCTCGTACACGCTACCACGAAGACATGGAGCTGGGCTACTGTTGCGTAAGATATGACTTGCTACGCTTACGTACGGAGTCGAATGGAGCATCTCATGAACTGGGGTGCATGCCAAATCGCGACTTCTACCCAATCCAATATTATCCGCGAACAGCCATGTATCTCGATGTAATCGATTTTCTAGCTCAAGATTAACAGTGAACTCCATTTGGTTTTCAGGGATCACTGCGCTCTTGAAAAAGCTCTGCAGTGAGAATTTTTTCTTCCACTCTTGGTTTTGGCGGGTCATGTTGCGCTTTCGAAGTGTAAGCTCGGGCGCATCAAGAGACACTACGCCATGACAATTAGATTCCTCACCTACACTCCAAAGTGAAAGATGGTGAACGGACTGCGTGAAAATTAACGTCTGGTATAGCTGCGACTTCAAAAATGTAATCAGTTTCTCTGCTTTGCTTGAATCCAGTACATACGACGACACAGCCGACCCCATTTTACGCCAGGGAAATCGAATCAAAGTGCTTTGAGTCCCACGCGACACATTGCTCGGGCATGAAGGAAGAGTTGTAAATGGCAGTAGCTGGTCCGGGTATCGAACGAAATCTTGGCTTAGCACTTCATATCGTCTTCCAATGCATGCCGCTCGACCTGATGCTGATATCAATGCTCTCGCTGCCCCAGCAGAAGATGATAGGTAGCACCCCGTTGGGTCCAAAATGTAAAATCCCTCTCCACTGAGAATTTGCATGCAGTCTGACGCAGTAAACCCACACAGAAGCCCTGCACCGGAAGACTCACTGTGAAACAAGTTGTTGATGTCGTTTTCGCTCAGAACCACGTCGTGGATGTGAATGCACAGTGCTTCATCTTGAAGAGATTGCAGCGACGGCTCGATCACGCGTTGCGATGAGTGATGACGGCTATCCAGAAAAAAGTCAACTCGAGTACCTCCAAATCGGTCGGCTGCAAAAATTGTTTCCCAAAGCAGCGCATGATGCCACTCCGATTGAGGTGGTAGCACACTCTGCAGCGCAGCAGCGGATGGACAAACGACATGCCGACTTGTCACTGAAGTCTGTGCAAGCTTCGAGTGCAACGATGCGGCACCCAGCAGGAGTGCAACAGTGTGCGGAACTTTCTTTGATACAAAAGTTGCTCCTCGTCGAACTTCTCGCGATTTGTCCCACTCCATGTCATCAAACGTTAACTGTACAGCAGGAACCAAGTGGTTGCCTTGATCCAGTAGAACCATTTCTTGTGAAGCGAAAGAATCTAGCGCTGACTCTAATGCCAGTCTGTCTTCCGCCACAAGTTCATAGATTTTTAGGCATGCCACAACTTGCTTCTGACTCAAAACTACATTACGTGGTAGCCTCATGATCGCCTCCAGGTAGTCGACCGTAAAAAAAGTCTCTTTTACGCCAAATGAAGCAAGAAGCGATCGCGGGATAATATGCTCGCTTGGGCAGCAATACAAAAGCGGCTCTAGGCTAGCGTGCGCGTTCACTGCGAATTGGCACGGGTAAGCAAACCCTTTGCCAGTCCAGATCCACAGAGCATTTGCAAGCTTACGATAGAAAGGAGATATCGTCCAGCCTCCTTCGTCAGATAGTCGATAGTTCTCCAGATCTTCATACATTAGGTGCACTTCTGACAACGGAAAACGCCAATTGGGCAAACTTGAGGACGATAGCAGAGCTCCGGTCTCTTTCTTGCGACAGTATTCTTCCCACAACGATCCAATTGCCTCAAGCTGCTTTGCAATCACAAGAGGGCCGACTTTTTCTTGCCACCCAAACTCGGCAATAAGTGTCTCTGATGTCAACTCACCGTCCAGTATATTCATTGACGACGAGCAAAACCACTATTGAGCGAAAGATTACACAAAACAAGAGCAAGTTAGGCAGATAAATCTTGAGCTCATCAAAACTAATCACGTACCGCGTCTTTTAGCGGCCGCATGTTCAGCGCATTCGAAAGGAGTGCTTGCTGGCCGCCGCTTGTAGTTGAAATTTTCCATGGCATCGCCGGGTCAGGTGACTTGATTAGAACAGGCAACCACTGAACTTCTTTCAAGACCGCCACAATCTCCTTCATTGCTCGCTTTTCACTATGTTCTTCTTGGTCAGCCGTGCAATCACTTGAGGCAGACTCCGACATCATAGAGTCAAAGTGCTTGTTAACAATTGAGAGCAAACTGTGGGCCTTTAGACAAGCTCGGCCAGCGGACTCTACGTCGTCGTCTCTATACATCGTTTCGATGGAGCGTGCACTTTCCAACACCGCGTGGCAGGACAGTCCAGTGCGAAGCCCAAGTGACCGAAGAATTCCAACTATGGATGAGGTTGAAAATGCGTGGGCAGGCAGACTATTCTCACCCACCAACTCACTCAGCTCGCTCACACTAGGATCATGGAGCTGATTGACAGCACGAAAAATTCGTTTCCTAGAAGGAATAACTGCATGAGTTGAAATAATTTCGCGAAATCGCTCGTTATTTCGCTGATGAAACGGAAGTGTCTCCAGTGCACCGATGATCACAGCATCTACTAAATCTCCATCTTGCTTTTCCAAGACCGGTAGTTGCGGAAAAATATGATCCAATAAAATTGCTGTGTAGGTCAGTTCTTCAATTCCGCAATCACGAAGAAATCTCCTCGTTGCTTCTTTCTCGACACGAAAAAACGAATCGCTAAGGATTCTGGTATCGGCATCCGTACCAGGTAAGTATCCTCCTCGCCTTAAGCTGACAAACTGCACGTTGTCATCATGTTGGGTGCTAGCGGCGTTGAATACGGGCTTACCGTGTACAGGAAATATCGGAAGCTCGAAGAGAATTGGCAGGAAGTCGTTTGCTATGGCATCAAACGTATTTTGTAAAAAAAAGTCGCACAACACTTGTCGATCAGCTGACGTCGTCGCAGCAAAAATTTCATCAAAACTTTGCCTGTTCTGTCGGAGCTGATAGCGGCATAAGGACGCCAGAAGACCGTTTGAAGTCAGTTTGTAAGCATATTTATGTGCCAACAACCATTGCGCGCTCCTTTCACCGGTCACGTACACCGTGTTCATAACATGAATCCCCACTTTTGCCAGCGTATGTTGCAGCTGACGGAGAGCATCCAGCGACAGTGCAGGTGCCTCCGAGTGAGGAAGAACAAGGCTAACGTTTGCAGATAGGCAAACCCATTGGTTTTCATCGTCACACATAATGGGAACCAACGGCCACTTCGTGAAAGCTTGAGGTAGCTGCTCAATCGTCTGTAACTGAGCTTCCACATACTTCCACAGTAGCCGTATCCAATCTTTTTTGTCCTCCAATTGTGAAGTCTGGTGAAGAGTGAAGACATCTTCCTCCGGTTTACTCCAACACCGACCAAGCACGTGCGGCAAAAAACTAGCCAGTATAGCTTCTAGATCTACCCCGCTGAGATTCGAGTTCTCGTATACGAAGGGCAGTTGGTCAAATAGTTCCTTAAACTCCCTGCATACTACACGATGCGGGAAATCGGCCAAAAGTTGTTCTTCTATGGCATTTCCAAAAAAGTAGGTCAGCTGCTGTTTTTCGCTTTGCCAGTCCGAGTCACTGCTTCGCAGAGTTTTTTCATTGAAACAAATCCTTCCAAACTTTCCGTCCATTAAGGGCAACAGTGGTAGTTGGCTAAGAGTTTCTGCGAGTAAGTCGGACGAGCCTTGACAATCTGATAAGCAGAACTGAACAACTCGCTTGAGAGTAGTTGGATTCAAGGCAGGCAGAAAATTTCCTTGTCCCGTCAGTTGCCGGAAAAAGACAGGTGTCATCGCTCCGTAGACGGCATCAAGCTGAATTAATAAGTTGCGTAGAGCTACCGGAACATGCACGGTCACTAGTGATGCGGCACTTAGTGCAAACTCGAGAATTTTGCAGTCACTAAGATTGTCATCCACCAAAACACAGGAGCTTGGAGCAACGGTTTTCCTGGAGATCTCCACGGATGTATTACTCATCAGTTGGGTCGTTGACGCGAAAACCATCGGGCGGTTCTTCATGATACAAAATAGTTCAAGCACGATGCTATCCCATGGACTAGCAGGCAGCTTTGTCGGAAAAAACGACAAATATTGAGAGGGATTTTCCTCACACATAGCTTTTGCTTCCAGCAGGAAAGTCAAGTAAGCAGGAGCGACCGCATCTACCAATAGGCTTGCATTCCATTCGGACCGCAGCTTTCCATCGCCACTCATGTCATCTCCGATCCAAATATCGCGCCGATTCGAGGACAGCTCAAAGTAACCATTGATATGAACAGGTAAGCCGACTCGTACAGGAAGAGGCAAAAAACAAAAAGCCCGCCCATCGATAGGCATTCCGTCAATGCGAGCGGCAATACCGACCCATGGAATAAGCTTCAACGACTCGTTTTCAGCAGCACAGGCCATCTCGCGGGCCTTCCCGCCACCAATTTGGTTGCATACCAAATATTTTTCGACCGTTTCATCCATCAGACATTCTTTAGCAGCTTCTAACGTTTGGGTCCTTGGGTATCCTGATTCACCACCAAACCTGTGAAACATTTTTTCCAGATCTTTATGTTGTCGTCGCCGAATATGGAGCACCTGGGTCACAGAGGGTAGTTCATTTGTTGGCGTGGATCGCAAGCGTTCATAGAACTCTCTTTTAGCGGATAACTCCGTCATACCAGGTATGCTTCTCGATAATCCATCATTGTGCATGAATCGATCGATCTTACGCCACGACTCACCACGATCTCCTTCAGGTACTTCTGCACCATAGAGAAGTATAGGCGGTTTATTGATTTCTGATTGAAAATATACTTCCACTTTGCGAACATTTCGAAGGAAAAGCATTAAATCAACAATTGATCCCTGGAAGTTTTTAAATAATTCCACAATCTCGTGGTGAGAGTAGCCTCGACGCTTGATTTCGCTGCATTCTGCAAGGGCGATATTCCGGAGTGGAAATCGAAACAAAGTCCCCCTGTAATGGTGCTCCAGGTCACATCCAAACACATCTTTGTACGGTGCAAATTGGTCAGGAAACTGCTTTACGATACTTGCATTTGCAAATCGAATCTTGATTCCCGGGTTGGCAGCCGAGATTCCAGGCAAGTGGGTAGCATGAGGATCGAACATCACTAAACAGGTCACAGAAAATCAAGCACAATACGTTATTTACCGTGTGCTATGTCTTTATACCGAAGTTATTATCTTAATGACGTACCAATAGACTTGGCTGAAACAATGGAAGGTAGGTCTGTAAAATGATACACCGAGTTAAATCCTAGTCCAAACCGTCCAGTAGTAGCTGCACGTTGCAGTTTGCTGGCTTGACCAATGCGTGCGAGGTTAATAAAATCGCCATCACTGAACTCAGCATCGTTATACTACGCAAACAGCATTGAGGTGAGAATAACAGTGGAAAACAAACAGCAAAAAGAGACGTACACAAAACAGCGATGGTCCTTGCCATTTCGCCATGGCTGGACTTAACAGCGACGAAGTTCCATACGAGCAACTATTGTAGAGCACGCACACACGAGTTGCCCCAGCGTCATCAGCGTTCTGAATAAGCTCACTAATAATGTTTGGTCCGTCAGGATACTGCTCCAGTATGTGCGCAATCCGCTTTGTTAGCGCTTCTGTCTGACCGAAGACCTCCACATCACCTTCACCGCCAAAAGACATTGCCTCATGGCCACTTTCACTTAGCAACTGGCTCCGCAGAGAACAACATCCGATTTTTGCAGCCACTTCATTCGAGATTTTAGGGTGAATAAATCGTGCAGACCCCAAAAAAGTCTCGTAGTCGCGCTTATCTAACCATGGAGCGTCATCATATGTTAAATTCGCTGCAAATTCAAGAGCACCATTTCGGTTGGGAGCGAATAACTCGTAATCAGAGTGATGCGGTAGCGTATCACTAATCAACTGGATCAACCCAATTGCCATTGCCAGTTTATCACCCGATAGATGATCGGCCTTAACATCATCGTCGCCAGTACTCGCTCCAGCCAAACATTCCTTGTGCATCACTCCAAGAACATGCACATAGTCTGCTAACGCAAACCTCTCTTGGACGCCAATCGCTCGTAAAAAGGGTCGGAAGTGAAGTAATTCATTAGGAACCGTATACATGTACGGTTCGGCATTCACGACAGCTACTGTTGCCACATGGCTTGCCGATACAAAGCGGTCACCAACCCAAACGTATTTGCCATTTCCAGATAGGATCCTTAACACCTGGTTGCGACGGTCTCCTTCCTCAGTCTCAAAAAATTTCGATAGGAGCTGGTATATGCTGTACACTGCCGACCAAACTACGTGTGTATCCCCACCACTAACAGTTTTCGAATTCAGACCGCTTTCATCTCGTGATCTCCGGTTGTCAAACATGAGGGAGATCTCCTTTAACTGAACTGCGATTGTGTCAATTGGTAGGCGCTTTTCCCACCCCAAGACGCTTCGCAATACCTCCGAATGCACCGAGCTCTTAATAATGTGGAATTGTGACGAGCATAGCCACAAATGTTTGATTGGTCGAGATTGCTGTGGAGACGCAACAATAATTCGCTCTCCGTGTTTGTACCATGGCACTGTGGGATGTGGCTTCTCCTCGCACACCGGGACCCACACGATGATCGCTAATTTCGCTTTAAAATCTTCGATCTCAGCTCTCTCTATTGCTTGCGCCTCCAGTGCTTCTGCAGTAGGCAAACTATCATCAATTACTCTGTCGAGTGCACTTAAGCGATCCTCGCCTAAGAAATTCCGCAAAAAGCGAATGCCCTTGCTCTTTTTGCTTTTCGTTGTTTGAGTCTGTGATTGCCTTTGAAGTGGTGTCGGGGTTATTAATTGGCTCATGTGCGTGTCCACATACTGAAAAAAGTTAAGGGAACGGACCCGCAGCTTTTCACACATTTCATCCAGCTCCTTGTTTTGCTGTAGCTCAGGACTAGCTGCCGAGATTTTCATTTGGTCCTGCTCTATTGACACTGCTAACGACAAAATGGATCGGCGTGACAATGCGCGCTGTAGACCAATCGATCTTAATGCAGAAAGGGGCTGTGGATCTTGAAGCTCAAGGGCCGGAAAAAATGACTCGTCCATAATTTCAATAAATTCATCAATCTCTGGGTCATACAAGTCATTAATGGTCTTCATGTCTCCCGTCATTGTAGGAAATATTGCCGCGGTCTCGATAATGTTTAGCAAAATCCCATCACTATCCTGCGATAGCAAAGTAGATAGTTCCACCAGTAGTTCGTAGACGAATTTCACGCGTACATTGGGTTCAATGCGATTGAAGCGAGGAATCAAGTACTTTGCAAAAAACTCCACTTTTGAAATCCGAAGAACGCCTAAGTGAGCCAAAAAACTTGATAGTAATGTATCACCTTCACTTACAAAAATGAAGTTGTCGTCGAGAAACTTTGGAGCAACTCCCATACATAACAGCGGTTCGTGGCAGCGCGCCTTGATCTCTGCAACTGAAACAAACGTAGGAAAAAAACCACTATCCATGGTTTCGAGATCATCGTCGCTACTTATCCACCGAACGTCGCGCCGTTCGACGCGAGAAACATCTCGAAATCCCGAAAAAATTGGTAGATTGCAGCAGATGTGCTTGAGGTCCGAGTCGACATCTTCAAGTACTGCGGACAAAAGAAACGTAAGCAGGTGCTCCCTATCTGATCTAGTAGTGTGTTCAAACAACTCGTTCACCCGAGTTGGCATTGCCAAGCTGTCTCCTACAACAATGATCACTTTAATACAAGACAGCACGCCGACAGCTGTAGGCTGATGAATGTACTGCCATACGTCTGGATTAGGTTGAAAAGACGCAAACAGATTTGGTAGGAGGAGCCGAACTTGTAGCTTTTGCAAGCACCGGAGGCAACCGTCAGGGATAAGTTCGGCACTCAGCACACCAGCTGAACGACTCAACTGCGCTAATGTGTCTGAGGACGTTGGGACAATTGGCCACTTCTCCTTAAATGTCGAGAGATGCTTGCTTTTACCTATGTAATTCCAGAGCTGCCGAAACCATTCCTCGTTTGGTGTGTGCCCGTCAGATGTTCCAGTCCAAGGTACTGATTGCTTTCCAAACCACGTGGCAGGCAGTACCACTGCTAGCATATCTTCAAACCCCAGATAATCTAGCTTCTGCATATTCAGGAGCTCTCCTGCCACGTCTGACGTAAGAAGGTCTAGCCCACTTTGATGGATAGCCTCGATGTTCACTAAGTGACCACGCGCCCTATCCAGTATTGCCAATTCTTCACGGCTAGGGATTAAAAACAGGGTACTCGGTCCTTCTCCACATACAACAGATGGATTAGGATTCTGAAGCAACCAATTTAGTGCTGTTTCTACTCCATCGTCACCGGCGACTGTAAGCGCATAAATTGCATGTAGTTGCGAAAATCCCATTGAACGCAAGTATTCAAGCTCACTAGGATCGAACTTGGGACGGCTTTCGAATGTTCGAAGAGTTCCGTCGGCCACAGGGAGAAACTTGACACCGACAAGAGCATTTAAAGTGCATGTCTCTAGATCGCTCAACATGAAGCTTAGCAGGCACTCAATTGCATCTTGGTTACATCCGTGGACAGAATGCTTCGTTTTGTATGCCTCTCGCACGGTCTGTGGTTCAACGTACGACGGTATTGTTGTCGTCTTAACCAGAACGCGCTCAAGATCTTCTGCCAAGTTTCTGACAATAGGGAAGCCGTCATCGATCATTAGCTGCTCGAGCTCCTTTGAATTCGGACAACTACTGCGAACTACCATGCTTTTCGTGGGAGACACCCATCGACCACCTCCAACTTCGCTGTATAGACACGGTTCACTGCGAATCAATGAGAAAAACGAGTACGTTAGACAGTCCCAAGGTGCTGGTGGGAGTGCTTTCGGCAGCAACTTGACATGTTGGTCAGGAGCCATAAGTTGCTCACTAGCCAAGTGCAAGATCACTCGAGCATAGCACGGTGCAATCACATTGCGAAGCAATGCAAGATTCCACTGAGCTCGAAGCAGCCCTTCCCCGCTTAGACCCTCGCCAAACCAAATGTCGCGACGATTTGATGAGAGCTCGAAGTAACCGTTAACCTAATGAAATTACCAAATGGTTCGTTAGTGCTTCGTACTTGTGTATAGTGTACCCCAGGATGATGGCACTTACATGCACAGGCAAGTACGTATGTGTTGGCAATGGCAAGAAACAAAAAGCCAAGCCAGAAGTAGCACCAATTGTGAAATCAGCGGTGGTGGAAACAGCTACTCCACCCCATGGAACTAAACGCTGATCGACATTGGCTGGATTGCAAGCAATCTTTGAGCATTCTCCACCACCTAGCTGATTCATAATCAAGTACTCGTACTCCTTCGACAAATTCGCGGTACAATCACGAGCTACGATTTTCAATGGATAGTCGCAGATAATTCCTGGGTGAAGAGTGCGGAGAGATGTGAATACGTCTGAAGCTTTAAGGGTAGTAGCAACGTAATGTTACCTTTGGTGGAAAATTTCTGGGTAGATTGACCAGACGATGCCAGCGTAGCGTGTTGCAATGACCGCTTCGCCTTGATCTCGAACGTCATATTGTTAAGTGAAGCTTCTTGCAAAATGGTTGGGGTTTCTTCACCCACTCTCCATTCCCAAATCGATATTTTGCACACGTGGCGCAAAAACAGCAGCACAGTCGGCAAGCTGTCTGCAAACTCTTTGAGCATTTCTGCCATTTGTGCAGGCGTTTGGGCGCGATGAGAGAGCTTGCTCCGCTGCGCTTGCTCTACCGTTCGAAGCGCAAGGCGGAAAATTGTTCCCTTAAGAAAATAGTTATGTAGAAGAGTGGTTACACAAAGTTGGAAAGCGTCAAGAGCCAAACAAATTGCCTACCGAAAACGGCGCAGTAAAATGACACCCAAAACATTGAAATGGAGAAATTTGGTCAGGAAATTTGTTCACAAGATCAGGATGCGCTATGTAGTCAATCATTTTTCCTGGGTTGCTTGGGTTGACGTTTGGCAAATGACAAGCCTAAGCATTGATCGACATGGTAGAGAAGACAAGTAGACGTGACAACTTTAACGTTAATTGTTCTCAAAAAAGGTAAACAATCCAAACGATGATGCACTTGACGCACCTGAGGGTCGAAGAAAACCAATTGGGAGCCGCTAACAAACGCTGGTAGATCGGTCACATGATAGACTACGTAGTAGCAAACAAGATCACACGCGTTTAACGTCGCTGATATCAATACATCAATACAATAAACAGTAGAATCTGGACGTACCAGAATTAAAACCGACGCCAAAGCGTCCAGTTTTCCACCCTTTGGAGTTGTCCTTCTTGAGTGAATCGCCAATCCGCTATACATCCAATCAACAGCCTCAAGTATCAGCTCCATCCATACACATGAGCATAAGATACAGCAATACTTCAGACCTGAATGGACTGGAAATCGGCATCAGTAAACGTAGCGTTATTGTGCACGAGCAGCGACGGACCTGCAACGAATTGCAACCAAACCAAGCGTCACGGAGTCCATTAAAATAGACGTAGACTACAATCATTCCGCCTAAACAATCTTCTACTGACCCTGGAACGGCCCAAGTTTCTCGTATGCGAGCTTCGTAGTCGCATGTTGGCGATAATCCAGACACAAATTCACTTCCGTGGCTCCGGCATCATCGGCATTCTGGACCATTTCCTTGAAAATTGATGTGCCCTCTGCGTATGATAAGAAAAGTATTCCATATGAGAGGATAACGTACGTCTTCGTATCTACGACTCAAAGAGATGACACATACCAGGATAATTGCGCAGGATCTCACGTATACGGACTGTTAAATCAATCTTCTGGCCAAAATCATCGCCAAAGTACACGTTCTCATTCATTAGATGGCAAGGTCGTTCAGAATTCGGTGGTAGGATCTTTTGCCTAGGAATTAACTGCTAAAATTACAACCTGACTCAGATGTATCGAAGTTTAGGTACTTTCTAAAAGTAACCCCATGGGAAAAACAATATTTATTTTTACGGTGAGTGCGATTCCTTTTTATGGGTAAAATTATATGGCTAGGGCCTTCTTTTCCGTTCAATATCTTACTTTACTATTTGTGGCGAATGTTCAAATTGGGTAACAGATCGCGGACCCATTCTGTCAACTTCGATTTTGCTCTATTTTTCGTCGAATCAGCGGGTGCCAGTATCCAAAGTACGGTTCCACGTAAGTTGCGCCAATCAGCGCCCCCACAAGATCTTTTCGAGAAAATCTTTCTCTCGTTTGACTTGGTTTTTGTAAGCAGGTCATTTTCCCGCCATCCGCTACTGCCTGCCTCACATTTGGATGCCAACCCTCTGAAGTAAGTTGAGCACCGCGCGCCAAATTCCAGTGTCACATACAAACGATAAGACAAAACCAACATTCCGTGGCAGCGGCTGTCTGCATGGGTTCAAACGACAGACAAACTCTGGCCGCGCCCACGCTCGAGCCACGTGGCACCCACGCACCTACCGACATCACGGCTACACCACATGGTCGAAAGCGTGCTCTGGTTGACGCACAGTCCTGTACGCCATGCGACAAGAAATTGAAGCACGAGAATGACGACGAGGGCACGACGACTTGTGATGACGCAGAGGAGATGGACACCGTTGTAATCGGTCGACAACGTTCCCTTTCTATGCGCAATGGCCCGGTGCTGTCCCCATTGAGTACCGCATCGGTCGAACAGATTCGACAGCATCTGCGTGACCTGCGACGTGAAGTATTCCTACGTCCGCTATTGGCAATTATCTCGAAGCTCATGTTTCACAAGGGAAACCACGGCTTTTTTAATGTACGGGTCGATCCCGTCGTGTGGAACATTCCACATTATTTTGAAATAGTGAAGCAGCCGATGGATCTAGCACTTGTCAAGAACAAGTGTTTGAATCTTGAATATGCGACCGCAGACGAGTGTGCGAATGAGATACGTCTCGTTTTTTATAATGCGTGTCTCTTTAATCCTCCTGGACACATTGTGCACGAGTCGGCAGCAATGTTGCTGAAAGAGTTTGAAACGGACTATATCAAGTACAAAACCAAGATGGAAATTAGGACGAAACGGCGTAATGACCACTCGTGTCCGTATTGTCTGGACAATGTGTGTGGTATTTGTGATGAGAAGTGCATTAATTTTGAGCCACCGTTCGTCGTGTGTTCGGGTGCATGTCATCAGCGCATTAAACGTCATGCAGTGTACTACAAGAGTCCAGATGGACAGTATCATTGGTGCTCCAAGTGCTTTACGTCGTTGCCAAAGATGCTAACGCTAAAGGCAGCTGGATCTTCTGCACCAGATCAGGACCATACGACAGCTATTGCAGCGGAGTATACAATGTCCAAGCTTGGACTACTAAAGGCCAAGTTTACGGATGAACTCACGGAGCCATGGGTACAGTGTGACCGATGTAAGGGATGGGTACACCAGATCTGTGCGTTGTTCAATGTTTGTGAAAACGCAGACGAAGAAGTGATGTACACGTGCCCGTTATGCCGTCTCCAGGAGCTTGAAGCTGAAGAAAAGAAAGACGAGCTCGGCATGTCTCCGATTGAAACTTCCGTCGAGAATTTTCCAGTGAAAATGGAGAAAGATTATTTGCAGTCACACAGCCCTGTGCTAAAGCGTAGGTCGTACACTAAAGATTTTACCCGTGCGCTTGGGTTTGATACGGAAAGTGAAGGTGAGGAGTTTGACTCTTTGTCCCGAGTTGAGTTGGATGCTGTGGACGTCAGTACCTCGACAGGCTTCATGAAGAGCCAAAGCCTGCAGTCGTGTGCTCTGTCGCGATTTATGCAAAAATGGGTGCGGCAGCACCTGGAAGTTCTTGATGAGCACGAAGCAGCTCAATCTGTTGTCGTAAAAGTAGTGTCTGCGATCAAGACCTCGTGTCGCGTCAGTTCGGTTGTGCGCAAAAACTTCCGATCAGCATCTCAGGAGGTACGCATTATTTGCTGGGTCGGATGAAAGAGTTCCCCAGCTAAATATTGTGTTTGATGCTTTAGTACCCACAAATCATCAACTACACATCAAAGGCCATTTTTGTCTTTCAGATGATCAACGGCGTCGAAGTTTGCATCTTTTCAATGTGAGTACCTTGCATTTATACGCAGCACATTTACTGCATCCGCTGAAGTAACCTGTGTGACAAACTAACGTTGCTGGTGCTTTATCAGGTATGTTCAGGAGTATGATAAGCACTGCGAGTTGCCCACGAACCGTAAGCGGACGTACATTGCATATCTGGATAGTCTGGTGTACATGCGCCCGCGCCACGTGCGAACGAGCCTGTTTCACCAGATTCTCATCTCGTACCTGGCTTTCTGTAAAGGAAAAGGGTATGAATACGCGCACATTTGGGCATGTCCTACAACGCGCGGAGGCGATTTTATTTATTGGTGCCATCCTCCTTTTCAAAAGAACCCTGGCAAAGAGCGCCTTCTTCAGTGGTATCTGAGCATGGCTAAAAAGGCAAAGGACGTAGGCGTCGTTTATGCATGCGACGACTTGTACGCTCGTGAATTCGAGATGCTGGAAGATACCCTTCACACTCAGCTTCCTCCCTATTTTGATGGCGACTACTGGCCTTGTGAAGCCGAGCGACTTGCCGCCTCACCTTCAAAGAGAGGAAGAAAGGAAGCGAATACTGCGAGCGCGTGCAGTGCAAAGTTCCGCAAGCGAGTCGGCGAGTCGGTGAAAGCGGCTCGCGAATCACTTTTTGTTATCGCCTTGCAACCAACGTGCGCTGCCTGTAAGCAGCTGATAGTTAATGCTGCTTACTGGCGAGCGAGCAAAATAGAAGCTGTAGACACATACTACTGCGCCAAGTGCCAAGTTACAGCAGCAACAGCAGCAGTAGCCGCTACTGGGCAAGTGGCGTCACTTACCAAAGTGACCCCACCCAATTTTGCGGAAGCATGCTGCTATAGGGAGACGGAGGAGGCAGGCATGTCTTGCCCGTTCTTGGACTACCGTCCAAACATGCTTAAGAATTGCGAAGAGCGCCACTACCAGTTTGACAGCTTTCGCCGTGCGAAGTACTCGACAATGATGCTCATCTATCAGATTTCGACGCAGCGATCTGCTCAATAGCTCTTGCGTCGATGTCCAAGACTTCACTAGTATTCGTGTACAAAAAGAGAAACAGAAAATATATGGGAATCGATGTTGCGTGGGAGACATGCTTGGGTTGCGCTACTTACTGTATTGAAGTTGTCACTGGAACGAAATGGGAAGTAATGCCGCATCCGCCTTCAAGTCACGTGTGACTTTCTCAGCGTCAAGCCAGCTTTCATACTGTTTGCAGAAGTTGACCGGGTCTAGCTTAATACCGCTGTACATTTTTACCAAGCGTCCACCATCTGGGATGAACAAGTCTGAGCCGAGCTCCTTGCGGTCCTCGCAGATTAACGAGACTCCACCCGGAAGTGGCTTAATGCCTCCAAATGGAGAATCAAAGTAATGTTTGTGATGATACGCTTGCATCTCGCCAAAATTGATCCTCTCCACCGAATCCTGTGATGGAGGCTTGTTCAAGTCCTCATCCTCGTAGTGCAACCAGTCATCATCTAATTCTGGCCGCACGTACAGATACACTTCCGTAAGCATGCTGAAACACGTGTACTTCTTTATCCACTGCATACAAAGCAACAAAAACGAGAGTTAAATCAGCTTGTGCTGGAAGAAAAAGCTTACTAAATACCACAAAACAATACAGGGCAACAAACCTGATGACCTAGATACTTCGCTTGTGACTTCACCAATTTTAAGGCATACAAGCGTGGCAATGGGATCTGAAGAGCTGCCACACGCTGTTTGTATAAACACAATGAACACGTAAACAGACGCAAAAGCCAAGTGCCAGCCAAGGAGTACTTGCCACAATTTACAACACGCCTGGCGTACCTTTAACCAGACAATTGTTTGCCCTCGACAAAGAGCATTTTTGATAATGTTGGGCTTCCTTTTTGTCAGCTTCTGCAAAACCCTCAAAATGCTCGTAATCGTCCGTGTAGACTGAATAGCGTATTCGTTCATGTCTTCCTCGAAACGGATAGTATGCTTGTCCAGCTCCTTTTCAAGCGCAGCGAACCCCGTCTTAGACTCGTCTGATTCTTGACGGGATACCTGAAGATACGTGCCAATATCCTTATTCATGAATTTGGTCAGTGTCGCCAGCACGTTTGCTTCCAGGAAAAATTGCATAAAGTACTCTGCCTTGCACGCATGGCTTGCACGGAAATGCTTGTAAAGTAGCAAGATAATTAAGTTCGATACATCCAAAACGATTGTCTTTTCGCGGAGAATCCACTTCCAAAACAGATTGTCGTTACTGTTCTCGCCGCCAGGAGCAGAGAAATCTGCCATGCTGTATTGATCAGCACCAGACGGTCGTCGGGAGTAGAACGTCTTCTTATCGCGCGCATTTAGTGCACTTCCACAGGACAGTGTCACGAGATTTCCCAGAAACGTAGTGTAGTCGCGCATGCAGGGCAGAAGGAGCTGGTACAAGGTTTCCACACGCTCTTCCCATTCGTCATCGAGGGCGTCCAGCGGCTTTGTAGCTAGATCAGCATTACTAGACTGGTGACTTTTGAGCTCATAATTTGCTTTATGCAAGTACTTGTTGTGGATGGCCTCACGCTTCTTCGCAAACTTTTTCTTTTGCAAATAGTACGGGTCCTGCGGATCCAGTTGAATCATATCATAATACGGTTTGAACGTCTTGCAGTGCAGTACACCTTCTGCATCATCCTTCAAAATAGATGGGTCGATATCGCTCCGTTCACGACGCAGTCGCTTGAGTGCAGCAAGATCGTCAAAGCTCCCCATCACAGCAGAGAACCATTCGTAGAACAGTAAAAGCAGTCTCTTGATTGGAAAACCAGGCAGCACATTCAGCTGACTCACACAGTCTAGAATGGATACCAGCGAGTACGATGGATTCATGATGCCAATCATCATAAGCTGGCGGTCGAACACAACGTTCTTTTTGTGTGAGTTAAAGACAATCAGCATGTACACTAGCACCATGTCTTGCTGCAGATCGTTAATGAGTGCGTCAACTTGATCCAAATCCAAATGTTGGAAGTTCAGTCCACGGAATGCATGAATTGAGCGCATCAAACGATCGGTGAATACTGAAAGAGCACCACATTCCTGCAGCAACTCGTTATTTGCTCGAGCGGCGTCTACTTGCGCCAAGATGCCACCACGGGAGACGCTACTACTGCTGGCCACCGCACGTATAGTTCCCTCTGATAAAAAAAGCAGCTCGCGCTTAGCGCGGTAGCTTTTGTCCAGCATACGCACATTCACCGCCGACGTGTTCTCCATCTGGTTCAGTAGAATGCACACGCGTTCACGGGATTTACGGCGAGACGTCGTAATCTTTTCCCAACGACGTACGGCATCACCATCCACCTCGGGGTCTACAGTCTCTTCGTGTACAAACGAGCAATAGAAGTACGCTAGCTTCTCTTGAAGCGACAGCCCCCGAAGCAGCTCCATAACGGTTTAAACAACAATTCGTACCTCGACTTTTGTATTGCAAAACTTACATAATTAAAGCCATGTACCACACTGTGTTTACATTAAACAAAAACCATAGCCAATTTAGAAGAGATATACAAACAAGTAGGTATGATGAATAACGCTTTCTTAAATTAAAATAGAAATTTAAAAGAGTATCAAAAATAGGTTTCAATACCAAAGAAGTTTTATTTTGGGTATACATACACGTCTCGACGCGCCATCGTCGTCATCCCTTGCACAACGTCACTCGCTGATAATTGACAAAGCATCCGGTACATTAATTACGGCGTGGCCGAACGTGCGATTCTTAGTAAATTGGCGATACATGTACTAATATACGTTACAACTGTACCTAACAGCGCTCACGTGACGAACAGCACCTAAAACCTGCATAAAACATATACTAATACTGTCACTGAAAGTCGGAGCGCACGAGTGATGGGGGCCAGCGCATACGCTTCCATGGACCACAGACTGTCTGTATCCTGGCGGTCGCAGTCGTAAGACCTCTTTGGAAGCTGTCGCACGAAGTGACCTGGCGGCGGGGCATTGGACCGTGTTTCTACTTATCGGTTCTATTTTAACAGGCAGCAAATCGCACCAGCAGCACGTTCCAAACGTGTTTGAGAGCGCTCTAACCTCCGAATTCCTCTGTCACAGCCTCATCACAAATGACGCACGGGCATTAAGCGACAACATAAGCTCAAGTTATTGCCGAGATCGCTGTTCAAACTATCCGCCTCTTTTGGCACTATAAAGTGGTTGTGATATGGATACATGCACTCAACGTCATCGCGTCACTCAGTAATGATCACGGCCTTTGATCATAGAGCTGTCCGACGCCTCTGCGCAAGAGAGCTGTGTTTTTGAAACGGTTTCGTCAGCACTTTGATGTTTGTGCTGTGCACATGCTAAGTCAGCAATCTCTCGGTTCCATTTAATGCCTCAATGCGTGCGGCTACACTTGCATGCCAGCAGCTGACATCAAAGTGGTAGTGTTCCCTCTGCCATCATCAAGCTCTTTTTCGGTTACAGGCGTGAGACCAGTCGATATAAAACGCACCAAAGTGACGTCGACGAGAGAGGGGACTATGGCGAAAGCTCGTCACGACCCCTAGCCCACTTGTTATCCTTACTTGATTAATGATAGGCTATTTCTCTGATGCGCGTCAGCAGATCGCCAAAAACTGCCTCGTCAACTGCATAATCGGTGCGAATGGTCCTGAATCAGTCCTCGTCCACTGGAACATTTGCCTTTCATCGCTCACTCGTCCGAAACAGGAAACCACAGCAAGAAAGAAAGGCTCTAGACAAAGAGTATTGGACGCCATTTCCATACGATATTCGACGAAAGCAATCATCATCATCATCACTATGAGCGAGATGACGGAAAGCCACACAACTACAACAATGGAGAGCGGGCAGACGAAGACGGTCGTGACGACCACGACAACCGAGAAGATAACGACCGAGGAGACGACGGCCGTGTCTGCACTGGCAATGGCAATCGACGCGGGCAAGTACACGTTCATCCCGGAATTTGGTGGCCAGGGCATCTCCTATTGGACCGAGTTGCAGCAACTCTACGCCGCGTCCGAGACCAGCACCATCCGCGAGTTCATTGATGCTGCCGCGCAGGCACTGCTGAAGGAGTCTAGCACCGAGGAGGCCAAGGCCTCGGTCGCCTTTGAGACAACCATCGACGTGCACAACTGGCTGCAGAGCCTGGAGGTCGGCGATACACCGGCCGACTTGGATTTGGATCGTGTCTTTTTCAGTATGCCGTTGCTACTGCTGACGCAATGTGCCAATTACCTTCATTTCCTTGAGATCACGGGCGCGACCCATGAGAGTGTAGTCAAGAGTTCCACCACGGCTTTGGGCCACAGCCAGGGTGTAGTGAGCGCCGTCATTTTCTCAGTGGCCAAGACGGTGGAGGAGTTTGTCGAGGTCAGCATCTCCGTCCTGCGCTACATGTTCTGGCAGGGACTGCGCGCACAAGAGACGTATCAGGAGCTCCTGACGCAGCACAAGCAGGATGACAAGAAGATTGAAAACGCCGGCCCAATGCTGGTCGTGCGGGGGCTCAAGAAAGAGCACGTTCTTACGGCCATCGAAGTTGTTCAGCGCCGGACCAAGACACCCGACCTGCAGCTCTCTCTCATCCATGCGCCCGACATGATGAATGTGACGGGCTTCCCCGCAACGCTGACGTTGCTAAAGCAGTCGCTCGAGGATCAGTTCGCCAAGCCTGACGCCAATCAAACACGCATTCCATTTTCGCAGCGGAAACCCACGGGCTCGCTCTCGTTCTTGCCACTTTCGGCGCCCTTCCACACATCACTGCTGACTGCGGCCAAGCCAAAGTTGGTGCAGGACGTGCAGCGCGTCAAGTGCGCGATCAAGGGCAGGCAACTGCAGGTGCCAGTATACGCTACCAACACAGAGGCTGTAAATTTGCAGACGGTCGACGACGTAGTTGATGAACTAATTAGCATGCAGCTACTGCAGCTAGTAGATTGGACTGCGACGTGGACCAAGATTGCGAAGCACCACTCGAACGCAACGCACATTCTGGAGTTTGGCCCGGATCTCGGTGTGGCAAAGCTGAGTGTCAGATTTGCGGAAGGTTTGGGTATTAAACTTGTGATCGCGACTGCCAAGCACCCGGTTATAAGCTTGTCGACGAAGGGCGCTCCTCTTGTCAGCTTGCAGCAATTCATTGATACTGCACCGACATTCGCCCCAGTCGAGACGTGGGTGAAGAAATTTGGTCCGCAGGTGACCAAGGCCGGCAAGCTTTGCAACAGATTCACGCGCGTGCTGAACAAACCGCCGGTTATGGTGGCAGGAATGACACCAACCACCAGCCTGGAGGGTATCGATCTGGTTGCGGCCATCCAGAACGCTGGGTTCCATGGTGAGCTAGCTGCAGGCGGTCTGTCACGCCCCGACATCTTCGAAAACGCGGTGAATGAGCTTGTTTCCAAGATCAAGCCCGGCCTTGGCATTGCGATCAACATGTTGTATCTGAACGCGAAGCAGTGGGGCTTCCAGTTTCCGATGGTGCTACGTATGCGTCGTAGCGGTGTGCCTATCGAGAGTATTACGATCGGCGCCGGTATTCCGACGACGGAGCGCGCACTTGAAATTATGTCGCAGCTGGAAGCCGCCGGCATCAAGTTGGTGTGCTTCAAGCCGGGTTCGGTGGACGGTATTCACGCGGTGCTGGAGATTGCTGCGGCGACGCCAAGCATGAACGTGATGATGCAGTGGACCGGTGGCCGCGCTGGTGGCCACCACAGCTTTGAAGACTTCCACCAGCCATTGGAAGAGTCGTATGCCGCGATTCGTCGTGTACCGAACGTGCTGTTAGTTGTCGGATCAGGTTTCGGTAACTGGGAGGATTCAAAGCAGTACATCACGGGCGAATGGAGTCTGGCTCGCGGCCACCTGCACAAGATGCCTATGGATGGTATTTTATTGGGCTCTCGCGTTATGGTTGCAAAGGAAGCTGCGACCGCACCGGACGTGAAGAAGCTGCTTGTGGACACTCCTGGTATTGAGTCGGAGCTGGAGTGGGAAACGAGCTACACGGGCGTTGTGGGTGGTGTGGTTACGGTTACGTCAGAGTTGGGCGAGCCCATCCACGTGGTGGCAAATCGCTGCGGTGTGCTATGGAAGGAATTTGACGACAAGTACTTTAACATCCCGCGCGAGCAGGTAGAGTTGGCCCTTCGCCTTAATAAGAAAGCTATAATTGCTGGTCTCAACACGGACTATCAGAAGCCGTACTTTGGCTGCAAGCGCGATTTTGAGACTGGCAAGAGCGTTCCGGCTGATCTGGAGGAGATGTCGTACGGTGACGTTTTGGCGCGTATGATTGACTTGATGTACGTGGAGGTCGAAGGCAAGCCGTGTCGTTGGGTGCACCACACCTTCTTCTCGCGTGTGAGCAAGTTCATCACGCGTACGGAGGAGCGTTTCCGCCGCGATAGCGTTGGTGACCTGTTTGACCAGTCGGAGCTGAAGACGAACCCGAGGGACGTGATGAGCGCGTTTATCGCGAAGTACCCACGGATCGTGTCGACGCTGCTGTCCGTCCCGGATCGTGACTTTTTCCTGGAGCTGTGCCGCACTGGCGGTAAGCCTGTGAACTTTGTGCCTGTGATTGACACTGAGTTCAAGACTTGGTTTATGAAGGATTCGTTATGGTACTCGGAGGATTTGGATGCGGTTCCGGAACACGATGCGCAGCGCGTGTTCATCCTTCAGGGCCCCGTGGCTGTTCGCCACAGCACAATAGTGAACGAGCCTGTCGCGGACATCTTGGAGGGCATTGTGGCTGGCTTCACCAACATTGTGAAGGAAAGCGGCGCCATTGCTGCTGTGACGTCTGCACCTGCTAAGCGGACTGTGGTCATTGCCGGCGTCGAGGTCACGGAGAACGAAAGCAACGTGGAGATGTCGATCGTTACAGGAGAAAGCGCTTTGCCCTCTGCTGACGAGTGGCTCGCTGCTCTTGCCTCGTCCGTGAATGACAAGGACTGGCTGAACGCGCTTATTTCGTCGCCTCAAGTTGTTGAAGAGAAAAAGTGGCTCGCAAACCCTGTCAGACAGCTGCTTGTCCCGCAGGCTGGCCAGAAGTATGTGATCGACGGTGCAGGCATATGTGTTTTCGACAGCTCCATCGACATTTCTGGTCCTGTGATCGAAATCAAGAAGAATGGCGCGGCCATTGTGGTCGTTGTGAATGAAGTGCGTCCGGCAGTGACCGAACTGGAGGGTAGTGTTGTAGCACTGGAGATGACATTCCAGTACCACCCGGAACTGCCCTGCTCGATTCATGCTGAAGGCAGCGGTCTTATCGACAAGGTAAAGGCATTTTACGCTCGCTTCTGGGTGGCAATTGATGGCAAGGAGGAGGAGTCGTGCAAAGCTGCGTGCGCGGAGAGTGTGATGTCCCCTTTTACTGCCGAATTCTCCATTACGACGGAGGACATCGTTGCGTACCGTGCTGCGCTCGGTCTAAGTGACGACGAGGTCGGTGCTCCAGCAGACTTTTCGACGATCGTATCGTGGCGCCCGCTGATCCAGTCGGTGTTCACAAACGAGGTAAAGGGTAACCTGTTTGACCTGGTGCACTTGAAGCACTCATACAAGTTGCTCTCCTCGCGTAAGGCTTCTGCTACCTTTTTGCCTGGTGACGACATCGTGAGCACGTCAAACGTCGGTAGTTTGCGCATTATCGACAGCGGCAAGATAGTGCACGGTGTAGCCATCATCTCACGCAAGACGGTAGATAAGGAGATGGTAGAGGTGCTGGAGCCTCTTGTGGAGCTACATAGCGAGTTCCTGATTCGTGGCTCTTTCAACGACTTCGAATCCACCTTCTCTATCGACAAGTCGATGGACGAGTTTGTGCCTAGTCGCCAGGAGGACGTGGAAATTCTCAAGGTGAAGCCATGGCTAAAGCTTGCTGCCGACGCCTCGGTGAATGTCGGCGATCGGCTGGTGTTCCAATTGACGATGAAAAAGCAGTATGCTTCAATTGGCTCGCTAAGCTCCGTGGAAGTGTCGGGCAGGCTGCTCCGTGAGGAAGCTGGCTCGAATGTGGAGATCGGCGTAGTTGATTTCACTAGCAAAGAGGTGAATGAGAGCCCGGTTGTGGCGTTCTTGCGTCAGGTGCGACCCGTGGACGCGAAGGCAAGCGGTATGTTCGAGGGCGGTGGCTCTCACATGCTGGAGAAACCGCTGGAGATCAACGTTCCGACGAGCGCTTTGGCGTACGCGGTGGCATCCCGTGATCTGAACCCTATCCATCGCTCCAAGTACGCCGCTATTCTGGGTCACCTCCCGAACGGTAAGCCGATTATGCACGGCTTGTGGACAGCGACTAAGGTGCGCGACCTGGTGATCCAGAGCTTCGGTTTTGGCTTCGACAGTAACGTCGTGGACTACGACGTGAACTTTGATGGCATGGTGTATCCCGGTGACAAGCTGTTCATGCAGGCGCGCCACATTGGTCTCGACAACGGCAGAAAGGTTTTGTCAGTTGAGGTTGTGAATGATTCCGGTGAACGTGTAGTCAGCGCACGCGCTGTGGTAAAGCAGGCGCCGATGGCGTTTGTTTTCACTGGCCAGGGCTCTGCAGCGGTAGGCATGGGCATGGACCGCTATAAGGAATCCTCGGTGGCCCGTGATATTTGGAACCGTGGTGATGTTCACTTGCGCAAGACATTTGGTTTCTCTATACTCGAGATGGTGCGAACGAACCCCAAGTCTGTTACAGTGCATTTTGGCGGCAAAAAGGGCCGTACTATTCGCGAGAAGTACATGAGTTTGACGTGTGAAGACCCGGTGACTGGTGAAATTGCACCTTTACTGCCAGAGATTAATGCTCGTACGCAGAGCTTCAGCTTTTCCGCGCCAGAGGGTTTGTTGTTTGCGACTCAGTTCAGCCAGCCTGCATTGGTACTGCTGGAGAAGGCCATGTTCTCTGAAATTGAAGCGGCACAACTGATTCCGGACGATGCTCACTTCGCTGGTCATTCGCTTGGTGAGTACGCCGGTCTCAGCTCTTTTGCTGGAGCTCTGGCTGTTGAGGATGTCGTGGAAGTTGTATTCTTGCGTGGTTTGATCATGCAAAAAGCTGTTAAGCGCGACGCTGAGGGACGCTCTGACTACGGTATGGTGGCAATGAACCCCACGCGAGTTGGTCCCCACCTCACTGAAGAAGTTATGTACAAGATTGTTGATGGTGTGGAAGCTGCTTCGGGCAAGCTGCTGCAAGTAGTCAACTTTAACATCCAGCAGCGTCAGTACGTCGTTGCTGGTGAGAATGTGAATTTAGAGACGCTGTCGCTGTCGCTATCTGCTTTTAAGACGCTGAAGTCGGCGGCTACTGAGGATGTGGAGAAGGTAATTACCGATTCATTGGCACAAGCTCGTGCCCGCAAGGAGAAGTGCGAGCTGACTGGCCGTCCGTTTACACTGGCGAGAGGCCTAGCAACGATACCGCTGGTGGGTATTGATGTGCCTTTCCACTCGCGTGAGCTACTTGGTGGCGTGCCTTCGTTTCGTGCGCTGTTGCGGACCAAGTTTGATCCGCAGGTACTTGAGCGCCAACTGCCGCTTCTAGTGAACCGATACATCCCTAATCTAGTGGCTACTCCATTCTCACTTGAACGCTCGTACGTTGAGGAGGTATATGAAGCGACCAAGAGTCCGTACCTCGCAGAGGCTTTGGACCCGATGCAGTGGAAGTTGACGACGAAGGCTCAACTGGCACATTTACTTGTTGTGGAGCTGCTGGCGTACCAGTTTGCATCGCCTGTCCAATGGATTAAGACTCAGGCGCTATTGTTTTCGGAGGGTGGTGTTCGCCGCTTTGTGGAGATTGGTCCTGCTCCGACGTTGACAAACATGGCGTTGGGCACTCTTCAGGTTGGAGACTTCCCAGATGTACCCCGTGAGATTCTGTGGTACCAGCGTGACCGTGAGGTTGTGCATTTTGAAGAGGTGACGTCGAACATTTCTGCATCTGAGTATGCTCGTAATTTGGCTGCGGAGGCTGCCGCTGCCGCGAACGCTGCTATGTCTGCTGCAAAGGTGGCTGTTGCTCCTGCCGTCCCGACTCCAGTTGCCGCTGCAGTTGTCGCTGCTCCTGTTCAGCAGATGCAACCTGCTCCGGCTCCTACTCCTGTCGTCGCTTCCTCCGCTGCCGGTGATGCTCCAGTTGCTGCCCTGCACGTACTTCGTGTCATTATCGCCGTGCGCTTGAACAAGAGCTTGGCTGATATTAAGGAGGAGACGGACGTAAAGACGCTTTGCGCTGGAAAATCTGCTGTTCAGAACGAGATTCTTGGTGATCTTGAAAAGGAGTTCGGTGGAGGTGTGCCCGAGGGTGCTGGTGAAATTTCGCTGAAGGAGCTGGCTTCGAAGTTTTCTGGCTACAACAGTCTCGGCAAGGTGACTAACAGCCTGATCAACAAGGTGGTGGCGAGCAAAATGCCTGGCGGCTTTACGATGTCGAGCATCAAAGATTACCTTAGCGCTGAGAAGGGTCTGGGTGCTGGTCGCATGGAGAGCGTGTTGGCACACGCATTGCTCCTTGCCCCGCAGACTCGTCTGAAGAACGATGCGGACGCGCGCAAGTGGCTGGACGACAGCGTGAGCGGATATGCTTCGTTTGCTGGTATCTCTCTTGATCGTCCTACGATGGCTTCTACGTCGGGCATGTCCTTTAACCTTGCTCCGGTATCGATCCCCACGGTGAGTGATAAGCTTGTGGAAGCCAAACACGCTCTGTTAGTGATGCTCGCGGTAAAGTTCCACAAGACCCTCAACGAAGTTTCGGAGACGGCAACCATCAAGGAACTGTGTGCCGGTAAGTCGGCTGTGCAAAACGAGATCGTTGGCGACCTGGAGAAGGAGTTTGGCTCTGGTCCTGACGATGCGACAGAAATGAAGTTGGTTGAGCTGGCGGGTAAATTCCCCGATTATGCATCCCCAGGCAAGGTAACCAGCGCTCTGATCGCGAAGATGCTGGCTAGCAAGATGCCTGGTGGGTTTGGTCTGTCGGCGATCAAGGACTACCTGTCGAGCGAGCGCTGCCTACCGAGTGGTCGTATCGAAAGTGTGCTGCTCCACGGTCTGACGCTGGCTCCAAAGCAGCGCCTTGCTGATGACAGTACGACGAAGAAGTGGCTAGATGACGTTGTGGACGACTATGCGAAGTACGCTGGAATCGACATTCCTTATCTGTCGAAGCTTGGAGGCGGAATGGCTGGTCCAGCAATGGGCCAGCAGGTGATACAGTCTAGCTCTCTCCCAAGCGATTTTGAGAAGCGTTTGAAGACTATGATCGCGGACCAGATCGATGCTCTGAGCTCGTACCTAGGTGATGACCAACTTGACTGGCATCGCAAAATTGAAACGGAAGTGGATATGCGTGAGGACCTTGAGTCGTCAGTTTCTGAGTGGGTGGCGGAGCACGGCGAGTTCTATGGCGCTGGCATTGCAGGCAAGTTTGATGCGAAGAAGGAGCGTCAGTATGATAGTTACTGGAACTGGGCCGTCCAGGATGCAATGGAGCTGTACTACCGCACTGTAGTAGCGGCCAAAGGCTTGTCTACGAGTCCGCAGCTGGCAGTGAGTGAGGGTTTAAGTACGCACTTTGAGGCGATGACTCGCTTTATCAACAAGAACGTGGACACTATTGCAGATGAGTCGGCACTTCCGCCGCTCGAGTGGTTTAAACCGTACCTGTGCAATCGTGCCACACCGGAACTTTTGCGATGCACACAGTTCTTCGTGTCACGAGCTGAAGAAGAAAGCAGCCCCGAGCTTGCTCAGGCGGTCCAACTGTTGGTGGAGCAAATGGAAGAGTGGCTGAACACAAACCCTGTGAACATGCAGATTTTTAAGCCGACGCAGCCGCAGCTTCGCATTCTTGAAAATGGCGAGCTCGAATATGCTGAGGTTCCTCGTGAAGGTGTGGCAGACTCCATTAACTACGTTGACGAGGTTGCTCGCGGGCTTGAGTATAACGATGCGGTTGAAACTGGCAACGTTGCAGGCTCTGATGTCACTGCGGGTATGACTAGTGCTGTTGGGTTTGAGTCGACTCTCAACGACAATGGCAGCATGAGCGGTGATGAGCCTGACAGCGACGATGATCGCAGATTTGATGAGGAGAAGTTGATGTCCAAGATACGATTAACTAAGGCCAAAAAGGTTGCGCCTGCCGAGGGGGCCAAGCTCAATGCGCTTCGTGACTCGTTGCGTAAGCGTGCAAAGCGTGAATCTGCAAAGTCGTTGTTTGCTCGCTCGTCCTCGCTACGCTACGGTCTCAATGAGAATCTGAAGCAGATCGTGCTGCCGCATGTGCATATCCGCAAACCATCTGATGTGGACCCGACGATCCGTCTGTATGATGTTGAGTCTACCTGTATGCTGTTGTCGTGCATGCGTGAAATGGCCTCAACGGGTATTTCGTTCGTTGGCAAGGCGGCGCTACTGACTGGTTGTGGCAAGAACTCCATTGGTGCAGAAATCGTAAAGGCGCTTTTGGAGGGTGGCGCTACTGTGTTCGTGACGACGAGTAGCTTTGGCATGAAGACGACTACCCTGTTCCGTGAGATCTACGAGCAGCATGGTAGTCGCGGCAGCCGTCTCATTATTCTTCCGTTCAACCAGGCATCGAAGATGGACGTGCAAAACCTGGTGGCGCACATTTACAACGTGCACAAGCTGGATCTAGACTTTGTGATCCCGTTTGCGGCTCTGTCGGAAGTCGGACGTACGATCACAGACATTGACTCGCGCTCGGAGCTGGCCCATCGTATCATGCTGACGAACACAATGCGATTGTTGGGCGAAGTTGTCATAGCGAAGAAGGCCCGTGACATCACCACTCGCCCTGCGCTGGTGATTCTTCCAATGTCGCCGAACCATGGCAACTTTGGCGGAGACGGTCTTTACGCTGAGTCGAAGCTGGGCGTGGAGAGTTTGATGGGTAAATGGTACTCGGAGGGCTGGGATGATCAGCTTTCGATTGTCGGCGCCATCATCGGCTGGACTCGCGGCACGGGTCTCATGTCTGGTAACAATGTAGTGGCTGCTGGTGTGGAGAAGATGGGGATGCGCACGTTTAGCACGACGGAAATGGGCTTCAACCTGAGCGCGCTTATGCACCCTATCATTGTGGATCGTGCGGCCGAGACACCGATCTTCGCTGACCTCACTGGTGGCATGGCTCAAGTGAGTGACCTGAAGGATCAGGTAGACGAAATTCGGTCGGACATCATGAGGAAGGCGAAGCTCCAAGCTTCTATTCATGCCGCGCTCGAGAATGACAAGAAAATGCTGGCTCTGCCTTCGATGAAGCTACTGTCTTCTTCCAGCTCGAAGAATTTTGCTCCTCGTGCGAACATGTCGACCTACTACTGCAACTCGTTCCCGAAGCTAACGTGTGTGTCTGAGTTGTCAACCTCGGCGAAGCAAACAATGTTGCGTGGCATGATCGACCTGCGCCAGGTCGTTGTTGTGACTGGTTTTGGTGAGGTGGGACCGTGGGGAAACTCGCGGACGCGCTGGGAGATGGAGTCATACGGCGAGTTCTCATTGGAAGGCTGTATTGAGCTAGCATGGCTGACGGGCCGCATCCTGTTCGAGAAGGGCAACTGGGTGGATGCCAAGACGAAGGAGATCGTGCCAGACCACCAGGTAAAACCTCGCTACGAGGAGGACATCATGAAACACTCAGGTATTCGCATCGTGGAGCCAGAGCTATTTGACGGCTACGACCCGAAGAAAAAGATGGTGCTGCATCAGGTGGCTATCGACAAGAAAATGTCGCCAATTGAGGTGGCTGACCGTGAGGAGGCTCTTCAGTTCCGTAAGGAGCTGGGCGAGGAGAACGTGGATGTGTTCCAAAACGCGTCTGGCGCTTGGATGATTCGTCTGCGCAAGGGATCCATTTTGAACATTCCTCGTGCTCTCAACTTCGACCGCTTTGTGGCTGGTCAGATCCCGACAGGCTGGAGTACCCAGCGCCTTGGCCTGTCCAAGGACCTGGCCGATGCGGTGGATCCGATTACGCTTTATGTACTCGCGTCGACGATGGACGCATTCGTCGCGGCCGGTGTGACGGATCCGTACGAGTTCTACCAATATGTGCACGTTTCGGAGATCGGCAACGCTTCCGGTGGCGGTATGGGTGGTATGCGTGCGTTCACGCAGATCTACAGGGACCGCTTTATGGGCAAGGCCGCTCCGAGCGACGCGCTGCAAGAATGTTTCATTAATACGCCTCCTGCCTGGGTAAACATGCTGCTGCTGAGTTCGTCCGGCCCGATTAAGACTCCTGTTGGTGCGTGTGCCACAGCTGCTGAGTCTGTGGACATAGGTGCTGAGACCATCAAGAGCGGCAAGGCCCGTGTTTGCATAGTTGGTGGCTATGACGATTTTGGTGAGGAGGGTGCGTTTGAATTCGCACAGATGAAAGCTACAAGTGATTCGGTAAAGGAGATCGGTATGGGTCGTGAACCAAAGGAAATGTGTCGCCCGTGCTCGACCACGCGAGGCGGATTCATGGAGAGTCATGGTGCGGGTATGCAACTGCTGATGGACGCACAGCTTGCGCTAGAAATGGGTCTGCCGATTTATGGTATCATCGCGCTTTCGAATACAGCGACAGATAAGAACGGTCGATCAGTGCCGGCTCCTGGTCAAGGGATTCTGACGACGGCTCGTGAGACACCGACGGGGAACTTACAGCCCTCGCCGCTGCTTGACGTGGAGTACCGTCGTCGCCAATTCGACGACGAGCTGGAAAGCATCGAGAAGTGGTATGCGCGCGAGAAGTCCTTGATCGAAGGAGACGAGTTTCGTGTTGCCTTCCTCGATGAGATGAAGGTGCGCAAGGTGCAATCGGCACAGTCCGTGTGGGGAGACAGCTTTTACCGCGGCCGTACAGACATCGCTCCTCTTCGTGGTGCGCTGAGCGCGTGGAACCTGGACATTGACGACGTGGGTGCTGCAAGCTTCCATGGTACGGGTACCACCGCCAATGATAAGAATGAAAGCGAAGTCACACATAAGCAAATGGCCCACCTTGGCCGTTCAGCGGGTAATCCTCTACCGGTGATCTGTCAGAAGAATTTAACGGGCCATCCAAAGGGTGCTGCGGCTGCGTGGATGCTCAACGGTCTGCTGCAGGTGCTGAACACGGGATTGATCCCGGGCAACCGTCAGCTGGATAACACATGCCAGACGCTGCGTAAGTATGATCACCTCGTGTACCCGAACCGTAGCTACCAGACCGTGGGTGTCAAAGCCGTGATAATGAAGAGTTTTGGCTTTGGTCAGGCCGGTGGTGAGGTGTTGCTGGTGCACCCGGATTACCTTCTGTCTACGCTATCTACTGCCGATTTTCATCACTACTCGGCTCTTCGCGAGAAGCGCCTGATTAAGATGAACACGTACGCTCAAAGCGTAGTCACCAGCAAGCAGTTGCACATTCAGGTGAAGAACGAGGCGCCGTATTCTTCGGCTCAGGAGAGCAGCGTGTACCTGGACCCTACTGCTCGTGCCGAGTACGACGCGACGTCAAAGACATGGCGATTTGGCGGTGCGGACTCGCTCACTGCGGAGGCGAACCGCCGCCTGCGTGTCGAGAAGCGCGCGAAGAAGGCAAAGACTGCTACGGGAGTTGCAGCGTCGTCGTCGAAGAGGACTTCGGACTCGAATCAGGCTGACTCGTCGTCGACGCTGTTGACTGCCATTAACCAAGCGGCGAGCGACCTGGGTTTGGCGTCGAAGAATATGGGCATGGGTGTGGACGTGGAGCCTGTGGCCACGTTCGAGAACCTGAACGGCCGCGAGGACTTTATCCGACGCAACTTCACGGACCAGGAGATGGCGTATTGCTACAGCGCGCCTCACCCGGCCGCGAGCTTTGCGGGTCGCTGGGCTGCGAAAGAGGCAGTGATCAAGGCCATATCGAGTTCTACGCCTACGGAGCCTAACCTTTGGAAGGGTGCTGGCGCCCCGCTGCGCGAGATCGAGATTTTCATGACAGCGTCGGGTGCTCCGTCCGTGCTGCTATCGGGCTACCCGCTGCAAGTGTTCAACCGCCTTGGTTTGTCGAAGCTAAGCGTGTCTATCAGCCACTCAGGCGACTTTGCTGTCTCGCAGGCAGTGGCCAACTTTCAACAGGAGTAAGTGCTCGTGGCTTTACATTTGTACGTGAATATACATATGTATCTACCAAGTGCTGTAGCATCTATATGAACTTTACTTCAATTGCATCGCTTTAGGATTCTCGAGTTTGGTTCGAGAAGTTTCAAATTTGATTCAAGCTTAATCGCAGCGATGTATGATGATGCCTCAATCGGTACAAAATAAGATGCTTCATGAAGCAAACAATAATACCACAAACGTTTTCGGGATACATCTACTATTCAGCGATGACTTGTACCTTCTCTAAATAAACGTATTCAGGAACATGTAGGAGAAAGATAGATCGTACTAGTTGAATCCTCCAGAGGTTGCCAGCTCACGTCCAAAATAGAAGAATATGTATCGGCGCAAAGACTCTCGAAACATAGTGGACCAAAGACCTCTTCGTCCAGGTGGTGCAATGATGAGACACGTTGGCTTATTGCCACTGTGAAGAAATGTGAAGTTGTTATCATAACATCCATCTCACATTTCGAAACAGCTTGTCTCCAAATTGCGATCAATATGGAATCGGTAACTTCATGCACTGTGCTACACCGGAATATTCGGGCAGCTCCAGATTAAACTCTTCCGCCAACGACCTGCATAACACGCTGTTAAATCGTGCTGAGGCTGTGATGCTACAAATAACAGTACTTACATTGGCACAAATCGCCCGCCAACGTAGTGAGATTTGTCAGTCCCTGTAAAGTACTTTGCGCAGACCTTCGGCGCTGTCAGGGATATCAGCATCTGTGGCTCCAAGCCGTTTCCACTTTCGTTTCCTGTTGACGTCGGAACGCATTCGAGAACAGCACCAATAAGCAAGAGAATGAGCGAGCAAAATAAACCAAAGCACACCATTCTCAACATGCCACCCTGACGGAATGTCGATCGAGACAATTGGTGTTTCGCATTTTTGCAGCGTCCCGACAATGTGGTCAAACGGCGGACGGATACTTCCAGAAAAGCTGAAGCCGAAAATCCCATCCAAGATCAAGTCGTACGCCGCGTCCACACTCGAACTACAACAACGAGAAAAACAAAAAACAAGTGTATCTGTTACACTGTCTATGACTACCGTAGCATGAACAGTCTGGTCTCCTCCTTACGCGTCCTGAATGTCTTCAATGAACGGAATCTTCAATTGCTCACATTGAGTGACTAGTCCCTACTTCAAAACCACATAACCTCGTTAAACACCTCCACACAACCCCCTCTCCATTCCTAGATGCGACATACCACCTTACCTGGAATAACGGATTTTCGCTGCGCTTCGGGTACAAAATGCTCGGTGTGTAGCCAAAATGCTGCAGCAATTTCACCCATTAGCCAGCATTCATCCACCTTCACTCTACCCTCACCACAGTGTATCACCACACCACTAAATGACGAGCTGCAACCAGCGCATCACCTCTATCAACAGTCACAATGCAATGATTAGTCGTGAAAAGAATATAACAACGGTTCAAAGCCACGATCGATAGCCCCCCCCCCCCCTGCTTTGGTCAATACTAACCCGTTGTTCCCCGGCCCAGCAACAACCAGCAAGCGTTTCCATCCTCCATCGCTTGTTACATTACTGGGGAACTCTTTCCCGACTGCTTCAGCCACACTGAGCCCTGCTAACTCCATGAGTTGGTCAATGGAGAAGCCGTGTCTACTGCTCATCAGTTGCTCATCAAACCGCTGCGCCTCACGTTGTCCCAAGTACTATCAGTGTATTCATAATATAAATAATAACAATACAATGTTAATAAAAGCTTAAATCTCACTGCATCAACGTCAATACTGCAACAACAACAAGAAAAAGTATCCTACGCGCGTCATCTGCTTGAGCATCTTCAAAATATCGGAGAATAATTCAAAACTGTGCAAACGAATAATCCCAAACTCGTCACTTTTCTTCGAGACAGTGATATCACTCATTGGAAACAGTGCATATCATCACTCATTCGAAATAATGACGTTTCTCCCCCTTCTTTTGGATCCAATCTAATTATCGCCCATAATTCAAGATGTTTCGCAATCAATACGATACGGACGTGACGGTGTGGTCTCCACAGGGCCATCTCCACCAGATTGATTACGCCATGGAAGCAGTAAAACAAGGCAGTGCGTGTCTAGGATTAACGTCCAACAAAGTTGCAGTGTTGTGCGGTATCAAACGCCAGAGTCTCGAATTGGCCGAACACCAGAAGAAGGTCTTCAAGATTGACGAGCACATGGGCATTGCTATCTCTGGACTTACGGCGGATGCACGCACATTGGCACGTTTTATGCGCACAGAGAGTCTCAACCACAAGTTTGTGTACGGAAGCGCCATTACCGTGGGGCGTTTAGTGTCGGACGTGGCCGATAAGAAACAGGAGTGTACGCAATCCTACATCCGTCGTCCGTACGGTGTGGGGCTTCTAGTGGCTGGTGTGGATGTACGTATACTAGACGTAACTAGTTGGACCTATAGAGAAAGTTCTTATTGTGTTTCTTCTTGTTTTCTTGTCCTTTTGTTCTAGAAAAAAGGAGTGCATTTGTACCAGACGTGTCCATCGGGCAATTACTACGAGTACAAGGGCATTGCTATTGGTGCACGATCGCAGTCGGCACGCACGTATCTGGAAAAGCACTTTAAAAGCTTTCCCAATTGTAAGTGAAGTGTGTCATGTCAAGAGAGAATGAATTGGTGACGAGGGTATTTTTGCTGTTTGTTTGGTGATAGTGAGCAAGGAGGAGCTCATTCATCACGCACTGCAGGGCGTGCGTGGCTGTCTTCAGGGAGACCAGGAACTGACGGCTAGCAATATCACTATTGCTGTCGTGGGAGTAGACCAGCCTTTCAAGATTATTGAGGGCACCGAGCTGCAGCCTTACGTACGAAGATGACGTTGTGTTTTATTTGGGTGATGGTATGTGGCTGTATCATGCTGATGGTTTTTGATGCTATCTGCAGATTGATGCCGTGGAGGTGTCGGATGTGAAGGAGGACGAGGACGGTGATGCCAAGATGGAAGAATAAATGGAAAGTAGAGCAATACCATAGCTCCGCTGTCGTCAAGATCATGATGAAGATTGCAGTGAGGTTGGCATGATGCCGTTCATGATTTAGTCGGACGATAGCATGCGATGCTTTAGTGGGCTCATTCGTATCTAGCTCTCATTAAGGCTAGCAAAAAAGGAGCTAGCCGCAGTGACTGTGCAGATTTACCTTCTGGGCAGCGAGAAACACGCAATCAGTTTGAAAGACAAGTTAAGGATGGTGTTGAAGGTCGTGGAATACGTGCGAGAGCCTGGTTGATCATCAGTCGCTGCACTTGTCTGGTGTATTGTTATGAACAGATTTCGATCTGGATTCCGGTGGCACGCGATTGAGTGATTTGTATGTTAGTAGACTGAACGACAGCAACCTGGTTATCCGCGCTTAAGCTGAAGAGAACTGACAGCAGTGCGAAGGAGACTAGGCAGAACAGTGACCGCTTCAATACGCGTCGCAGCTCTCCTTGGCGTAGGCAGGCGTAGGTTTAAAGGACGATCGCTTCGTGCCACCTTGTTGAAGCGCTCGGTCTATAGTATCGATGATAACACACCACCTCTACGGCGCGATACAACCGTTACGTCGCGACAGTTCATAGCGCCCATCTGCCACAATGTTGCAATTTGAGCAGTAGTACATTATTTTTGAGCCTACATTAAATACGCCACACAGACCCGTTATGTTGCTGCAGTTTCTATAATTTTTTAAATCAAAAGCTTCGAGAAGGAAGGAATTGATTGATTCTGATATGGTATGCGAGCGGAATATTGCGTCTCCAAGAGAGCATCTAGATGATCCAATGAATGGAAGACATCGCGCAGTAAGTGAGGACTCTGACTTAGAAGAAGGTGCATGCAATTCTTATCCGTTTGATACCAAAAACCCTTATCGTAGCTGCTCATTTTTCTCTTTTCCATTCACATTTATTTTATTTACAATAGAAATGATGCGTGTAAACGTTTTCGACTATGAATGGAGATGTCAATTGCATGTAGGAGATCAAGTGGACGCTCAAAATGTCTTTGGCAATTGGTGTACAGCCAAAATTTTGCAAGTTGCAGATGGGGAAGTACTGCTACAATTTCTCACTATGCACGAGACCTGGAGACAATGGCTGCAGCTTGATTCTGGTCAACTGGCACAAGCTGGTACTAAGGTACAATGAAAAAGCATTGATTGTTCTCTGTGTCTATGTTATTATGTCTCTCTTATGTCGTGGTAATGGATAATAGGTACAGAATGACAGTGTACCGGTTCGTCAGGCTCAGCAGATTGAAGTGCGTCCTGGTGGAGCAAACAGTTCCTTATGGAAGGAAGCATTTGCAGTTCGAGCACTTGGAGGAAAAATGCTGGTGCGTTATGCTGGACGCGATCAGAAATTTGACGAGTGGATTCCGTTCACTCCAGCAACGGTAGCACCTGCTGGAGAACACTTGCAACTTCGTGGACGTGGCAATACGTTGGAACAGAGGAAAATGGCTGTAAACGTGACACATCGTCGTGTTATTCAAGCTCAAAACCCAAGATTTACACACTACCGCGACTCACTGCTGGGTACCCTCGGACTTCGAATTTATGATATTGAAGGAGATGGCAATTGTCTCTTCCGCTCGGTTAGCCACCAAATATATGGTAACGATAGTCATCATGCCCTTGTACGTGCGGCTTGCATGGACTATATGGAGAGCGAGAAGGAGTACTTTGAGCCATATGTGGTGGGCGACATGGCAGCGTTCATGCGCTACTTGTGTCACAAAAGGCGTGATGGTGTCTGGGGAGATGATCCAGAGCTCCAGGCAATGTGCGAGCTATACGATCGTCCTGCTGAAGTGTTTGCGTACGACCCAGTCCAGGGCTTCCGGAAGCTGCGGTGCTACCACGAGAACAGTGCCCTCTCTCGTTGTAGGCCTCCTATTCGGTGCGTTTATACGGGAACGAGTGATACAACGCTTTTTTACGTAGTCCTTACAGGTGAAATGCACTGTTGGCGTAGGCTAAGCTATTATGGAGGAGGCCACTACGATTCACTTGTTGGGCACAATCATCAAGTAAACTTAATTCGAGAGACCCCAGGCCTGTGGGAGCAGCGGCATATCGGGTATTCTCGACGAATTAATTCACGTGATATACGTGATGGTGTCGCTGGTGTGGAGCAACAGGTGCAGGCTCAGTCTGATCGTGAACGCACAGATGTGAAGCAGTTGGAACACATTCTCATGGTATGCATTATGTCTTCTAGGTTGCTGATGGTGAGTACTCGCGAACTAAACTCGGTTATATGCGCAGCTATCACGAAGCGAGTTTGACGCCATGGATACGAGCTTAGAGGAGATACTAAAGCTGTCGCTTGCAGAGCACGGCGGAGAGGCTTTGCCGGCACAGGCACATCTAGAGTCTGAAGAGATCGAAGAAACTACCCGTGCAAGTGAGATCGCTGCAATCCAGGCTGAGTTACTGGCAAAGGCAAAGGCTGAGTCGGAAGAAGAGCAGTTGATGTCTGCTATTCAAGCATCGTTAGGCGGCAATGCTCCGAAAAGTGATGGCAACTTTGATGCACAAGTATCAGCAGCAATTCAAGCCTCCCTAGGAGATACTGGAGCAAGCGTTTTTGCCGGAGACTACGACGAACAGCTGCGTCGTGCCATAGAGCTGTCAGCTCAAGAATATGCACCCCCATCGCAGGTGTTTGGATTGGGCGGTGATGATTCGGGAAACATAGACGAGATGGATGAGCTCCAACGTGCAATTCAAGCTTCACTGGAGCGATCCTAAAAACTTGTGGTTCTTGAACATGTAGTTTTGTGAACGGCGAAAAACGGGCAAAGAGTCCTTAAACACGAGTTCATTCAGTACCACGCATCGCGCTACTCGCTCGCGCACTGGGTTTTCTCCATGGTCGTCTTGATAAGCGACTTGCGCTCCGTGTATTGATCACAGACGCTCTCCGACGTACTTGGCGATGCGCTGCTCCATGTAAATCCGGTCTTCCAAGTGGCGCGGTGAGTGGCGCTCGCCAGGGAAGAGAAGCAAATCATAGTGCTTTCGAGCGTCGATAAGAGATGCGATGAGACGAGCAGTATGGCGAAAGTGCACGTTCTCATCAATCAGTCCATGGATCAGTAGTAGCTGCTGTCTGTCGTGCATGTTGCCAACAGCCTCCATTACTGAAGCATTTTGATAGCCCGTCGGATTCAGCTGGGGTGTTGACATATAGCGCTCCGTGTAGCAAGTATCATAGCCGTCCCAGCTCGTCACCGGGGCCCCGGCGATAGCAAGACTGAACGTTTCAGGAGCTTTCAAAAGACAAATAGCTGCCATGTAGCCACCATAGCTCCAGCCGTAAATTCCCACTCGCCCCTCAATCGTAACACCTTCACTCACTAATTTGCGGACGCCATCTTCTTGGTCCAAAATTTCCACAGTGCCCATGCAATGTTTAATGGCGCCCTCGAAGGCCAACCCACGACGATAGCTGCCACGATTGTCTACCTTCAATACGGCATACCCCATATCACGGAACCGCTGCGCTCGCATGTCGACGGTCATTGCCCAGTTGCGTGCAACGCGCTGCACATGAGGCCCACCATATACACTCACCATTGTCGGGTATGGCCCTTTACCATGCACCTTCGGATCCGGTAAGTATACTGCACCGTACAGTGTTTCTTTGCCATCGCGGGTTGGGATTGATATGATCTTGGGCACGCATAGCTTGCTTTGAGCCTTAAATATTGCAACACGAAGGTCCTCCTGCTCCGTGGTCAGTAAATATGCTGAATCTTGGATTTCCTTAAAAAGTTTAGCAAGATCCGCTGGCGGCGGGGCTGCTGCCTCCGCTGCCATACTCGGGTCTCGAGGTTCAATCGGCTTCACTTCTGCAATCCGAGCCTGCGAAGGCACAGCACACACTTGTGCACGCGGTGGTGTCGTTAGGTTGCTATACGCATCTACAAACACACGGCAACTGCTATCCATGACGATGTTGTGCATACCCTCTGCACCAGTCAGTCTGATGGGAGGAAGCGGTGGGTCACTAGACGGAAAGAGAGGCGTCACATATAGATGACGCTCTAGCGGAGAGTCCGCAGTACCGCAAAAGAACACACGTCCTTGTGCCAAGTCAATACCCTCGACAGATTCCACGCTCCATTTGCCGCTCGTTACAGTATTAAGAAGTCGAGCTGCGTGTGTACCCGCTGCGTATTCGTACAGGTACAAGTGCATGAAGCCAGTTCGCTCCGACGCCCATAAGAAACGGAACGTGTTCTTGCTCTCCACTTCGATGTTACGGAACAAGTAGCTAGCATTCAGCCACACCGGGTTCGTCTCCTGAATCAATACGGTCGCATGTCCAGTCTGTACATCAAACCGCAGAAACATAAGCTCTGTCTGAAGTCGATTCAGTCTCTGCACACCTAGCGACTGATCTGGCAGCCAATTCACTCTTGAAATATAAAAATCCTGGTCTGGGTTTACCGATGCAAAGTCCATCCACACCGGTGTAGGAATTTTGTACTGCTGCTGTTGGTGGGAATGCTGCACTCTCTGATCTTGTTCTGCATGTGGCAATGTAATAACCCCCAACCTCCTCTTTGGATTGGCACCACCGGCAAAAGGGTAGCGATGATCTTCCTGTGATGCGTCTCCCGTCGGCTCGGCACTACCCGAGTGCATGATCCAAAATTTCGGAATATGACTCTCGTCAACCTCTTCAAAGGCGAGTTTTGTGCTGTCGGGAGACCACCAGAAGCCTCGAAAGCGACTAAGTTCCTCTTGTGTTAAAAAACAGGCCAAGCCATTGGATTTTCCATCTGTTTCTCTTGCTCCCGTCGTCACTTGTACTGCTTGTTGTTGATCTGCTACTTGACTAGAGATGACGTAAATCTCCTTGTCCTGTATAAAAGCAACCCATCGTCCGTCCGGCGAAAATTGCGGGTCAATGGCGCCCCCTATGGCGCCCGTAGACGTCTTTTCAAAAAGCAACTTAAGCTCGGCCCCCGGTTGCTCTTGAATATAGATATCACCTTGTAGAGGGTATAGAAGACGCTGGGAATGAGGTGACGGATTCCACGCGTAGGACGTGATCCCGACCCCCATTTGACGCTGACGTTCACGTCGAAGCTTGTCGTCAAAGCTCATATTTTCTTCTGTGTTTCCTTTACCCGGTGATGCCGCAAGAAGCGACACGCGGCGAGAGGCCACGTCCAGTGCATATAATTGACGCGAGAGACTGCTCTGAGGCCCTGGAGCGTGCAAGAAGGCCACGATACGACCGTCCGGACTGAAGCTTACGTTGACGGGAGAGTTGAGACCCGGTGCGGGCATCTTTGCTACGTCTTCGAGTGATATGGGCTCGCGTACGGCCATTAGCATCGAGTGGGGCGATTGAACTCGGACGTGGTTTGAAGATACAGTAGGTTTTGGATATGAGTGAGGGGGATTACAAGGGCATACTGAAAGCAAGAGAAAATAAGTAGAGTATCTTACGACATGGTAAATGAAGCAGGTTATCAAGCACATTTTGAGCTGAGCATCCATGTATATGCGCTGCAGGTGTTGCAGTCAACATCATTTTGTTCTTACTGCAACGACAGCTCCTTCGTACGTGACTTTCTCTTTACTATTAAGACACGTTGGTCACATATTTGATGTCTTTGGTGACCGATTGACATCATCTCACGGAACACCCTACGATACTAGCTCTGATTGCACTGCACACCACTATAAACGTTAGAAATGTGGACGGATTCTCTCCATCCACCACCTCATGCGTCAAGATATTGCTCCCACTGTCAGCTGACATACAGAAGTCATCCGTAATTTCTGATTTCTTACATTCCAACCCATAACCGACATGTCACGCTGCTGGCAGCAGCTCATTTGCCACTGGACAGGAGAATGATGGAAGCTTTTTTGGACGGCTTCAAAACTTCTTGCATACAATGCAAGCAGACGCGCGCCAGGACTATCCTAATGGTCTAGATAACAGCTCACCTGACACCACCCAGATGAGGTGACCGCATACGCCGCCGTATGGATATGCATATGGCACATTTTGAGCAGTGTTTGCATCACCAGCTTGTGAATACAACGCACTCGAATGACGTTCTAGCAAGCGGACGTGACCATCGCCGGCAGCGTTCATGAATTGTAAGAAACCAGCATGAAGTAACTTCGAGCCACAGCGACGCAAGAGTGCCAGTGATCCGACAAAATTACAAGGAATCCATCAGATGCTATGTCAACGTTCCATAGCAAGACAATTCGAACAGCCATCACCTCAGATGATCAGCTCCTTAACCTCGGATACCGGCGTTGCTAATCAGGCGTAGGATCTACTAGACCATCTGCAACTTAATTCGACTCGTCTGCCATCTCTCGACATGTCACACCAATAATAAATGCCACGAAATAAATGCCACACAAACGAAAAGGTCTAAACAAGAATGGGGACGTCACAGTGTGAAGGCCTCGTGTGTATCCGTGAACGTGTTGTATTCCATTCATTTTCTAGTGTCCACAAGTTGAATAAAAATGTAAAAGAAGCGTCCTTTTCCTCGTTTGATGGACACTTTGGCCGCTTAAGCGACAATGTCTGGTACTTTTGCATCTCCCGTGCGTCTTCTGCTACACTCGAGTGGTTTACAGTCGACGCTGGTACGGAGAGTAGCGAAGAGGAAGACATTTGGTCGCCTTCTACAAGTTCAGGTTTAGGAGGTGCCACGTTGGTGGCTACTACAAACGTCTCGAGCGTTAAGGCTGTGGACGGAGAGCATGTGAAGTTGCCTGAAGCGTTTGGAAGTTTGCCATTAGGTTCTCACGAGCGCAGTCAACTCGAGAGCTGCTCATTCTACGTGGAGGACAAAGTGCTGAGAGTCGTGCTCTTGATTGAGACCGAGACGCAGACGCAGAGAGATGAGTGGGTGCAGTTTTTAGGGACATTATTGTCCAAAATGGAGGACAAACTAGAACAAGAGGTCGACACTCAAGAAGCTGGAGACGACGTGGTGGAGGACCTCGAATTGCTACCAGCGCCGACGTTGTCCATATCGTCGCCAAGTTCTTCTATATCAGCGCGGTCGATGCTGCATCAAGGCAAGTCAAAGAATTTGATGGAAGAAGGAGATCCGTTTGGATTACTGTCGCTCAAAACGTCAGCGCTGGGTTCATTCAAAACGACGACGACCAATCCTGCACCTGGGATGTTTGCTATGGATCATTTTGGGTTGACAGAGGGAACAGGACAGGAAGACGATATCGAAGATGCAAACGACAGCGACGCTAGTGTCGCGAATACAGATCTCGACTGTGCCGCGGATACTGCAGTGGATCCGTCTTCGTGGCTGGTATCACGGCAACGACAAAGCCGTGAGCGCTCATGCAGCCACGCTACATACTCTCATAGCTCAAATGTGGTCCGACAGCCTTATACTGGTATAAAGAGTCGACGGAATAGTATGGGTGCTGCGTTTGGTTCGTCTTTTAGCTCGATGGGTGAGTGTTTGCGCTGCAGCAAGCGATTTGGACGCCTTATACATACACCGAAGATGTGTGCGTCCTGTTTGTACCACTTCTGTCGTGATCACTGCAACCAACGGACAGTCCTAACAACTCCCGAAACGATCACACTGCCAACTCAGGAAATGATGAGATCTCAAGAAGTCGCAAGAGCTGCCTCAGCATCTGAATTGAGACGTGTGTGCATGGATTGTTTTGTGCGACAGCAGTTGGTAATTTCGCTGCAAGAAGCTGGAGTGTATTATGCATCTGTCGTTGACGAAGCTGGTGGTTTGTCACGTCTAGTGCGTTGGAAGTATTTTGATCAAGGCCCAAAGCTTGAGATTGAAGCTCATATACGTGCTCGAAGCCTCGGTCCTTTGAGTCTCCTCTCGGCAATGTTCAAGTATCAACAGCAACCGTTTATGTTCGTGGTAGTGCTAGCACAGCTCGTGCAGAACGTCGAGAACTGTCTCGAAACGATGGACTTTTACTGGCCGCAGTTTTTGCACTGGGGTTTTGTCAATCTTTCGAATGCTTCACCTAGTGTCCGTGTCTTCTACCTCTTTTTCCTGGCTGCGACTGCTCGCCGTAGCGTGAATCTTGCGCTAAAGGCGACGTGGGAATGCATCGCTGCTCACTGGGATGCAATGGCAGGAGGGCGTTACAAGCGTGGTAACGGAATCGTGGTTATGTTGTTCTTCGTGACAAATGTCAACTTCGGAGAACCTCGAAGCGTACTGCCACAACTGCTGTTCCCGCAAGCACCAAAACACCAGCGCGAATCATTTGAAAAGTTGCTGAAACAATTGTATGAATACGTACGTCGTGTCTACGCTATCTCTCAGCGCGAGTCTCCTTTCTTTGAGTGGCTTCTCGCGCGCAGCAAAGAAGAAGTCGTGGTCAGTTCTCGTAATGTTCGAAAGCAGCTTCGTGCTTGTGATGGAGTTTTGGACCCGTTTCCAACTAGTTACCATGAGGAAACCCAACTCCTCATACTAGAACGCCGGCAATCGGGAACGCAACACCTCGTGGAAACCAAACAGCGGATGTGGAACAAACCCGCTCAACACATTTTTAGTGACGAAGTGCGGCTTGTGCGATTTCTTGTGGACTTGTGCACATATTTGAAAGAAAATATACCCGAGCCTTCGCAGAGAAAGAAGAAGCTTCCAACATTGCTTCAGGAGATGCTGCGCGGGAAGCATATTCGGCCTGAGGCTGCATTGCCGCTGTCAGGGGCCGTGGCTCACTCACACCGCGTGGTCAACGTACTTATAAACGAAGGTACAGTTTTTTCTACGAAGGCCCGCGCACCAACTTTGGTTTTCTTTGAAATTGTTTCTTCATCATTAGAATGCGACGGTGACTCTTGCGAACTAAACGGTCGGGCTAATTACGATAGCAACCTTGACGCTTTAGTGGGTGTTGCCGTGGACATGACAAATGAGATGGAGGGTGTGCTAGAACCACACCAACAAGAGATTATCAACTATCTCGATGGCGAATTCGTTCAAACTTACGTGGCAGACTTGATCCCCGTTAGTCGAACCGCACCTCAAGCGTCGTTCCGGTCTTCAATCTCGGAAGATCAAGGCGACCTTGACCATGTAGTACCGACGGGCTGCACGCCACTTAGTGAGACGGCAGATGATGACAGGTTCTCTGGCGACGAAATTGATGAAGTTGCTGATGATGAGTTAAACGGTAACGATGGTACGAACAAGAGTGAAAGCTCCTCCTCAACAAGCTCATCAGCAGCTTTCAAGTGTCCGTTTTTTGGAGAACGCTTTGCTGATACGCAAAGGCGTGTTCGAGAGGATAGCACTTTTTCGCACTACGATGGTTGGGCGTTAGTTCCTGTAATTGCAAAGAGCTTCGATGATATGCGTCAGGAGGTCTTCGTGTTACAAGGGCTCAAGTTGTTCCAGCTTTTTTTCCGCAAGCATAACCTCGATCTTTGGATGCGCTACTATAGTATCGTGTGTGCAGGTAAGGACTGTGGATTGCTTGAAGTGATCACGGATGCACAGTCGTTGGATGGCTTAAAGAAAAAGGGTACAAACATTAATGGCATTGGCACCTCGCTACCCAAAATTTTCGAGCGGGCGTGTGGACGAGATCCCATTACTGGTGACTATGATCCTGTTCGCCTGGAACTAGCTCGTGCGAACTTCATCACAAGCATGGCTGCGTACAGTCTTTTTTGCTATATATTTCTAGTGAAGGATCGTCACAACGGCAACATCATGCTGAGCACTGAAGGCCATGTCGTGCACATTGATTTTGGCTTCGTGCTTGGCATTGCGCCCGGCAACACCTTCAGTCTCGAGACAGCTCCGTTCAAGCTTACGCCCGAGATGGTGGAGATCATGGGCGCGGAGGGTTTTGATCGCTATCGGCAGCTCGTGGCTCAAGGATTGTTTGCCCTTCATCTGGAAGCTTCCCAGTTGTTGTCTCTTGTATATTTGTCGTCCAAAGACTCATGCTTCCCGTGCTTTAAAGGTCAATCCCGAGCTCGAATTGTTCGACGACTGAGTCATCGCTTATGTACTGGCTGGAGTGAACACGACGTTAAGCGCACTGCCGCTCGCATCGTGGATAAGAGTAATGGACATCGTGGCACTAGACAATACGACTGGTTTCAGAAGATTTCAAACGGCATTTTGCCGTAGCGGAAATTGTCAGCAGCAGAATAATGACTTGCGTGTGTGTAGTAGACCATCAACAAGGGCGGGTTTAGCAAAATCTACCACGAGAAGTGGTTCCAGGGCAATTAATGAAGACGGGACCGTAACGCTACAAGATGATGTATAAAGCTAGGTTAGACTTGACTATGGCGCGGCCTCTTCTTGAACCGATTCAATAGACTGTCATTTGCCTTCTGCGATCTTCTTATTGACGCCGCTTTTTCGTTCCGTGCAACTTTTTCGAGTCGCGGTAGCGACATTTTCGGTCCTTTTCCTTGCTACTTTTGTGTGTCTTCGACGACCTCTTGCGCTTCTTGTCCTTCTTCGACACAGAAACTTCACTATGGCGTCGTTTACCATTTGCCTTGTCAGAATCAACACTCGAGCTGCGACTTCGACTTCTGCTCGGCGATCTCTCTTGGCGACGCCGTCTAGCACCACGGCCGCGACTACGACTCTCCGACCGTCTGCAACGTCGTTCTTTCGGACTACGACTACAACTTCGGCTACGTCTACGTGATGACGGACGGTGGGAGGACACTCTTTTCTCTTTCTCATCTTCGCTGTCTTCCTCACTTGAAAAATCCTGAACGGTCAAACACAACATCATGTAAACACAATTTCTACACCAGACGATTCCCAACTTCCACTTAAAGCTGTACCGAAGACGAAGACGAGTCCGACGATGCCACACGTTTCTCCAGCTCACCCAAATGATTCCGACACTGAAATGTCAAATGTCCTACTTTACCACACTAAAATAGACAAAATAGTCAGTTAGAGAAAATAATAATCAAAAAAAGTACCTTTTTCCATACTTTTTTACAGGCACCACGGACATCGCTCTAGAAAAAAGCAAAAATCAAAATTATATACCCTGTTTTCAAACAAAAAATACCAATTGTCACCACCTACCCCTTTGTTTGAGAGTTTTGCGAGGGTCATGAGCCCCTTTGCCTGTTCGTACGAGGTTTCAGTCGTCTCCTTCTTCTCATCCTCAGCTGCATACGGGTCATAGCCGATCGTGTTCTTCCATATACCTGTCATCTTGAGTGCTGCACTACTGTGCATGCGGTTATTGTGCGGCATACGCACGCGTCCCGAAGTCGCCGGCATCTGGGTCGGATCTGTTGTTACAAATAATGATTTTAAACAATAATGATTCTAAAAAAATAATGTATATTCTAAAAATAAAATGATTGTATTTCTAACTCATACAAATATCAAGTAAAAAGAGACAGGAGGTGGGTGCAGTACGTATGTGAGAGCATAATTTACCACGTGTTAAGTAAGACCACAATTGAAGACGACTTCTCCTGCGTCAGCACTAATAACTACTCGACACTTCATGACCCCCATCGCTTCGCCCGAGATCACACAAACCGACGACCTCGTGGACCATGACACACCACCAGCCACGCCTGTCTTACCGGTCACCATCGTCTCGCGCGAGAAAGTGACGGAGCCACAGCATCGTCAACTCCTGTCGCTCCCTCGCCAAGTAAAAGAATGTACTATCCAGCGCATTCTCGTGACAGGTGGCGCTGGATTCATTGGCATTCATTTGTGTCGTAAATTGCTGGAGGAAGGCCACGAGGTTATCTGTCTTGATAATTTCTTTACAAGTCAACGTTCGAATGTACTGGAGCTACAGACCGTCTACCCGAACTTTGAGTTTGTGCGTCACGACATCACAGAGCCGTATATCTGTGAAGTGGACCAGATTTACAATTTAGCGTGTCCAGCGTCACCAGTTCATTACCAGTACAATCCCATAAAGACTACCAAAGTGTCGTTCCTGGGTGCAATTAACGTCCTTGGACTTGCCAAGCGCGTGAAAGCTCGCGTGTTCCAAGCTTCAACGAGTGAAGTTTATGGCGATCCGGAAGTTTCACCACAAGTGGAATCGTATCTAGGCAATGTAGACTGCACTGGGGTAAGAGCGTGCTATGATGAAGGCAAGCGCGTGGCTGAGACGCTATTTTTTGAGTACCACCGGACACTGGATGTGGATATTCGAGTGGCACGTATCTTTAATACGTACGGTCCTGGGATGCACCCCCATGACGGACGTGTTGTGAGCAACTTTATCATGCAGGCTCTGCAGGACGAGGACATTACAATTTATGGTTCAGGCAATCAAACGCGCTCATTTTGTTTTGTGGATGACTTGGTGGAAGCTATCGTCCGCTTTATGAGCTGCACCACGTGTGTGGGGCCTATGAACTTGGGCAACCCGCACGATATGACTATTCGTCAACTTGCCGAAATGATCATTCGTCTTACAAATTCTAGGAGCCGATTGGTGTTCCGAGATCTCCCGAACAACGATCCCAAGCTGCGCAAACCTGATATTACCCTTGCCAAGTACGTGTCTGGCTGTGTTGTTGACATATGTGTCAAGGATACTTACTTTTTGTTTGACCTTGTTACTGCAACTACAGAACGCATTTAGATTGGACTCCTCATGTGTGCATCGAAGAAGGGCTCAAGCGCACTATCGCATATTTTCAGAACTTGGACCTATCCACGCACAAGCCGCCAACTAACAACACAGCGCATCGAAAGAGTGAAATGGCGAACCAGACTCATGCAGCTCTTCGCTAGCTATCGCATGCATATATGGATATTTTCACGCTGGCAGGTTTTTGACAGCGAGAACGTCATGAAAGTGTACAAGTACGCTCAGGAGCACACGTGTGCCATCCCGTTTTCTTTTTAACGGGCTGGATTCGACTGTCAAGGTTTGCAAGTCAGATGGTCGTGCAGCAGGAGAATTATATGAAACATTGAAACAGGAAAATACACAGATGTTTTACTTATAACTTGCGATAGTCGACATCATTATGCAAATAGTACATGTTAGCCCCTTCTAAGGTAATGTATTCTGCATTGAAAAGGACCAAAATGTGCTGAAGTTTGTTTGACAGTTTCAGGTTGGTGCGGTAGGAGGAATCTCCTATAACATCGCAGTGTCAAATTTATATCATGAGAATGGAAACCACCGTAATTCGGTATAAGCCAAGGAAAAATATATTTTTATTGGGATGTGACGAAGGGCTATAAACACTGCTTGGTCTTGTGACGGTGTGGCCAGTACATAACATTGGTACTATCATTAGATACCAATGTAAACACAGTAGCACCTGTCTAAAAGAAAACTGCCTCAACTGATACCCTGTCTAAACTATCAAAATTTTACGGTCCGAGTACGATCTCATACTGAAAGTGGAACCTATCAAATAAACTATCATCCTCCCAATTTGCTCCTTTCAGCGCAAGTGCCCAGAAACGAGCCAACCCTTGCGACCAGGTTCCTGCCCTGCTCGACCGTCGTCCACCCGCCTTCATCCCCAGTCTTCGACTTCGCCTCCGGCCTCAGTTCGCCCCAACGCCGACCTGCCCAGTGTGCCTTGTCACCCTTCGTTGCTTGCTGCGCTCGTTCTTCGGTCATTTGCGCGCCTCGCATCGCTTCGCTTTGCTGCTCCTGTTGTTAATTGTACGACCCCTCTTTTGCTCTCCGTTCGGGTCTACCTCACTATTTTTCTGATGGCTACTGCATCTTGCACGTGGTATGAGTCCCTTGAGAGAGCGACTGGGTTTTCACGCACCATGCCTAACCTTCGACAGACGCCTAGACGCCCCGAGTATTCTCGCCATCTTCCAACCGATTCTCTGTTGGAGGCAAGTGAGGTGGACTTGGCCTCGAACAACTTGGATGCGCTTCGTTCCAACGCCCAACAGCTGGCCCCCATGCCGGCGGCGTCCTCGGAACTCCATCGCATGTGGATTCCTTGCTCTGGCGTCTTTAAGCAGAAACATTTGACTGATGTACTTGATGAACTTTCGAAAGAATTGCAACCCCAGATTTGGAAAGACGCACGCCAAGCTCGTCTGCTTCAAGAATTCAAGCTCATACCGAATTCTGGAGTCCGTTTTACGTGTGCGTCTTACGATATGGCGTCCAAACTTAGCCTGGTCCAGCTCAATGCATTTGGCACGCATATCCAGATTGCACGATATTCTAAATATGAATCTCGCTACTATGTGGACTTTGTAACGGGGCTAGAATGTACCGTCACTAGCTTACACGTGCGCTTGAGGAAAACTCAAACCCAAATATTAGGTATTAAGTAAAATTCACTCTAATTTTTATTTTGGTTTTAATTCGTACTAATTACGAAGATTTTGGTCGTAATAAATACGACAGTGTTCCCGCCTTTCGGGAACCACACAATTTCAGGTTGATTTATCATTGGCCCATATTGGGACTTTTAAGCCCCAATAATAAATTGTCACGCTGTACCCGCTATTCGGGCCCAGCACCTGTCTACATATGTAATTGTTTACTTGTGTTAACTGTGTGTGTAATGTAGCCCATTACAGTACCCCGTTCTCAAGACAGCACTCACCAACTGTGAGTGCTCAACTGTCGAAACTCCATCGCTCACAAACGAACAAGCAATGTCCGGAGACCCAACACCCAATCCAGCAGCACTCCCACGCACCATCAGAGGGAGTGCAACAACCAACATCATGGCGCGGCAACTCATACCTTGATCACTGTGCGACTTGTCCGGAGCTCACGATCCGGACTCACTGGACACGATGCGGGACTACCTACATCTCTGCGTTTGTGGACACGCTTAAGGATCGACCTTCTTTAGACCAATTGGCAACTATTGAAGCCAATCCTGGTATTATGCTTTGGGCCATTACGACTAAAGGCCGTCTTGATGCTCTTGCTCTTTCTCGGGCACTCTGTCATCTTCTGGCCTATTCTCCACCTGGTAATAGTACTGAGCGCACGGCGTGCCTCAAACTTCTTCATTCTACGGAAACGGGGTCTTATCGTTTACAAAGTCTTTTTCGTTACGTTTCTCAGTCTTCGGCTACGGCTTCACACTATGGCACCTACGGTGTATCAAGACCCCTACAAAATTCACGTCTTAGTTGGTGATAATCCCAAATTTCTCACCAATCTTAAGATTCCGCTACATACTATGGTCGCTTGGCTTTGTCTCCTTTGCTTCAGACCTGCTTTTTTTCAGAATGTTCCCGAATTTTTAAACTACTGGTTCAGGAAGTCCAAACCCTGAAGCCGTCAGCGACTGGCGTTTTACCCCTCGCCTTCGCTTCTAGGCCGGCCGCATGGGCCTTTAAAGCTGTTACACTGAATGTGAATGGTCTTAATCGACCAACCATAAAACTATACCACGATCTTCTCACGCGCTACCAAGTCATTGCTTTACAAGAGACCAAGCTTTTAGCTCTACATCTCTCGCTGATAATGATTATTTCCTTCATGCTGCTGGCGCGTACAGGCCTCGTAATGGTGTTGCTCTCATATTTAGTGAAGACCACACTTTTCACGACCTTCGCGATCTGAACTCCGAATATGCTTCCACCCCCGTGCTGGGCGATAGGTGCTTAGTAGTGGCCGCTCGTCTAGGATCTCTTTCCATTTATTTTCACGTGCTGTATGGGACGGTTTAAGCAGGGGATTGGACGGCTATCTTTTCTGCATTACCCCGGCAGTTTAAAGATTCCGCGGTTCATATTTCTTTGGGCGACTTTAACATAACCATGGACACAGACTTTGATCAAGCCTCTCCTACCTCCACCCACCACAACTCTAATCGGGCGAAAATGTTTGATTGGGTGATTACCTTAAGTATTCTCAACTTTGGCGTTTGGAGAATCCTACCCGCTTAAAATTTAGACGTTTTAAATTCAAGAACCGTGTTGATTTTTGTCTTGCGTCAGTGGACTTTTACGATAAGTTTGTTCGCTCTAGCTCCCGCTATAAGTTCAGGCATAGCGGCCACATCCCGGTTGGGTTTTTTGCCTCCTCAAATGACAACCCTTCTGGCGATAGGTTGCTTTTCAAATGTCCCACATGGCTTTTACGCTGCGTTTTTGTTCAAGCCCAGTTACAGCACTACCTTTTTCGGCTTATGGCGTCCCTCGATCCCGACCAGAACTAAGAGTGCATTTTGGACGAACACAAATGGCGTGATCGCATCTATATTAGTAAGGAATATCTTCGGCGCAAAGGTGCGATTGCTTCCCAGCTTCGCCAGCTTTTGGCTGCCTTCCGTGACTCAGAATGCCTTTTTGCACTAGACTCGAGCGACGCAAACGAGTGTCGACTAAGAGAGTCTCGCCAAGCGTTTGATGATTTTGACTCGGCTCTTCGAGACCAGAACTCTCACTCCGCATTCGACTTGGGCCGTTGGTAATGCTGAACAATCTTCTCGTCATTTTTTTCGGGCTCCTGCTTCTGCTAAGCTAAATCTGAAAAAAAACTCGGTTGACACACCATAAGGACCCTCACATTATTAAGGCCACGCATAGTGCTTACTGGGGGAAGCTTTGTCAATCAGATTCCCGGGATCTCTCAGTGAAACCTGTACTATTTGACCCAACCAAACTCAAGTCAATTTTGAGCCACAGCGTCCGGAGGCTGTCATCGTCCCACTCAGCCATGATTGATGCCCATATGACTTCCAACGAATTTTATCACGCCATCAAACACACTGCTCGTAGGAGATCGCCGGGTCCGATGGCTTGCCGGCTGAAAAATTACCAACTTTTCCCCCGCCAGTAGGATATGGTACTGAAACTTGTTTATGCTGCCCAATTTCGGAAGCGACGTATGTCGAAGTTCCAACGCCGTGCCTACCTCTCGCTTTTTTTAATAGAGGTTCTCGTTCAGATCCTAAAATTTTCGTCCATTGGTCTTACTAATCCAAGATGTCAAGCTTGGACCCAAGGCTCTGGCTTATCGTCTTAATTATGTTTTGCCTCCCTAATGTGTAATGGGGCACTCTCCAACTATACTGATAACAGTATAGTCTACTTTCAATGATGACAGTGAAAACAGGTGCCTCAAAATCTCTCTTACACAAGAGGTAGAGGAAGTTTAACTTCTAAATGACACGCTAGAAGTAGAGGAAAAGAGAACTGTATTTAATAAGTTAAACTATGTAACAAAACTAAATCATTAATAACCTTGTCTTAACTATATTAAATTATACAAATGTATGCTACCTTCGTGCCCTTCATTCATTGCGCGCGTCCATTGGTCATTGGTCAGCGCCTTGGTTGATATAATGGCCCAATCAACCAATTAGAGGGCATCTCCAACTTCAAGGAGATGCGATGACGATATTATAAGAAAAGATAATATTGTCAAATATTATTAGTAATAATAATATTTTTATTGACACTTCATATAAGTGTCAGTATTATGTAACTAGCTTACCCCGTTACATACTCGGTGTGGACCAATTTGGTTTTGTTTCTAGTCGAGAAATTCGCCACGCTCTTCGATACTTCTTAGACTTGCAGGATCTCTGCAAACGTACACCCTTTCGTGATCCTGCCGTTGCCATTTGCCTAGATTTTGCTAAGGCATTTGACAATGTTAACTGGCAGGCACTTGACAAAGTTCTTTTACACTGAGGTTTTTAAGGCGAATTTTCGGCATTGGGTTCGTACCCTTTTCAAGAGAACAATGGTGCAGATTGTGATTAACAACTCTCGGTCGGACTTTTTTGTTTGGGAGCTGGGGTTTGGCAAGGTGATCCTCCCTCTTTCTCCTGGTCTTTTTGTGCTCTTCGTAGAACCGCTATTGTGTTATATTCGCGCAGTTAATGACGGTTTTGCTATCAAACTTCGGGACGTCACACCATCTGCTTAGCTTTGCTGATGATGTCACTGGCTTTATCAACAATCTTTACCATACTCCAGCTTTTCTCGCTCGTATCCACGATTTCCGCGCCGCTACGGGAATGCGGCTTAATGTTGCCAAGACAGTAGCTCTTGCATTTCGCCCCTGGACTGCTGATGACGACCACCTTCGTTTACGCCTTTCGACGTGTAGTGTACGGTGTTAAACAACTCCGAACTAACTACACTTTTGGGTCTCGCGGTCAGCCCGGCTTGTAGTCCCACTTCTCAACTCCACCACCTGCTGGTACGTTTCCAAAAACTTTGTGTTGAATGGCGCTAGCGAGCCCGGACTTTACGCGGCCGCGTTTTGCTGCTTAAAACTATGGTACTTTCGACTATATAATATTTTTAGGTACTCAACTGTGTCACGTCTCGACTTACTTAAGTTTAACCCTTTAATCCGGAATTTTATAAAACAACAATTCGTCGGCTCGCGTCGAAGGTTCGCCGGTCCGTGGTACCTTTCCCAGCATTTGGCATGCGGGGGCTTCCGATTCTGGAGGAATAAATTTGCATTCTGTTACCGCCTCCGTAGTTTTGGAAGTCAACTTGATACGGCAATTAATTCGCCATTGTCGCTCAGATTTTTCATCGCCTCCTAAGTGGTTTATCCCTGCTTTATTTTCTTTTAACGTAGCTTTTCGAGGTCAAGTTTTTGGTCTTGACTTACTTTACATAAACTTATCGCTTGGAGCACACTATTCCCGTAGGAATCATGTCCCTTTTTATTGACGGGCTGCTTTGGCTACTTGGGGCAATAAGGTTCTTCCCCGCCTACTGAATTATATCCAGTACTTACGAAGCTGACATGGCCCATATGGATCAATACGTTTTAACGGTTTACCGGTGGAAGAAGACCTCTTGCCATACTTCATCGTAAGGCATGTAATTTTCTGAGTCATCAAGAGGTTGTGCGAATTTCGACTTTTGCTGCTGTTTCAGATATCTCTCCCAGATGAACATACACTTCGTGAGGCGCTTACTGGGTTCTCAATCAGGATTGGTAGTTCCATAACTTCAGTTGTTCGCTCTTTGGCTCCCCGATTGACGATTCCGGCCCACTATAGTACTTTCACTATTTACCCTCTTCCACTTGACGATATGGTTGCTGCGCTTCATATCTGGACTCTTGACGGGGTTGATATCTGTGATGTTCTTATCTAGGTTATTCGTGGCTTACTTAATTTTCGGCTCCCCCAGCTTTACCACTGTCGCGCCTTGACGCTGATGGAGTGACAATACCGGACTCTTTTTGGCGTACGGAACGCGCCTTCCAACATGACACTCTTCCAGCTTAAAATGATCTTCTTTTTCGTCTCCAACGTAATGGCTTGGCCTTTTGCTATAAATATGGCTGTCTCACTTCGTATATTCACTGTGTCCATTGGTGTAATGATCCTGAAACGGCTCACCATCTCTTCAGCCGCTGTTTTCTGGCTAGTCGTCTTTGGGTAGTTATTTCTGCCACCTTTTCGCCGAATTTTTTGGACTTCGATTCTATGGATTCATCTTCTATTTCTTCACGGGATCTCCGTTCCGTCATTTCAACGCCATACTTATGGGGCGTTGCTACATCTTTTATCTTCCACATCGTTCGATGCTGTGTTCTTTGGGCGCTTTGAGTCAACCGCAACGATGTCATTTACAATCCTCCCTCTCTTCCGTTCATAAGACTTTACCGTCGCTGTGAGTCATTTATTCGTTTACTTGGGTGCGGCACTTCAATGTGACCCAACCTCGTGAATGTGACATCCATGGATGGATTCACATTTATCGGAAATGACGCCCAGTTTGGACTAGGCGTCATTAGTACGCTTCAGACAGACGTCATCAGCGAGCTTAATATATATTTTAAGCTCGCACGCAAGGAAACCCCTTTAAAAAAGAGACGCGTATCCGATCTTTACTTTGAACCATTAGTAGATAGAGTTATCTTTAGTTAAATTCTATCAAATATAAGTCAGTCTTGAGTTTGCTAATTACCGTCTACTGCGCACGAGAAGCTGAATAAGTTTCTGCGTGACGTAAGTTAGACACTTGTTAGTTGTTCGTTACGCGGTTTGCTCCAAAGCGACCGTCAACGGTTGGTACTGCGTTTATAAGCGCCGACCAACACCACCGCACGCAAAGGTAAGACGGTTTAACCGATTCCTCACGCTTCTCGAAGGTGTGTGCTCGTAGCACGTGGCAGCTTCTTTCGAAGTGCCCGTCTACAGATGTAGTGTTCGGCGGGAGGCAAAAGACGGTTGTGTTTTTCATTTGGATGCGAGCGGGAAACTCGATTAGTAGGACGTGTGCACTGCAATTGTCCATGATGAGAGGACCGTAGTTAATTACCCATCAGAAGATACAATGATTTGATCCAACCAAGAAAGTCAAGCTGGCCCATCCAAGCCTTCGCATTGTTGCGAAAACGCAACCGAAATTGTTGAGGTTGATATTCGTGAAGCAAACTGGACTCTAGGCTTTCCCGATGAACTAATGCAATATTGTTGTAATCGTCACCATTGCAGCAGACATCAAGTTTTAGGCGAGCTTTGTGTTGCTTCCGACCTTTCAGCTGCTTGGTTGCAAGAGAGTGGTCGTGGTCCGCCTAGTGATTGAAGCTTTGCTTTATCATTACGTGGAGGAAAAAATGTACGCATTTTTATGAGCTTACCTGCATCCTATAGAGCAGTTTCAATTCTATCATATTTTAAATGTCCGTGAGCTCGTGCTGATCCAGGATGACCCGCTCTTCAGCCTCTCGTCCTCAATGAGTTCCATGTCAGCAGATCCATTTTCTCCGAAGCGGCGATGAGACTGGACCCCGTGGCGGTCTTAAACGACTCAAGCCAACCGTTGGAGAACTGACAAGGAGCGTGGTCAGGCTACAGACGGCCCAGGATCTTCCCTGCGCTCTCTTTGAGAAGATCGCCGCTAATGTTGATGCGAGCCTGATTTTAATGGAGCCACTCCGCCAATTCCTCCTCCATCTGCGGTTAATTCACCGTGCGCTAGCGTTTCTGGCTGAGATTGGTGTTGTACGTCATATGGAGCAGCTTAGTGGAGCTTTTGAGAGTGCCTGAGATAGTCGACTGGGCCACTTTCGCGTTGTGTTCCTTCTCGAACATTTTCGGATCTCCTTTTGTGTCACTTTGAGGTTGTCCTCTTTGTACTGACACAAAACAATGCGGACCTTGTCCGTCATTGTCGTGTGCTGAACACCGCGTTGGGGCAAGTTTTGGATGTGATTGTTGTGTGGTCATGTGTGTCAGTTGAAAATCGATTATTGATGTGGTCGGTGTTTGGAAGTGTTATTTAATAAAAAGTCAAATAGTCACGTTGAAATCAGTTTAAACAGACTTTACTGCACATCGTAATGGAGTTTATACAATATCCACGAATTAAAAGCAAAAGCACCTATTGCAAAATGCGTATCGAAGGGTCAGTAGAATGGAGCGAGGCGTGGTTTGCAACGGGCATCAAGACCAACCTGCTACAGAATGGTACGACCAAATTAGCTCAATTATATCGAGCTACTTTTGCTCATGGTCCTCACACGCGCAGGATACAATCCGAAGATGCAAGTGTCAGCGATGTCGCTTGGCCCGACAGTAGTCATCACGCGCTACAAAGACACTGACGGCAATCCGGGTTTGGCGCAATATGTGTTGGACCAACCAACCGAAACTTTGATTCTTCACCAGGATGGCTCAAACAGTGTGAGCGTGGATATTTACTTGCGGAGGAAACTGTTTCGTGTTAAACCATGGCATTGCATCGTGTGGCTAGAATGATGTGACGTCGCATTATCGGCTGGTTGCTTGGTCTCAAGGATCGCGGGAGAAGAGCTTGCTGGCGATTGCTTCATCGTATCAAGTGGAGGTCTGGGAGGTCACTGTTTCAAGGTACTGTTCGGCGCAATCACAAAGGTTAGCCTCACTTACTTTACGATAGTATGCTGTGAATTGTCACGCGTACAGGGGAATCTCTGCAACTTTGAAGGGATCTGTGGACATTGACCATTTACAATGGATGTCTTGGAATCCCTGCAACGAAGTTCTGCTTGTAAGTAAAGGCATAATTTGAGTTTGGCTTTTCTCCTTAGTTAGTGCACTTACGCATTTACGTTTTCCTTTTCACGTTTTGTAGGCTTGCTCCAAGACCGACATTGTGATAATTGTTGCTATAGAACCAGCATTATCGTACCGTGAAATTTACACCGATAGTAGCAGCACGTACCGAACATGGGGCGCAAGTTCGTGGAGTCCTTCTGGATTGCAAGTGTCAATGTACGGCTCTTCTCTTGACTTCACTTCAATACTTTCGTTCTAATTAGTATTTGTTACAATACTACAGAGCGCAAAATCATGTCCTTCATTGTTTTGCTTGGACAAACGTCAAATCTTTACTCTCGGAATCACCGAAGCACGACCAAATTGATGCAAGAACCCCCTTGAAAGACATCAGAACGAATCAGCTGAACACCGGAAATGCTAGTGTTGGTCCAATTGCTGCTGTTGCTCGCGTGTCTCCAACTGTTTGTATTCTTACGACGGACACGAAATTGATTGTAGAAGACATCACACGTCCAGACCTCGCCACTGCATCAGTAAATATGGAACCTCAATTGAATGGAACAGGGTCTGCATCTACCTTGTTACTACGTACGATAAACTCACATTGTCAAGAAATTCGAGAGCACGGTGTGGCTTCATCCAGCGATGTCCTTGATTTGACTTCCATACGCGTCTCGACCAGTTCCATAGAAAAACCGCTTCAAATTCTAAACTACATTGAGGTACGAAACCAGAAGCCATAGCACATGCTGGAACAGAGTTTGGCTGATTTTGTGGTCTCGTGATGCTACCTATTTTTAGGATACTGCGCCTTGCGAGATAGCGCCGCATGTAAAACCATGCTCTCACCTGCTGATTGTCGAATACAAAGCCGGGAAGTGGATCGTCAGTTTGATTCTCGATCTACCTCAGTTGACCTCCCCCGACGTCCTCGTTGTTCAGGTTCATCATATACACTGCCGTTGAAATGTAATTCGTCGCAGTCCTACTAACATCGTAAGTGAGTGCGCAGGAGATGCGAGCCATTGTCGGAAGCAGTTTGTCCCCGCGCCTAATTGTTGCGCAATTGGATGTTTCCGATCACATGCAGTGGACGGCTTTGGTGTCTGGCGAACTGGTACGATATCGCACATCCGCTAGCAACATAATCATGCAGCATTAAGTTTTATCTGTATATTGTTGCTTGCATGCCGTTAGGAATTGCCACCAATGCACGTATGCAGAGGACTCTATCTCGCCGAGAAGTCTTCGTTTGTGGGCGTTGCCTCCACGAAGAAGTGCAAGCGTGCTACATTTTTTCACGCCGTTGCGAACATGGAACCACTGCCGGTCTACCTGTCCAATTTTAAATTGCCCCAGCGTCCACAATCAACTAAACCTACTGTCAAGCAAATCGATATAGTGCAGAAACCGACTGCAATGGCTGTCGATAACATTATTGGCAGCCTCGGTGAAGACAAACACAATGGCGGTGAGAATAAGGACCTACTGGATCTTATTTTGGCAAACGTGATGGCTATGCAGAACCAATTGAACACCCGCTTCGACGACGTGGACAAGAAGTTGCTACAGCTGATGGTTCGTATGGAACAGCTCGAACGGAACAGCACAAGAAACAAGTAATTGTCTCGGTTTTGTCAGAAAACGATATGCATACAAGCCTACATGTAATACCTAAGGACTGATTTTACCACCCTGATGCAACTTAATAATCTTGCAATGTAGCCATATTACTGTACATCATATTTTACACTTAAATCATAAGTACCATGATTCTCGATAGTTCTTTGTGTGCACTTGATGTGGTAAGAACCCGTTCACACGGTCTGGGACCGTCAGAATCAAAAGTGACAACAGGAGACCAAGACAAACAGACAGACAGACAGACAACATGGGTCGTTCCCGTTCTTCTCGCCCCGCCGCTCGTCCGGCCGCCCGCCGCGCCCCTGCCCCTGCCCAGCCACGTCGGGCAGCCCCTGCTCCGGCACGCACGCAGGCTGCACCCGCTCCAGCTCACCAGAGCAGTAGTGGTGGCGGCATGATGAGCGGCCTCATGAGCACGATGGCGCAGGGTATGGCCTTCGGCACGGGCAGCGCCGTTGCTCACCGTGCTGTCGGCGCCGTGGCGGGCTCGTTCTCGAGCAGCTCAGATGCGCCGCAGCAGGAGCAGCAGCAGGAGTCTGCTTCGGCGTCGCATGAGGCTGCGCAGCCACCGCAGCAGAACCAGTGCGGCGTTGACCAGAAGGCCTTCTTGGATTGTCTCAACTCCAACAGCAACGACATCAGCTCGTGCCAGTTCTTCCTTGACCGGTTTAAGGAATGCCAGCTGCACCAAGAGAGCGCCTTCATGTAGAGCTGAAGATTATGACGAAACACGAGCTCAAGCCAGCGCTTTCTCGACTACGATGAGGCCCGATACTTGGGGAATCTTTTCTGCTTGTAGCTGCTGAAATCATGTCGGTGCTGTTGCTACAGGGGAGAAACCAGAGTGAGCACTAGATAAATAAATGGCAGCCTTTGCTGATAGCACTTGCTTCTATCTATATTTGCTTTCACTGTCCCGCTTACAATACAGTAATGTCTTCTAATCAGCTCACTTGTATTGTGGTAAACACCGCCTCGCAGGAGCGCTGGTGGATCTTACTAGACTATAATACACCGCCCACCTCCCCCCACATTGATGATGAAGCTAAGCCGTCCTTCTATTCAAACTAAAGTTCTAAGCGCCAGATGTGAATTCATAATGCCAAACATGCTACATGAAAACAAGAACAAATCCTGCTCGCCAGTTTGGAATAACATTATCTCTCTCCCAGAAATCACTAATCCTCCCGAACACTGCTCCATTTCCACCACTACATTCAAGCGCAAAGATCATAGGAAGTGGCGGCTTATCTTCCTATAATCCTCATTTTCTATACTAGGTCACCAGGGAGACTGTTTTAACCACTTTAACACATATCGCAGCTGAAACGGCTCTTAGCCAAATTCCGCTTGTCGTACAGCAAAGTATTTTCCTGGCCAAGTCGGCAGATTCTGTCTAATAATAAGAAGCCAAAGCAAGAGCCAAAAATTGAGAAAACCCCATTGAAGACAAACTGAGATTGCAGCAATGGCTTGCTGCTGAAGCAATTTGTTGCTGACGTGCAGCCGTGTGGTTGGGTAGTGATGGCCATGAGTTCCAAGAACGCCTTCAAGATGATGGTTAACTTTATTTGGTGCCCAATTTATGGGCTAACAAAGTAACAATGATCACCGCTTTTATAAAAAACCTCGGGAAACTATGAACCTCAATATGACTTCCTAAGTGTAAGGGGCATACGTACAGCCATATCTTAGGAACCCGAGGGGGCGCTGTGCTCCACCCATTTGTGGGCTCTTTTCTCTCTTTCTCGGCTTCCTCTAGTCCAAGCGCCATTTCCTCTTTTGGATCCAGCCGAACGAGAGAACAAACCCCCCCGCTATAACCCCTCACCCAATCAGTAATCATGGTATGTATCAAATACAAGCAACAAATAAACAAAAAAGAGCATCAAACGAAATCTAATATCCGTCCTTCCTATGATGCTTTGCTCAGGTGAACTTCACGGTCGACCAGATGCGTGAGATCATGGACTACACGACAAACATTCGTAACATGTCTGTGATTGCTCACGTCGACCACGGTAAGTCCACGCTGACTGACTCGCTGGTGTCCAAGGCCGGTATTATCTCAGCCAAGCACGCCGGTGAGGCCCGTTTCACGGACACTCGCGCTGATGAGCAGGAGCGTTGTATTACCATTAAGTCGACCGGTATTTCGATGTTCTTTGAGTACGATATGGACGTCGGTGAGGCAGCCACCGCTGCCGCTATCGCTAAGGAGTCCAATGATGCCAACGCCGTCGAAGGTGAAGAGGTGAAAATCTCCAAGAACTCGTACCTGATTAATTTGATCGACTCGCCTGGTCACGTTGACTTTTCGTCTGAAGTGACGGCTGCTCTGCGTGTAACGGATGGTGCTCTGGTTGTGGTGGACTGTATTGAGGGTGTCTGTGTGCAGACCGAGACGGTGCTACGTCAATCAATCAGCGAGCGTGTGAAGCCCGTTCTCATGGTAAACAAGGTTGACCGTGCTTTACTAGAGCTTCACCTTGAGCCCGAGGACTGCTATCAGTCATTTACCCGTGCTATTGAGACGGTTAACGTTGTTATTGCCACCTACTTTGACGAGAAGCTGGGTGATGTCCAGGTGTACCCCGAGAAGGGTACGGTCGCCTTTGGTTCAGGTCTTCACCAGTGGGGTTTCACCCTGAAGAAATTTGCTCGTCTTTACTCGAAGAAGTTTGGTATTGCTGAGGACAAGATGATGCAGAAGCTATGGGGCGACTGGTACTTCGATGCGTCAAACAAGAAGTGGACAAGCAAGAACAATCCTGAGGGAACCCTCAAGCGTGCTTTCTGCCAGTTCATTATGGATCCCATCATCAAGATGTTCGAAGCTATCATGAATGACAAGAAAGCCAAGTACGAGAAGATGATGAAAGCTGTGGGCGTTGAGCTCAAGTCTGACGAGAAGGAGCTGACGGGCAAGCCACTGCTGAAGCGTGTCATGCAGCGCTGGCTGCCGGCTGCCGATGCCGTTCTTGAGATGATTGTGGTGCACTTGCCGTCGCCTGTGACCGCCCAGAGATACCGTGTGGACACTCTGTACCAGGGTCCTCAGGACGACGAGTGCGCTGAGGCTATCCGCAAGTGCGACGTTAATGGTCCTCTAGTTATGTACGTGTCGAAGATGGTGCCGACTTCGGACAAGGGTCGTTTCTACGCCTTTGGCCGTGTGTTTGCCGGCAAAATTGCCACCGGCCAGAAGGTCCGCATGCTTGGCCCTAACTACGTGCCCGGCAAGAAGACCGACTTGTGGGTGAAGAACATTCAGCGTACGGTCATCATGATGGGTCGTTATGTCGAGCAGACGCCCGACATTCCGGCCGGTAACACGTGCGCTTTGGTGGGTGTTGACCAGTATTTGTTGAAGTCTGGTACGATTACCACGTCTGAGACGGGTCACACCATCCGTACCATGAAGTTCTCCGTGTCGCCTGTCGTGCGTGTGGCTGTTGAGCCCAAGTGCGCTTCGGACTTGCCCAAGCTTGTGGAGGGCATGAAGCGTCTTTCTAAGTCTGACCCTATGGTCTTGTGCTACACAGAGGAGTCGGGTGAGCACATTATTGCTGGTGCCGGTGAGCTTCATCTTGAAATCTGTCTGAAGGATCTGCAGGAGGAGTTTATGGGCACGGAGGTGAAGATTTCTGAGCCTGTTGTGTCTTACCGTGAAACGATTACGGGCAACTCGTCGAAGACGTGCCTGTCCAAGTCGCCGAACAAGCACAACCGTCTGTTCTGCGAGGCTGGCCCTCTGGGTGATGAACTGACACTGGAAATTGAGGAAGAAAAGGAGGAGGTCAGTCCTCGCTACGACCAGAAACTACGTGCTCGCTACCTGGCCGACAATCATGGCTGGGACGTGACCGACGCCCGTAAGATTTGGGGTTATGGTCCCGACGGCACGGGCGCTAACTTGTTCGTGGATGCCACCAAGGGTGTGTCGTACTTGAATGAAATTAAGGAGTCGGTTCTTGGCGGCTTCAACTGGGCCACCAAGGACGGTGTTCTTTGCGAGGAGGTAGTGCGTGGCATGCGCGTGAACCTGCTGGATGTGGTGCTGCACGCTGATGCCATTCACCGTGGTATGGGTCAGATCTTGCCTACCACCCGCCGTGTGGTGTACGCTTGCCAGCTAGTGTCGGAGCCTGCTCTAATGGAGCCTGTCTTCCTTGCCGATATTCAGGTCCCCCAGGACGCTGTTGGCGGTGTCTACGGCGTGCTGACCCGCCGTCGTGGCCATGTGTTCGCTGAGGAGCAGCGCCCTGGTACCCCTATGATGCAGCTGAAGGCTTACCTGCCTGTTAACGAGTCATTCGGTTTTACTGCTGATCTGCGTCAGGCTACAGGTGGCAAGGCTTTCCCTCAATGTGTGTTTGACCACTACCAGGTCATTGGTGGTGACCCGACCGACACGAACAACATGGCCGGTAAGCTGGTGAACGGTGTGCGTGTCCGCAAGGGTCTGACCCCTGAGGTGCCTCCTCTCGACCGTTTCTACGACCGCCTGTAAGGCGTCTAGCTCGGGCAAAATCTTCTGGAGTTGTGCAGCACGGTGCTGCGAGTGGGTCTTAAAGGTGTGACTCGGTCTAACATCGTCGTAAAATGGAGATGCCTCTACTTTATATCCACGTTTTTGTTATTGTTCGTAGTCGCAAGTATTACCTTTGTTTTTTTCCGATCGACTCAGATCTCCCTGCAAATCGTAAGCGATGGTCCGTCGATTATTGCACCATTACATGTACTCCCACAATTCCGATCTAAGGACCAAGGTGTCAAAAGTTTGGCCACATACGACGTACATCGCATTGCAAATGCAGCAGTAAAATGCCTACAACCAAATCGTCAGCTGCGTTCACACAACTTGACAAGAATCACTCTTGTGAAGGAAATCATGTCAGGTGCAGATGGTGTCCGGTGGACTGATAAGTGATATATGTACAGCAGTGAGAAACGTGGGATATTGCGTGATACGCTGTAGATACCGTTGACATCACTCGAGTCACTATCATAACGCATCAACGAACATGAGAGATCCTTGTTGAAGCTGTTGACTATCGACGCCCTTCAATGCCGCGCGGGCAGCAGCCACAGCGGCGTCAATGTCAGCTGAACCAGCCTCAGCGACGTCAGCAATCTTCTCTTCCGTGGCGGGGTTGTACGTCTTGAAAGTCTTGCACAAGATAGAAGGCACAAACTGGCCATTAATCAGCAGGTTGGTTTACTTCACGGAAACGTGGGACGAAAAGCGGCGTGGCAACACAAGCGGTGAGGCCTCAATGGCAGTTACGGTTGTCTTCGTCGCGAAGGCACTCGCTGGGAAGCGGGTAGATCGACGTAGCATTTGGTGCTGCATGAAAAAGGGTGCGAGGACTGCTGCTGGAGCTGGCGAGATGTCGATAAGGATGCAAATTGAAAAATAAACAGGATTCGGCCGATAACAGCGTGCCGCACCTTGCCTGCGGACCGTGGACGTCTTTTCAACAAGCTCGCAGACCTCATCGAGGAGAACATCGATGAGCTGGCTGCTCTTGAGGCCCTCGATAATGGCAAGCCATGTGCTGAGGCCAAGGGTGCCGACTTCGGCCTCCGTGCTCAAGACTTACCGTTACTATGCTGGATGGCCCGACAAAATGCATGGCCCTGTTATCCCGATCTCAGGACCTTCCTTACCTGTGCTATAACAAGTTCGAGCCTGTCGATGTGTGCGCGCAAATTATTTCGTGGAACTTTTCGTTGTTGATGATATCGTAAAAGTTGGGCCCCGCTCTCCATTGTACTGAAACCTGCTGATACCACCGACGCTCTTCACAAGACCACGCCAGTGTCTGAGTGTTATTGTCTGCGCTTGAACACAGTTTATTCGTTTGGTCGTCCTGTCTGCGCGTCGGTGAACTCATTGTGGAGGCTAAAATTCCCTAAGGGTGTGGTCAACATTGTACCAGGTGCGGCTGGCCCTTACCTCGCGCAGCACCCGAATGTCGACAAGGTCGCTTTCACAAGTTCCACCGAGGTTGGCTACCAGATCATGCGCAAATCGCACGTAAACAATAGTAAGCGTGTAACGCATGAGCTAGGTGGTAAGTCAGCCAATATTATCCTGGACGATGTCGACATCGACCTCGCCATCCAGCAGTCACAGCTTGGTCTGTTTCTAAACCAAGGTCAGTGCTGTATTGCCGGCACGCGCGTGTACGTTCAAGAAGGCATTTACGACGAGTTCATGCGACGCTCGGTGGAGGCTGCTAGGTCTCGTATCGTGGGCGACCCGTTAGCTTCGCCACGGAGCAGGGAGCTCAGATCGATGAGAGTCAGTTCGAGAAGATCCTGGACTACAATGACAAGGGTGTGAAGGAGGGTGCTCGCCTGCTAACCGGTAGCAAGCGCCATGGTGACAGGGCTGGTTCATTCATCCTACTGCATTCTTGGACGTAACGGACGACATGGTCATTTCTCGCGAGGAGATCTTTGGCCCTGTCATGGCTATTTTCAAATTTAAGGCCATTGATGAAGCTATTGAGTGTGCTAATGATTCCGTTTATGGTATGGGTGCTGTGTTGTGACTAAGAGCATTGACAATGCAATCAAGATCTCCAACGGCATTCGAACGGGTACAGTGTATGTGAACTGCTACGACGTTTTTGATGCAAACACGCCGTTTGGTGGCTTCAAGGACTCAGGCATTGGTCGCGAGAATGGAGAACTTAGCCTGTGCAGTTACTTGGAGTACAAGACTGTGATCATGAACGCCCGGACGACTTGATGCCATAATATAGTCAAATGACTAACGGAACAATAAGAGCTAATGCTATAAGCGATTACATGTTACTGTGTTGAAGTTGTCGCCGTGTGCGCCACATGAAAAGCCTGCAAAATGTCATACGCATGTCTTCATATAGTTTGGCCAATAAGGTACACTCTAACCTAATTACGTCGCCAGGGTCTAAAATAGCAATAACGAGAATTCATGTACAACCGAATGTCGAACAGCAGATCCACGACGCGAGAATCCTTCTTCTCAGGTGCCTCGATTGTAATGGAATCGTGTAGAATGGAAAGAATGTCGACATCGAAGAGCAGGCCAAACCTCTGTCCCCAATCCGTCGACCAGTTTGCAGAACGCGAAGCCCGGTACTAACTATCTCCAGACCGTGATAATTCTGTTGAGATACAGTGACTGATTTTTTATGTAGAGAAGGCACCAGACCAGTCTCTTTTCGTCCAGTGGCGTTCAGAGGTGTGTCTAAACGAATCTGGAAGCCTGCATTCCATCCGAAAAGTAGACCAAGTCGACCTCGCGAAGGCGAGGGATTACGTCATGATGGTGGGTGTGCCATGCTCTGCTATATTACTTTAGTGGTACAGGACTCCCGGCCATGTGTCCCCCTGTCTTCTAGAAGCAGACTTCTCTGAGCGCGTGTGTAATCCAGCTGTTCGGTCAAGTGTGTGCATTCCTAATCTCGGTCATGATTAACGGACCCACTTATGTGTCATTGGAAGTGTGCCCCCCACGACGTCTAAACTATCGAGCCAGCCGAACGAGAAAACGAGGAAGAGAATGATTGCATTATGGTAGATGAATGAAACAAGAGATTTTGCACATGGCCAAAATTTGAAAAGAGTCTACGTCTCCGGGAGAATAGTTCAATTCCAGTAATTACAATTTTAACTTTGAGTCTCTTCTTTTATGTTTTCCTCGCATTCTAACATTGTGACTACCTGGTAGTATCCTTTGTCGATAAAAAAGAATGTGACTAATGAGACCGGATAGTAAAGTACAGCAGCAGGAACACCAGCACGACGAACAGGATCAGATACAACATGTGTTTGCTTCCACCCTGCTCCATCATAATGCCCAGGCGCTTCATCGTGCCCCCCAACAAACCCTCCGTGTTGTCAAACTCCGTGCTCTAGGACAGCATGCAATTCTATCATTAGTCACTGCAACTAGCACACACACATCACACAAAGAAAACACCCACCATGCCATCAAGAAAGCGGTTCTGGTCCACGACTTCCGAATGAATACTACCTGATAGCTGCAGTAAGAAAAAAATGCAACATCAGCGTCAGTAAGGCCATACAACAAGAGCGCAAGAAAAGCAGCAATCGTTTTTTCTACTACTAACTTGTTTCAGCTGTGTGATTTGCAATGACAAGTGGCTGATCTGCTCGTCGTTTTGCTCTTCTAACAATCGTTTGGCCTGCTCTCCATTGTCGAAATTCTTACCCTTCTACATGATTACATTACAATCAACAATACAAGTGAGAATTCCCAGAAAAACATCTCGCATGACCTGAATCAAGTTTGATCTTACCTGCGCTCGAGAGGAGGCACCAGAGAAGAGGGATTCTCGCGTCGTGGATCTGCTGTTCGACATTCGGTTGTACATGAATTCTCGTTATTGCTATTTTAGACCTGGCGACGTAATTAGGTTAGAGTGTACCTTATTGGCCAAACTATATGAAGACATGCGTATGACATTTTGCAGGCTTTTCATGTGGCGCACACGGCGACAACTTCAACACAGTAACATGTAATCGCTTATAGCATTAGCTCTTATTGTTCCGTTAGTCATTTGACTATATTATGGCATCAAGTCGTCCGGGCGTTCATGATCACAGTCTTGTACTCCAAGTAACTGCACAGGCTAAGTTCTCCATTCTCGCGACCAATGCCTGAGTCCTTGAAGCCACCAAACGGCGTGTTTGCATCAAAAACGTCGTAGCAGTTCACATACACTGTACCCGTTCGAATGCCGTTGGAGATCTTGATTGCATTGTCAATGCTCTTAGTCACAACACAGCACCCATACCATAAACGGAATCATTAGCACACTCAATAGCTTCATCAATGGCCTTAAATTTGAAAATAGCCATGACAGGGCCAAAGATCTCCTCGCGAGAAATGACCATGTCGTCCGTTACGTCCAAGAATGCAGTAGGATGAATGAACCAGCCCTGTCACCATGGCGCTTGCTACCGGTTAGCAGGCGAGCACCCTCCTTCACACCCTTGTCATTGTAGTCCAGGATCTTCTCGAACTGACTCTCATCGATCTGAGCTCCCTGCTCCGTGGCGAAGCTAACGGGTCGCCCACGATACGAGACCTAGCAGCCTCCACCGAGCGTCGCATGAACTCGTCGTAAATGCCTTCTTGAACGTACACGCGCGTGCCGGCAATACAGCACTGACCTTGGTTTAGAAACAGACCAAGCTGTGACTGCTGGATGGCGAGGTCGATGTCGACATCGTCCAGGATAATATTGGCTGACTTACCACCTAGCTCATGCGTTACACGCTTACTATTGTTTACGTGCGATTTGCGCATGATCTGGTAGCCAACCTCGGTGGAACTTGTGAAAGCGACCTTGTCGACGTTTGGGTACTACGCGAAAACTTTGGCAAGTCTCATTGGTTATCATTCTTCGAGTGACGAAGGGCCGTAAAACACTGAAGCTAGGTGGATATGCAGAAGCATAGCTTTTAAATGCTGCGTGGGATTCGTGCAAATGTGGATCTACTTCGTCTCGTGCGAACTAAGAAGCCTCTGCGACTTCGCCATCTTTATGACATATGTTTTGTTAATGCTGTTCCAAGCGTGCACGTTCCAAGCGTGCACGTTCCTCTCGGATTGTAGCCACACCGCCGCCTTCACCGACCTTTGCGCCAGAAAACTTGACAATCACAACGCTCATATTATCACGGCTGCAGCGCAACAACACAACACATATCAGCACAGAACAAGGTTATCAATACAGAATACAAACCTTACCTTCCTGCCCGAAGACAGTTGTCTAGGATCTCTTCCGCTATTAACTTCAAGTCCGTCTCGCCTTTGTTCATGAGCTGACGGATGTAAGCGCAAACTTCGTCGTTGCTCATGACATCCCAGATCCCGTCACACGCGAGCACCAAAAACTCCTCCGTTTTGTCAATCTTGTGTACTTCGATATCTGGCTCGGCAGACACCTGCTGCTGCTCAGCCGGCAAGGTAGCGCATGACTTATAACGAAAGTCTCCAAGAGCGCGCGAGACTGACAGATCTCCGTTCACGCGGCTATTCGTCACATGCCCGCCTGCATTCTCGATTCGCTTGCGCTCTACCACCTACAAAATCAGTAACGTAACCACCACAAAGACGTTAGCGATTAGCACCAAGAATGACGTGTGTTTGGTTCCGCCTTGTTGCACCCTTTCTCTCACATTAGTAGGTTTATGGTCAAAGGACATCGCGACCGTGTGGCCAGCCTTGGCCATAACACAGCGCGAGTCACCCGTGTTGGCCACGATAATGTGTGTGGGCGTGATGAGCGCAGCGAGGGCCGTGCAGCCGCTTGGATTTGGATTTCTCTCGAACACATCGCTAATTCTCTGATCCAAATTCATGAAGGCGTCGCGCATGGCCTTACCGATCTTGTTCGGGTCTGCATCCTCCGCTTGTCCGGCAGGAAACACGTCAGTCTTCATGATATTCGCCATCTGTTCCGCAACTTTCTCGGAGGCCAAGTCAGCGGCCATACGACCGCCATGTCCGTCGAACACTGCGAAAAGCGAGCAGCTCGGGGGCAGCCCAGCTGGCTGCAGATTCGCCACGTACGAGTCCTCCATTTCTTTGCGCCAACCCTGCATGCCGGCGAATCCAAACTCGAGGCCATTTCCCAACCCGTCTTTCGTGTCCTTTGTTGTGATCGGTGTGCTAAGGAAGTTGCCCATAGTTTGCTGCTGCTTGGCTGTCTTCTTGTTTTGCGGGACTATGAAGGGGAAGACAAGTGAGCAAATCTTTCGGATTAAATCATAGTATTAATGGTATGAGGATGCTCCCTACACTTCCCGAATGGCAGTCAAGTGCGACAAGATACGCGGTAGCGCCCTCAGCAGAGCCGTCGGCCCGGCCCTCTTGGACTTATGTGTAAGGTCGATACAAAGGGGGGATGCCTTCTCCTTGCTGCGCACGCTTCAGAAGGCAGCGCAGCGTGCGACTGAAAGCGGAGGAGTACGCAGGTTATCATGTTGAGGCATTGACAAAGTGTTGAATCACCTGCATCCAAGATCTTTTTTTACATTTCGTGATTGCTAGAAGAGCAGAACGACGAGCAGATCAGTCTCTTGTCACTGGAGGCCACACAGCTGAAGCAAGGTAGTAACTGAATTGTAGTAGGCAAAAACGCTTGCGCATTTCGTGCGCTCTTGTTGTAAGGCTTTACGGACGCTGGTGTTGCATTCTTTTTTCGTGATGGTATTCATTCGGAAGTCGTGGATCAAAACCGCTTTTTAATGACATGATGGACGATGTGGGTGTGCTGGTTGCAGTGACTAATGACAGAATTGCATGCTGTTTGTTACATAGCACGAAATTTGACAACACGAAGAGTGCGCAAGAAGCGGCTGGGCGTCATGATGGAGCAGGGTGGATGCTAATGTATGCTGTACCTGATCCTGTTCGTGCTGCTATTTGTGCTGCTGTACGATAGTTGCTGGAACATTTTGTGCCACACTTACAGATATTCTTTCTGGTTGGACGAGGTGACTACCATATAGTCACTATGTTAGAATTCTTGCAGTTATAAAGCTCGTCGATAAGTGATTAAATTGCTGATAAAACGCTAAAACACAAAAAAGGTCATTTATTGATGAATTGTTATGTTGCAGAAACGTACGAGCTAACGTGTAAGAAAAGTTGCTAAAATAAGGCATTAAAAAAAGATTAAACTAAAGATATGCATTTTATCGGAAAATTATGCCCAAATCATAAAATTCGATGGAAAAAGTACAAATTCTCACAAGGTATACTATAAGTATGGTATGATTCATCAGTAGGTGATTCGCAAACTTTCTGGTCAAGCTGCCTCAAGAATGTAGTCCGGCCTCGAAGCAAGCAATCATCAAACAACTACTTGGTGCACGTCACGCACAACAATATTAACCTCTTAAGAATGATCATTCTACCAACAATAAATTTCGCTTCGTGACTTAATTGAACAAGTTGCTTTGTATATTACAACTTTGAAAAGTTTTTCCACCTCAGTATCTCAAAGGAGATTAAAGACTTAATAGCAGTAGCATTCTATTCCCAAATCTACTTCTCGATTAACGGAAGCGATTCAAACGGGTGCCACCACCACATCTTCCCATACCCTCTTTCACATAACGACCTGATGACACTATCTAGAACCTCCTTTCCCAACTACCTGATCTCATAATCCATCCCCTGGAAGCCGACTTACGCAGCGTTGTCAACAATAAACAGCAGCAATCGACACCTAAGAAACTTTGTGTCAAATGCCTTGGAAAAAGCACCAGCCATTCACCTTCCTTAGAACGATGGCTTCCATCTCGCCATGCTAGCGCACATAGTGCCATTGTGGTGGAGTGGGTTCTCAAAATTGTATGACGAGACCTCAAACCGCTCACTGTGCGTTGGTAACAAATCAAGCATGGCTGTTGGTTGAGACGCTTGACGTTGCGCGTTAGCATTCCCCATCAGCGAGCCAAACACGGTGTCAGGCGCATCGTTTAGGTCGTCTATCTTGTCGTAAGCAAACTGAAGACCGTCAAAACAGTCACTTCCCCACACTTACATCAACAAGAAGTCAACACATAATGTTATAACACGCACTGCAAGCTCACACAATTAGTGGCAGTATTCGAGTGAACCAACTTACTTAAAATGCGCGCGACACGATACCCTGATTGAGCTCCAGCAGACTGCCGACTGTCGAGAGGGCACCCCGATGCCGCGTATGGACCTTCTCTCACCTTGTGTACCCGTCGGCTGGCGAGTTGCACTCTTCTAAAGACTTATGTGAAGTTGTAGACGTGTAATGGGGCACCCTCCGACTATACTGATTACAGTATAGTCTACTTTCACTGATTACAGTGAAAGCAGGTGCCTCAATTACCTCTCTTACACAAGAGGCAGAGGAAGCTTTACTTCTAAACAAACGCTTAGAAGTAGAGGAAAAGAAAACTGTATTTAATATAGTTAACTATCTTAATAAAACTAATCTGTTATAACCTATGTTAACTATATTAAACTACAACTATGTATGTTGACGACTTGCCCTCCACTCATTGCGCGCGTCCATCGGTCATTGGTCAGCGCGTTGGTTGATATGATGGCCCATATCAACCAATGAGAGGGCATCTCCAACTTCAAGGAGATCTAGGAACAATATTATTAGAAAAGGTAATATTGTCAAATATTATTAGTTATAATAATATTTTTATTGACACTTCATATAAGTGTCAATATTATGTAACGGGCTCACCCCGTTACATCACCCCCCTCAACCAACAGTCACATTAGTGACTATTTAGTGACTATGGGAAAGGAGCACTTGTTGGGCTTTCTTTTATTCCAACATTTTTCTCGCTATGACAAAGTCAATGCGCGTCGCTGCTAAGGCAGCCAAGAGCTCGGCTGCACGCCTGTGTGCAGCCGCTACTGAGGCTTCACAGCCTCAGCCAGCAGACACATTAGTGTCTGCTGGAAGTCAACATCAGCCTGCAACGCCTGTTGCAGGTTCACGTAGCGCTTCGCCACGTGAAGATGTTGACCCAGAGTTAGTCGTTGACTACTCTGGTGAGTCGGATGACGCATCCGGCTCAAAGTCACCTATTCCACTCCCGGGCTCTCCCCGGGGTGATACCTCGTCGTCTAATGCTACGAAGAGGGATCGTGGTACATTGAGTGAATCAATGTACCGTGAAATGTTCGGGTCGTCTGATGAATCAGACGACTCACCAAACGAGTCGAAGGATAGTGACTCGGGTGGGGACCGTAAGGGTGATGTCAGTACCTATACTGACATCAATACTCATAGTGTCGGTACTTCTGTTGACACCACGCAGGAGGCTTTAGACCGTAACGTATTGCGTCTTGCTCCTGATCGCAAGCCATGGATGCTACCTAAGCATCTGCTTGATCGTTGGTCTGGAAAGACCAACGAACGGTTCCCCATACCGTTGTTTGATGCGTCAAAGCTTCATGGACTTGACGCCAGTGCGAAGAACTTTCGCACTGAGAACGATTTTTACATCGATGTGTTCCTTGAACATCGATGGTATGGCCCACACAAGAAGCGTGAGGCCGACGCGTTCCTCCAATCTTGGAACGCGTTTATCACCAACGTTTTAAACGTTGGGAAAGAGGCTTGGTTTCAAAGACTTTTTGCTAGCCGCAATAAGTTTGAGAAACGAAGTACGTCCGGTGCATGCTATCGTTTGCACCGGTTATCTAGAGAGGCAGGCCTGTTATGCCTCTCTTGGGGCGACCCATGCCCGGGGTGCCTGAGCCCCTCGTCAAGAGCGCCTAAGGAGGCGTACCTCCTTACTGAGGAGGGCTCGCATCTCTTCTGAAATGCGTGAAGAGATTGCTACTTTGCAATCCCTTTACGAGCGCGCTGGGCGCTCGTATTCCGATGGTCCTTCACCCATCGGGTGCTCCTTGTCGTACTGTTCGACAAGGCCGGGAACGTCGGCCATCAGTTGGGCCCGAGGTTCCCAGCTATCCGCCGAAAGCGGATAGCCACGCCACCGGACGAGATAAATTGTCCGACGTCCCTTCACATCGCGGTGATTTCGCAATCGTTCCACAAGGAAGCGCTTCCCACCGTTTGAGTCCTCCAACGGATGCGGTGGTGGAGGGAAAACCCTGTCCGATTATTTCATCGGACTTGTCTGCTGAGTTATACGGGTTTGACCGTGTAACTCGTGAGCTACGTTGTGATGTCGATCACGAACGGGATAAGCGTCGCCGCTTAGAGGACATTGTGCGACAGCTTGGGTTTGACCATGAGAAGTCTCGGGAAGCAATGCTTTCACACTGTTATAGAATGAGAGTATACTTCATTCTCTAAGTAACGACCTGGCGACAGCTCGTCAGGAGATCGTCCATTATCATGGGACGATCTCATCTCTACACGACCAGATATCGAATCTGGTTCGTGACAACAAGAATCTGAAGGGGATTCTTGAGAGTAATGGCTATCTTCGTCGTTCGAAGAAGCCGCGTACTGAACGTACGGACGAAGACGTCCCACGTAAAACGTAGGATGCGTACGCATCCTGCGTGGCAACTCGATCGTGTATGCGTTGCCTAGGCGGCGCAATACACGAAACGGGCCGATGTACTTGGGCAACAATTTATTGCTGCCCACGTTAGTCACTACATGTTTAAGTAGGTTTACTGTTGACAGTAAAACTAAATCACCTTCAATAAATGTTTGAGCATTTGCCCTTCCATTATTGTCTGCGTTTCGCTTTTGTTTATCCCCGCTTCCGCGATGGAATCTTGCACGAAACGGACTACCGCTTCACGAGTCAGCAGGAAATCCTCAGCTGACTCGTTGCTTTTGGCTGCAGTGCATTGTGAGTGCACTGCAGAGATATCGGTTACTAATTCAGCGAGAACAATACTGTTCTCACTTGTGATACCTCGAACGATGCTGACATCTTCAGCATCGTTATCAGTAAGAGCGTCATCGCTCTTACTTTCTTCCTCTTCACCGAAGTCGAATGGTACGACTTCGGTTACTTTCGCGTCGACCATAACGTCGTCGCGTGATGAGCAAGAGATAGATTGGTTCTCGCTCGAGCGAGTTCCCCCCCTTGAATTAGAGTCACCCTCTACTAAGGTGGGGACACGTGGATGGCGAAGGCCATTCACGTAGAACGGTGTATGCGTCGTGGAGGCATGCACGGAGTTGTTGATG